GGTATCTTTGGATCAAGATAAAAAAAACTATAATTTCTTTTTTGACTTTTCCTTCATTATAGATAATAAAGCTTTTATTAATATTGTTAATTTGGTAAGGCATCTTCTTTTTTTAATATAATATTCCATATATATTAATTAATTTTAGATGGATCAAATTAACTATATATCCTAAATTAATCAAGATATTAAATTTATATCTTTTTTATATTATCTTTATAATTAAATAAGATCCCTTAATTATTCTTATTAAATATATTGGTTTAACCTTATTTAATATTATTTATAAAATTTTTAATAGTTTTTTTATTATATTCTATTATTTATTAATTATATTAATTATTCTTTATAATAGGTTTACTAATTATTCAATTCTTTTTTAGAAAATTATAATCTTACTTTTTAAATGTTATATTTCCTTTTAAGATTGGTTAATCATTTCTTTATATTATAATAATATCTGTTTATAATATCTATTCAGGATAGTATTTAAATATTAGGCCATTTATTTCAGATATTTATAAACAAGTTTAATTAAGGTAATTTTATCTTATTTTTCCTTATAAAGTATTATATAAGAGATCCTATATATATTCTTATAATATTATTGTGTAAATTCCTAGTCCCATCTATTTTTGATTATCCCTTTGTAATCTAAATCTTTAAATGTTTTTAGGGTAAATAATTCTGATATTCCTTATCTTTTAAATATTCTTTTAGTAATATTTTTATGGATTCTTTTACGATTCTATTTCTTATATTTTTAGATCTATATTTCATCATTTTTAAATATATATCTTGGATCTATTAGGTCATTAAGATTATAATAATAATAATTTATTTATTCAATTAATCATATATGGTATACCAATTCTGGTTCAGGGGTTTAATTTTATTCTTTTTCATTATTAGAATCTTATTAATCCCATACCACCTACTGATATAATTATGTTCCATTAAAGTATATTAGAATAATATTTTTATCTAATAATAATATAATAAAGATATTTTGATTATTAACCTGTATTAAAAACATTACTTCTCCTTCTACTTCTCTTTTTATATTCTAATCTATATCCTATAATGGCCTTTGTTCATTTAAAAAAGAACTAGATTCTTCTGAAGAAACATTCATTTCTTCCTCCTTGGAATCCTTTATGCCTATTGTATCAAGATTCTATAATTAATTTATTTAATTTATAAAATTCTTTATTTCTGTTTATTGGATGGCTTTGTTATAGTTTGGTAATGGGTTTTCCTATTTTTCTTCTTTTTTGATAATGTTAAGTACTCCTAAGGTTAAGGATCCTAATATTATCATTATTATATTGGCTAATCTTCCTTTTAAGATTTATAATTATTTCTTAGATTTTTTATATTGGTTCTTATAATATCTTACTTCTTAGTAATTATAATATTTAACCTTATTCAAATCTTTTTTAGGTTTCTTATTATTATTAATTATGTTTAGGCTTTAAATCTTGGCTGGTTCTTTTTTTCCCTAATTCTTTATTATTTTGGAGCTTTTTTTTTTCTTATTATATCTTTTATATAACCTATTATCATAAAGAATTACCTTGGTTATATATTTATTAATAATGGAAAGTTATTCTTCCTTAAAGAATTCATCTTTTACCTAGGTAGCTATTCCCTTATAGAAATAATTAAATTATATATCTTTGGGTAATTGCCCTATAACTACAAATTATTTGAATTTTGTTATATAGAATGTAGCTCACCCCTTCTATCTAAGGTGATAAATGGCCTTCTATATTTCCTCCTTTTTGAATGGTTTGCCAAATATTATTTATATTTTATTTTCAAAATGTTTATATAATTTAAAAATATATTAAGACTTTTTTGATTTTTCTTTAATAATATTGAAATGATTTTCCAAAATGGGTTAAAACCATATAAAGGTAATTCTATTTAAAAATTAAATAATAATAAATATCTATTATTCCTCTTATAATAAGTTTTCCTTATAAAAAGATAAATAAAGTTTTATATATATAAGCCAATCCTTAACATCTAAAATTTCATTATAAGTTGGTAGATTTATTAATTTATATCCTTTAATAAGTAGGAAAGGGGTTATTATTTTTTCCTTTTTTGGTTAGGGATCTTTGCCTCCCTTTTCCTTCCTATCCTTTTTATTATTATTATTGTCATTATCTAGAAGTCTAGGAGATGTCAATTGCTAAAAGGTTTCCAATAGGGATCCTTCAAGGGCCTTTCCTAATCTAGCCTTCTTTAAAGCTAATTCTTTTTTAAATCTCTTAATTTCCTTAAGGATAGCCACTATTCTAACTTACCAGTTAAGGGCCTTTTCTTCTTTTTGGTCATCCCTTTTTATTCTAATATTAATTTCTTTATATATTTCTGATTCTGGGACTTACAAGCGTGTCTTAGGAGGTACTATTCTGTCAATAAGTTGGAATACCTCTTCTATTAGTGGTAAATCTTAAGTAATATGAATAGATATGGATGTTCTGGGCAATGATGGACTGGGCTATTATAAATCATCTAAGTCCTCATTCTAGAATTTTTCTTTATCTAATTTTTCTTTATTTTCCAGGTTAGGGTCTATTAGTTTATCCTATATTTAATTATAGTATCTTTTAAAAGATAATTTTTAGAAGATGTAAAGGTTTTTTATTTTATTTTTAAAGGTTAGTAAAATAAGAGAAGGTTTGATTGATGATAATAAAGAGATGTCCTGTGGATGGCTTATACCACTTTTTGACCTAGTATTAATACTAATTAAGGAATTATCAAAATGTGATGAACCTATGTTTCAAAAAGGTATAGTTATTGCTGGATTGGCTAATCTGAGGTTTTCTTAATTTAAAAATAATAATATTAATAATAAATTAAGTAATTAAATATATTTTATTTGTCAAAGAGGCTTAGAGTTTTTTCATTATATTTAAAAGAATAGTTTTAGATTGATAATTAAAGAATTATGGAAAAAATAATTAAATATATAGGAAAATTATGGTAATTATATAGATGTTCTTTATTGCTACCTTCTTTATGGATGAGGTTAGATCTCCTTATCTATATTCATCTCTTATTACATTTGTTGGATGAGATTGGATATATTTATCTATATTCATTTATGCCATACTTATTGGATAAGATTAGATACCCTTATCTATATTCATTTATATCATGTGTTATATACTCCTGCCCCACTTCGGCAATGAAAAAGGTTTCCTCCGGGGTCTTATACCCCTATAGGCCTGTGTGGTTTGTGACAAAAATATAAATTATTAATAAATAAAATTACCTTAGAATTAAAAATAATATTACTTAGAATAAAGATATTTACTATTAGAACTTTAATATTATAAATTAAATTTAGATAATATCTTAAATTTCTATAATATAAAATAACAATATATTATAATAAAAAAAGAATTAAAAGATTAATTTTATAAAAAAGAAATAAAATCTATCTCTTATAAAATAAATAACATTCCATATTAAAAATATCTTAAATTTAAACTAAAAAATTAAATAAAAAGTTAAATTTTAAGAAACTGAGACCTTTCTTAATTAAAAAGGTCCTTTTAAAAATAAATTATCAACTATAATTACCAACAAATATAAAATTAAAAACCAATATATTTTATATTACTATGCTTGAACCGGCACCTAAAGACGTTAAAATTAAAGGAAATATCGAATTAAAAGAGGACCCAGAAGAATATAATATTAAAACCATCCATGATTCTAAGATTATTAATGATTAAATCAAATATTTTATTAAATGGCTTAATTATTCAGAAAAGAATAATACCTAGGAACCACAGAAATATCTTATAAGTGATAAGGTCCAGAAATTGATTAAGGATTTTCACCGCCAGAACCCTGACCAACCAAGGCCCATACGGCCGCAATCGACGGTGACATCGGGCCAAGATCAAAATTTACCCCAGACAAGGAGAAGGGGAAGGCCAAGGAAGAAGCCTTAGAGGTAGGAACGCCGTATCCCCGTTCGACTCGGACCTATTCCTCGACAATGCGAGCCCGTTCCTCTGCCAGGGGGGCCTGTTCTTCCTCAGTATCCTGCTCCTCACCAAGTTTTAGCAACTCTAGACCACACCTTTTTAACAAGTCCTCCTGGCAACGAAGTCGCTGCAACTTGCTAATCTTCTCCGCCATTTTTTCTTATAAACAGACCAATTCGTCCTCTACATCCTTGCGTTCCTGCTCTAGACGAGTACAGGCCCGGGAGACACGGTCAAGGACATTCATCTCCAGGACGTCGCAGCGTTTTCGATTCCAACGAGTACAGTGGTTACAAACCCCAAAACCAGTGGACAAAAAGCAATCTTTTTCGGAAGCGTCACAATTGGAACAAGGAAGGACGGGTCGACCATGAGTTTCAATGTAGTCGGCGTGAGTGTGGCGTTCCTGCCATTGATTAGAACAAACACTTGACTTTTGCACCTTCCCAGACATGGTTTCTATGCAATAGGCATAGAAATAAAAGAGGAAGAAAATGCTTACCTTTTTTATCTTTGAAGGCAAAGATTCAGAAGGGAGGGGTATAATGTTATAAACCACCTATGAGAGACCCTTATTGGATCACGGAGGATGGAGCATAGGTAATCTATCATAATTAAATTCCGATTTAATATATTGATATATAACATATTGCAACATATTATAATATATTATAACATATTGCAACATATTACAACACATTACAATATATCGCAACATATCATAATAAACCTTAAGGTAGGAGGGAAGGAAGAAGTAATTATATAACCATAAATATTTCCTATATATCTAGTCATTCTTTTTATAACTCTTTAGTTATCAATCTAAGACTATTCTTTCAAATATAATAAAAAGACTTTAAACCTTTCTGACGAACAGAACGCACTTAACTACTTAACCTACTACTGATATTATTACCTTCAAATCAAGAAAACCCCGGATTAGCCAATCCAGCAACGACTATACCTCTCTGAGGCATAGGTTCGTCACATTATTTTCTCTAGGTTTTGACAGACTAAGGCCACCCAGAAGAAGGTGTCGTTCGCATGGGACAGTAAGTGCTGCTTGACGACATCTCGCGTGTCATCATTGTACTTTTGTAGTTTTGATAATTGGCTCACTTTGAACGATATGTATGCCGTGACAGCCGCCGAGATTGACTCTGGGTTTAATTCAAGGCATATACTGGTTTTCTGCGTAGCCACGTTAAGAGGCTTGTCTATATTTGGCCAGTTACGACTGGAAACAATCCACTTAACGCAGGAGCATGATAGTGACTTCTGGACGATAAGGTCGAGAAGTAGGTCCAAGCCAACAATACACTCATCAAGCGCATCGATGATTATGTAGGTATTTTTAAAAGACGAATCTTCGAGAATACTACCTAAGATCTTCGACATAGCCTCCCACGCATTCACATCCGTGAAAAGCTTCTCTTTGGCGTGGCTATACGACGGGCGTATATGTGATATAAGGGATGGTTGATTTGTCACAAGTAGGTAAATCAAGCTGCGTAGGACGGATCTGGCGGTATTTATGCGTTCATCGGCGGCTTGGCAAAAGAAGAAAGTCGGCGAAGCACTGGTCCTCGGGCCTCTCCACCTATCGGAGCTTAGCTCGTCGATGAGACCACAGAGCAACATTGTCTTACCCTTCCCAGGATCGCCTTTAATCCAGAGTAAACGTTGCTTGGCATCATTATCCCATTGTATAAATTCATCGTTTTCAAGGATCCAGACATAGGAACCAACAAATAACCCCCCTTTGTCGCGCTCAATGCGGGTTTTATCGTCGCGAGGGTCGGTCACTCTCAAGTCCATCAAACATTTATCATCTTCTTCCCGAAACCGCGTATCATCATGATTGAGACTGCCTAACATTTAATATTAAATTAGTAGTTCAATAACCACTGAGCGAGAGAAAACTGACTATTCTGGAGGTTCTCAAGCGCGCGGCTTAGTTCTGTGGCGATGGTGTGTAGTACAAGTTGACAGGCTTGGCTCTGGATGGAGTCAAACTTGCAAATTGTACCGTGGTTTGCGTGTAAAACCACCTGCTTCTCACGCGACCCCGGGAGGTTGAGAGTTGCAGACTTCTTATCTACAATCTGTTGTTATTTAGCGGGCTTTCTATATCAGAGTATTTGATCAACTTACAATGCCTAGCTTACCGTATGGCTCCCCCTCAAAGAAATTAACGACATAACATTTGTCGGGCAGATGACGAGCTTGCTCGAATCGTCGTATCGCTTCGGGCGAGTTTTGTTTCAACGCATTAAGGAGGTCGTTCTTGATGTTTCCTTGAGATATACGGACTATATTGGCTACAATTTCGCCTATCCCAGTATGATTACCCCCTTGATGTGGAGTGGCAAAGAAGACGAGAAGGCAAGTTGCTTCGAAAACTGATTTATATGAATCATTCGACTTCGCTTGGGCGAGTGCCTACTTATATCAGACATGAAATTCGTAAGTATTGGGGTGGTACTAACTTGTTTAACAACCAAACCGCCAAGACTATGACAGATAAACACAAGAGGCCTCTGTGGAGCATCCTATGAACCGTTAAGGCCAGATGGCTTATTATCATGGAATAGCGGGGTAGCTTACCAGTCGGGATATATTAAGCCATTGCAATAGATTCTCTGCGTGGTCATCAAGGTTGATACCTGTTGGCTTTATAGTAGGGCTGGTATTATATGCGAAGAGCATCACACGAGCATCCCGTTTGAGACTTATTGGAAGAAAGTCTCGAAGCCATATCTTGTCGCCCTTCGCCCAGGTATCTCGGGCGTGGTTGTCCTTGCCCATGAAATTGAGACCGTGAACCGCTACGACACTAGTAGAGCGATTTATTAGTTTATAATAGGGGCAAATGAAGTAGTAGTAGGCGAAATCATATACTCAACTTCTGAAGATTGGCCGTCACAGTCGCTATCAAAAAGAGTATGAAGGCCAGACTCTTTAAAATCCTCTGCCCCATTATTTTTCCCCTCTTGGGATACGTCCTTTAAGGTATTAGCGCCCGCATTTCGTGATGGTATGGATAGTGTTGAGGTAGGCAAGGTAGGAGGTTCCGCCGATAGGAGCGAAGGGCAATATGTAAATGGCAAATATGGTTGACATGGCAATTGCATATGGTGGGGATATTTACTAGGTCGTATCAGCTAAAGAAGCCGCTCGCTGCTACTGTGCGCTTACCCTGTAGTGCGACAGATGTAGCGATCAGGCTATGTTGAGAGTCCTCTCGCGTCTCCAATGCTGCCGGATTTCCTTTACTAGATTTTAATTGATTCCGCCAACGTTTCAAAAGCGAGTCGCCAGCCATGAGAATCACAGCTATAAGAGAATACCTAGTTCATACACAGCGTCGTAGTGGTAGGGTCGGTCTTAGGATGTTGTTGCGGGGTTGGGGAGGATCGAAGCAGCCTCACTGACCCGCCACCAATGAAGATTACAGTACTGCCATTGAACGGCATATACCTAAGCAGGTAACCTTCAATTGGTATATAACATACAGCCAAGACGTCGTCGCCAGATATATAGACGTAACTAGGTAAACTCAAAGTTGCCAGGTAGTTTCTTTGAATGGAAGAGATACGTCCTTGGAAATCTACATGTAGATCGGTGGTACCTTGTTACACAGCGTATTCGGCGCGGAAGAATCTATTATCCGTTTCGTAAATGGGTTTCTAATTGGTCCCACGATATTGTTCCTTCGAAAATTCAATGCTTATTGTTTTCTTAAATGTTGACATGCCATGCTAGAGGGGAGGCCGGCTGCAATATACAAACTAGACTATACTCTACTACTATGGCATTTTCGCGCTTCTTATCCGGACAGTGAAATCCCATATTATTAACATTAATCGCAACTGTTGGCACTGTTGGGACTTGCGCTGACGTCCTTCTGTGCGGAAACACCGGCAATGGGATGAGCAGTGACCATTGTCGGCCCGCCACCGGGATGAAGCTCAGCCTGCCGTTAGCTCTAGTCTGCCTTGGTATATCTTCCGAAGGTGCTAGTTGGTAGGAAAAGATCGATAAAGGCTTAGTTCAAGCGCTATAAGTACACGTCGTTAAGAAGGAATGAATTGTTAGTTGGTGTACAAATGTTACACGTCATAATCCTGCTTTTTGCAACATCCGGTGATTTATCTACCTAGGTATTTATTACGGATATAACACTGAAAATTCCGAGTAACACCAACAGAATAATGGCCTTACATGTTGGAAGGGATGGGTGTGGCGACCTAACCATTTAGGAGCCTCTTAACACGCTCCTATTTGGCTATTTATATGTATGACTACCTAAGTAGTTATCCCAGTGGCTTCGACCGTCTGCTTTTTCATTTTAACGCCTATTTTGTTACTAGATTCTCCTGAAAGAAATAGAAGCAACTCTTTACTTTGGCCACAATGTTCGATTTGCCAATGAATAGCCCGGCTTATTCGGAAGGTCCTTTTATTTTAGTCTTACTTGGAATCGTTTTAGTAGGTCACTTTCATATCTAAAATACCTGATACCAAGGTACAATGCTTGATACTCGGTACTGACATGAGCGTGCTTCTCTAGGTACTCGCAAGCTATCTTTACAACTTGTACCTTCACCCTCTCGCCGACATCCCTGGCCCATTTTGGGGCCGTATTAGTGGCATTCCCTCGTGGTATTATACCTGCCGCGGTGATCGTCACATTTGGCTATGGAGGCAGTTTCAGATTCATGGTGACAAGATCCGCCCTGAGCCTAATACTGTCCTCTTTCGCGATCCAAAAGCATACAGCGACATATATAGCATGAAGTCAAACGTGCGACGCAGCCGTTTTTACGAAGGATTTAAGAAGAACGAACATGAGGTTACAACTCTTTCTACCATTGATGTCGCTAAGCACGCAAAGCGACGTAGGCGTCTTAATCTTTGTTTTACCGAGAAGTCTGTTCGTGCGGCCTCGAACTTCGTTATCAAGCATGTGGATCGTTGGATTGAACTTCTCAAGGAGGAACATGGGCTTTCCACGGAGTGGTCTGCCACAATAGACTTCACGGATAAGATCGATGCCCTCGTTTTCGACATAATGGGGGATCTTAGTTTTGGAAGGTCTTTTAATAGTAAGGAACCGGGTGAAAATCCATTGAAAGAAATACCACACAATATTGCCGAGTATATGCGATTCTATTACATGGTAAATTTCCCACCGCTTTCTTCGTCCCCGCCTCTCTTATTTTTTTCGAGAATTCTATTTCAAAGATTTATTGGGTTAGTCCTAACCATTCAGAAAAGATGTGCCGCCTGCCCGTTCTCGAGGTTTTCCTCTGGCTTAAACCCCGTGGTGTGAACCAGCTCTTAAACCTGATCGCACCGCCAGCAGCGAGGCGATATAACCGCTTCGTCAGCGAAAGCGTTACCAATCGAATCGCTCTACAGAGGCAGCAAGCGGGGATGCCAGAAGCCGACAGACGTCAGGATATGTTCTATTTCTTGGCGGAAGCACGAGATCCTGACACAGGGGCTCTCGCCTACCGAGATGGTGAGCTGCGAGCTGAATCAAGCTTGCTCATCATTGCGGGATCAGACACGACTGCTATTAGCCTCTCAGGTATTTTCTTTTATCTCACCGGTAACCCCCAATGCTGCTTAAAGCTTGTACAAGAGATTCGAACGACGTTTGAGTCTGTAAATGACATCATCCATGGACCAAAGCTCATGGGCTGCACTTATCTACGAGCATGTGTCGACGAGGGGATGCGACTCACTCCGTCAGGTCCATCCGAGATGCCCCGTGAAATCCTGTCAGGGGGCCTCAATATCAACGGGAGGCACTATCCGGAGGGTACGATCGTAGGAACAGTACCCTGGGTCAATTCTCGCAATCCAGCAGTGTATGGAGATCCTGAGGTATTCCGACCTGAGCGATGGATATTGGACGAAGCGGCTGGTGTAAACAAAGAAACTCTCGCAAGGGCTAAAGCTGGATTCCACCCGTTTATCTCCGGGCCGGGAAACTGCGTTGGGCAAAATCTAGCTATGTCTACAATTCTAATCATAGTCGCTCGGACTCTATACGAGTTAGACGTTAGAAGAACCCCTGGATCCACTCTTGGAGGAGGTAAGGCGGAACTTGGATGGGGACAATCAGACCCGAACCAGCTACAGTTGATCGACGCTTACGTTTCGTTGCGCCGTGGTCCTGAGCTGCAATTCAAACTGAGATAGGATGATGCATGGAAAGTTGATACATGTAACTAACATTCTTTTACCACCTATATAACCAAACACCGAAGGTACAACGATTCTACATTGTCAGTAGTCTAGCGTACGGAGAGGTACATCGTGAGTAGTACTAAGAGACCTCTTTATCGGCGTAAGGGAACCCCTATTGCTGACGTGAGGACAAAAAGGCTAACTGTTCGAGGGTCCCCACAGCAGTTGCACTCTCCTTGCACAACAGCAGATTTACTCACCTCCTTACATGGTTGGCCTTGTGGCATATGTGCTAGTGGAGTGCAGGAGGTGGGGACAATCACTTGCCTAGGTGGGCATGCTCCAGCTGCAAGTCGGAGTATCGTACGCCTAACACGGGAGGCCTGCATTTGTGCAACCTGAAGGGTCCCACACAGTACCTAGGTAAGCAATGGAACAAGGTACCTAGGTCCGACTTGACTAAAAGCAATGCCTTATTCTTGGTTGGGAGATCGATGTTTCTTTTGGATGCACTGTAACACAGCTTCGTTACACAACATACACGCCACTATCCCATTGTAATAAACATAAGGGGGGTAGGGTGAGCATAGTAAGTTCTCACGGCGCGCTCTGCATTTGTCTTGGAAAATCGACTGCCCGTATAGATGCTTCGAGACAATTTTTAAATTCTGTATTCTTCAACTACTGCATTACTGTGACAGTATGAACATATTTCACCTTACCCCCCTCAAGTCTAACCTCGTGCGAGTCGGGCATATTCCCAAGCGAATCGAAAGAGCATAGAACATCCACCGAGCCAATTGTCTCATCGATAACATACCGACGATTCCCATTCGGCTTCTGGCTCCCACCGTGTGGCAGTGTCGCTCCGCACGGCCTCGTGAGCTGTGATCCCTCGACACGCTCGCAATCCGTCCCCCAAGGAATCGAATCAGCGGCTTTCGCATCGGTCCACATATCAAGATACGCATCTCCAACGCGTTTAAGCTCATCCCGACCGACTCGCTGCCCCTCGTCCAACGTGCCCCAATCCTCTTTTTGGATATACTCTAGCGTGCGTGGCGCGTTGAAGAACAGCGCACCTGTCGTCGCGGCAATCGTGTCGATCAAAGAAATAGAGCTCGTGTCATTGTCTTCGTGACGAATCTGCGTCGAGATCACGTATGGCTTGGAACCCGTCGCTGAGATGAGCATTGTGTAGCTCGCGCATGCCGTCGTGTCTGCTGTGGACCTGTTGAGATCGATTTTCAGCGGTTGGCTTAGCACGCCTGTCTTGATGTCTACCACTTTGTTGTTCAATTGGTACGTGAAGTTGGTGGCGGATAACTTGAGGCCATCAATGCTCCCAGCGGCCTGCGCCGCGACGTAGCTCTCCGCCGCAGCCAGGAGGCCTTCACGGGTGCACTCCGCTGAAGCAAGAGTAAAGCTCGCCGTTAGTATTGCGGCCGTGGCGGCCAGTTTCGCGAATAGTCCCATCATTGTTTATTCCTCAACTGAAATTACTCAGTGTCGATCGCGTTAAGGAAAATAGGGAGGCGAAGTCAAACTTGCGAAGTTGGCTCGCCATGACCCGATAACATATATATTCCAGCAATATGAAGCTTAGAACGAATTAAGGTAATATGCCGTGCTAAATGCGGAGGCAGCTCCTTGCTATATTGGCCATCCCCGCGTGGATATATATCGATGCAACGTCGATGGTCAAAAAAACATTACAAGCTATCTGAATTAGGAAGTATGACAGCTCCAGATATGAGTATCCCGAATTTCGATTGGCTTCTTCACTCTTCCTGACATAACTATTTGGACTTTTGAGCTCACTGTTCGACGTAACTGACTGTGCTTTTAGATAGGGGTAAGGATGAGTACCAAGTAGGGTCTGTCAGCGATTCACAGTAACCAGAATAGGAACACAAAATCCACGATGAATGGAATCATTTGATGTAAATGTCGCCTATCGGCACTATGAGATAAGCTCGCATCGACCAAGCCTCGCCCCCTTCGGTTAGAACACCATGTTAAGGTCAGACCTAGAGACCAGAATTGCATTACAAACATAACTAGCCCATATTATGTACCCAGGCCCCTACCAGGTGGCTGTTTCTAACTCCATATACCCGGGTACGGCTCCGGGTTAGGATACCCCTTATCTTACTAACATCATCCACTCTATTGCCTTACCACGCATCTTCCTCACGTTTGGCCGCTCTTCAATCTAAAACTTACGTTCAATGGTGGCTAGAAGACTTTAGTTCGAGAGTACACGTTAATCCGATATCCCACGCGATTTTCGCCCGGCTAAAAAGCCCGGGAGTATCTCGTGTGGAGCACGCAGAGGATGGTGATGTCGAGCTTAATATACTGGTGATTTCATGTGGGGTAAATATGCTAATTAAACAAAAAAGCTTCTGTTCATGTCGATCATAGAGCTTCTTAGTCGATATATGTTACTTCGTTGTCGACGAAGCGGGAATTCTAGACCGTAATGTCAGGTACGCGAGCTACATGGCCTAGGTACCCGGAGCTCATCCGGCAGGCTATTTGCAGACCATGTGCTTAACATGGCATCCCTACAGCCTCCGGGATATGATTGAAAAATCTAATTGAGCTTGAATAAGGATGCGGTTTTTGCATGCCAGGCCGTCTCTCAAGTTAGCTCTTCGTCCCAATCCTAACTAGCTTTAGCCTAGAGTATCACCACCATGAAGTATCTGGCGAGGCCAATAGTATACCTTTCGCTCCTCAGCGCACAAGCGCTAGGGAAGATAACTTTCCCCGATTGCGTCGATGGACCAGAGATTTTGACGTCTAACCTCGTTTGCGACACATCCGCCAGCCCAGCGGAGAGGGCGGCAGCGCTCATTAGTGCCTGGAACATCACAGAAAAGCTAGTTAACCTTGTCGAGTGAGTAGATATCTAACTTAATCACCTCCTATTGGAGCTAACATCATATAAGTAAGAGCCTCGGGGCATCTCGACTAGGATTAGGAGCATATGATTGGTGGAATGAAGCCCTCCACGGCGTTGGATGGTCCCCTGGAGTAGCCTTCGCTCCCTCAGGGGAGTTTCAATACGCCACATCGTTCGCCAGTCCGATCCTCTTATCAGCAGCGTTCGATGACGACTTAGTTTACAGCGTAGCCGAAGCTATTAGTACGGAGGCTCGAGCCTTCAGCAATTTCGGACATGCAGGGCTTGACTACTGGACCCCAAACATCAATCCTTATAAAGATCCAAGATGGGGAAGGGGGTCGGAGACACCAGGTGAAGACCCCTTTCGCATCAAGGGGTACGTTAGGGCCCTGATAGATGGTCTACAAGGTGATGAGGACATCACAAAGGTTATAGCGACATGCAAACACTACGCTGCTTATGACCTGGAGCATTGGGGAGGGGTGAAGAGATACGAGTTCAATGCAATTGTTGGAATGCAAGATTTGGTCGAATACTATCTCCCTCCGTTCCAGCAATGCGCGCGAGACTCTAAAGTCAAGTCAATCATGTGTTCTTATAACTCTGTGAATGGGACGCCGGCCTGTGCATCGACCTACCTAATGGGTACAGTCCTTCGCGATTTCTGGGAGTGGAACGATGAGAACCAATACATTACTAGCGATTGTAATGCTATCCTCAACTTCCACGAAGACCACAATTACACCACTACAGCTGCGCAATCAGCAGCCATCTCGTTAATATCTGGTACGGACACTATTTGCGAAGTCGGCAGCAACACAGATGTCGCTGGAGCGTGGAATCAAACCCTGCTACCGGAAGAAGTTATCGACCAAGCACTCCGTCGCTTGTACGAAGGACTCATACGCGCTGGATTCTTTGACCCCGCAGAGGAAACTTCATATCGATCGCTATCTTGGAAGGACGTCAATACACCCGAACACCAAGCCCTTGCCGTTCGCTCTGCTGCTGAAGGTATTGTGCTCAAGAAGAACAACGGCATATTACCCCTAAAGGTCGACAACGCGACTTCGATTGCCCTCATCGGTTTCTGGGCGGATGCTTCCAACCTTGCCATGCTTGGAGGATATTCCGGAACCCCACCTTTCCTTCGAGGTCCACTACAAGCAGCCCAGAAACTCGGATTCCGCACCGCCAATGCGACTGGTCCCGTCAAGCAGAACACTTCGGACGCAGACACATGGACTGAGGCCGCGTTAGAAGCTGCGAATAAGTCCGACATCGTGATATACTTCGGAGGAAACGACATGACAGTAGAAGCGGAAGAGCTTGACCGAGTCTCCATTGCTTGGCCTAGTGCTCAATTAGCACTGATCGAAAAGCTCAGTAAACTCGGAAAACCGTTCATTGTCGTTGAGCTCGGAGATCAAAATGACGATTCTTCTCTTCTGAATGATACGAATGTTTCTGCTATCCTGTGGGCCGGCTTCCCTGGTCAGGATGGGGGTACAGCCGTGTTTGACGTTCTAACTGGCAAGACCCCGCCAGCTGGTCGGTTACCCACCACTTTGTACCCAGCAGGGTACGTGGATCAGGTCCCGATGACCGACATGAGCCTTCGGCCAAGCGAGAAAAATCCCGGTAGAACGTACAAGTGGTATGACGAGGCCGTCCTGCCATTCGGGTTTGGCTCGCACTACACTACTTTCAAACCCTCATTCGGAGAATACGCCATCCAAGCCAAATCTTACGATATCGACGAGCTTCTCATCGAGTGTGACGCAAAGTATCTTGACCTCTGTCCTTTCGACACTTTTGGCATTTCCGTCAAGAACACAGGCAACGTCACTTCTGACTTCGTCGCTCTCGGCTTCCTGTCCGGAGAGTACGGCCCCGCCCCCTATCCGATCAAGGAGCTTGCCGCGTATACGCGCGTCAAGGGGGTAAAACCAGTGGAAACCAGGCCGGCCGAGCTGGTATTGACGTTAGGAGACTTGGCGCGTGTGGATGAGCGAGGAAACACTGTATTATATCCAGGGACCTACAACTTCTTACTTGACGTACCGACGCAAGACACTGTCAGCTTTGAGTTGGTTGGGGATGCAAAGGTGCTGATTGAATTCCCGCAGCCTCCGGCTGATCTCGGTGAAGGAAACGGGCATGAAAAATACACACCCAAGTAAATAATACCTCGAATATCAGTTATCGCATAATATAGCTGCTTCATCCATACCAACTTAGCAGTCAATTAGGTTCGGATTTGTTGAAAGAGAGCCTCCTTTAGAGTAGAGTGAGTTAGGGGTTCATAACCCTGAGAAGATTCGCATTCATTGAGCGTGGAAGCAACCACGCCTGATTACTCGATCGATGACCTTAGTTCTGCCACGTGGGTAGCATACAGGTGGTTAGGTCTATAATTTCATGTTGCTGGACGAGGGAGACATACTCAGGCGATACCAGATGTGACGTGTATGAATCACGATACCTAGACAACTAACAATATCTGGCTTAAAATCCACAGCAATTGTTCCGAGATAAGAAAAAAGGGAAGTCGTTCCCATACTCTCGAACTGAATATATCGTTCGCGTGAATATAGATATCTGCTAATTTCCTAGCATAAATTAACTCTTGAGCCAACATTCGCCATTAAGAATACTTACCTAGGTATGCTTAATAATCCACTTTACGAAACATTCAGTTTGATTTATAATTCGACACGACGCTGTACAACTTGGGGTTTTTTCTAACGACTTAGCGAGATGGACCCTCCTACCTTAAACAAAAACCCATGGACGGGATACATGGATCGGTTCAGTGCAGAACTACTTAAAGATGTGGAAAACGAAATGGTCGGAGTGTACTTCAGGGCGTACGGGTTCACAGACTACACCATAAACCCCAGCGCCTGGGAGGAACCCCAATGGACCCTGCAAGACTTCGCCAATTTTTACAGCTGCCCAGCAATGGTGCAAGCTGTATCGTGGTATGATAAAATTTACCTATCAAAGAACCCATTAGTTATGATTCAGCCATGGCACGCAGTAGCAGCAGTAATCCAGGAGACATTTAGACACGAGCCTGCCAAGGCTGCCATTTACATGAGTCTTCACGGCAACATCATGCCAAACCCACGACCTATCGATTACGCCTTAACGTTCATACTTAGCCTGCTCCACTACCGAAATCACATCCACGACGAAACACCAGCGACCCGGGATGACTTCCAGACCCGTCAGGCCACATACGCACAGTCGTTCGGTCGCAATAATCCCTTTTACAGGCAATGGAACGGCTCCGACAAATGGACGTGCGCGTTCCTCCTCTACCTCGCGCTGTACCACCGGCACAACCAGTATACGGAGATGTACATGAAAAACACGGACGACGTGACCTTCTGCGATGAGTACGAAAGAGCCTACGGTGCAAGCCAAACTCAAAAAATCGACTTGTCTACTGTGTGGCTTCACGAAGATGCCGCCGCCGAGTACGCCAAACGTAAGGGCAGATTAGTTGGCAATGTGGTGACCCAGATATCTCAGAAGAAGAATACAAAAGTCAAATCCACTCCCCAGGCCCCTAAGGCCGAACGTGGGAAGGTGACTCTTTCGATGTTGGCGAAGCACGTGGGATCCTACCTTCGGGATATAGAAGTGCCATGGATTTCATTGTAATGCTCCTTTTCCTCGTCTCGTGGTTTCGTGGGGATTGACAAGCGTTCTTCTAGGGGATTACGACGTCTTCTCGCTCAAGCTGGGTAAGGATCTGTTGTTCTTTGACTAAACATATCTAGGTTTAACTCAAGAGTTGTATCCGTGAGGCTTGTTACTGATCTTGTTATAGTCCGATACCTAGACCCGAAGAAAATAGAACCGAAGAGAGGGTCGAAGATAATAATGGTTATTGAATATGAAGTACCTAGTTAACAAGTTATCGGTCCCATTATGACGAGTCTTGTCGACATTTACCTGGATACCCACCAAGTTATCATACCCTAATAAAAATTTTCCTACTACTTTAAATTGTGTTCCATGCTATCTTCCGTGATATGTGCTTAGAGAAACGTGTGGTATATATGAATAACCCACACGATGGGTAGATCTTTCAGAGCGACAATGCCGTTGTCGCATGTAATAAAGCCTAAGAAAGGGTCAACAATGGACAATCGACTAGAATATAGTAGTAAAAAGGATGATACCGACAAAGCGGTAGGCATTAAGCATTATCAAACCCCAGACAGACGGGACAAAGGAGTTGAGACATATAAACCATCTCCTCAGAAGATGTATAGAGGTTTCTAACTCTGCATAAACATAATCAGAAACCGATCAAATAAAAAAATCGAACGACAATGAGTAATCCATCGTCCAGCGAAGACCCCGGCGTCATCATGAGCCGTAGGATGGCCAGGGATGCCCGAAGACTCTTCCCCCAAATGGACGACCCGGAGTACACCAGAGGCGAAATCTACCGTATCTACAAATTGAAAATTCCGGACATAGACGTAGCTGCCGGCATGTTAGCCGGAATCTTTGGCCTCAGCGAGACCGTGTTAGGAAGGGAGAGAGCGCAAGGTCTATTCCGGCATCCAGAGTTCATCAGGGCCTTTGTCGACTTCTCGGATATCTACCTCCGAGGGAAGTGGGACCTTCCGGTCGGTGACTGGATGACTATCCATCACCTTATCCATGACCACCCGGACCATAAAGAGTGGCATTACGGCTCGAATGCTGAGAAGGGGTGGACTGTCAATTGTTACTATGCTCGGTTTGTTACTCACGCCATCTATGGGCTCAACCAGACCACGAAAAACACGAAACAACTGGCATTTTGGGTGAGGGACGCCCCGCTGTGTCACCAGATTTGGGTACTGATGCACGCCCTTATGTACCTGCAACTCGTGACGATGCGGGATTCTAAAAAGAATGCTCCAGTCAAGGATCGTATTAGCCATTTTGTAGAAGGGTTTAAGGCGGACACTCCTGCGAAGACAGAATTTAAAATATCAGAGGAATTTTCCTGAGAAAAGCACCGATAAGGAGGTAGGCTATCTTATATATAATACGTAATACCGAAATAATAATTTGTGACCTCGTACTGGCCTGTACCTCCACAGTGCATACGAAACCGATAACGCCGTCACTACCTAGGTACCTAATAAGCCACTTCTACATCGAATAATACTGGTTTCATTTCCTCGTTTCACAATGCATATGCTTCGTTTAATGAGCTAGAGATGGTTTATCGCTATTAGATTACTAGACGCGCTTATCTAATTAGAGTTGCTTTAATCCTTTGACGCAATGTGACATCCGGCTTAGCTACATGCTTATTTCAACATGTATGTACCTAGGTATGGAGGTAATAGACGGTCGGGTAAGCCCAGTGAGTTGCTCATTTTACGATGCACAGGATTATTTACTACCATGCGAGATTCCGTGGCGGCTTAGGTACCTTTTAGTAATTATCTTACGATCGCGAACTTGAATACCTACCTGCCTGGGTACCTAAGTAGTTTAGGGCACATAGCACGATGTGTATTGAGACAAGGCTAGAATTTATGTTACAATAATGTTAGCATCAAGTCACGGAGGCTTATCTTTCACAATGGGTGTAATTTTATATCAATCAATGATTAATTTCAAAACGAACGTACAAGCGAGATATCCATACAAACAAGCTTTAAACAACCGAGTACTTAATTAACATGGTAAAACCTGGGTACCAACACTACCAACAGTTGATGTAGCTTCACGAACTCCCTTGCCAAGCTTGACCTGGGTCTTCAGCACACCCCTATACTGCACTCTTCTACTGTCGATTTGACTCCGGTCCAAAATGGTTGGTGGCGTTGGATCCATTGTTCTGGACACCTCCGCTGCAGTTGTTCTGGCTCCCGACCCCAGTGTGTAATGGCTGGATCCCGTTGCCGAGTTGGGTCATCACCACTCCCCCTTGATTTTCTTTTATAGAAGGTTCCAGGGCATCGACCTCAGTTTTGGCATCTTGTAGTTGCTTAATTAGGTCGTCGCTGACTAGAGGCGCAACTGCCGACTTAGTAACTTCAGCAAGTAGACCCCGCATTATATCTTCTACCCTGGTGCCGTCCTGGGATACAACAGCGCGATACTTCGTCATTTTCGCATTGGGATTCTCGACACTTTTCATTTCAGTGAAGATATTCTGTAGGTTCCCGGCCCGGGCCCGGCACGCCTCGGTAAGCTGGTGTACAGCCGCATACTCTTGTGTCATCCCCCCTTTCACACGGTCTCTCATGCATCGAAGCGTCTGCAAGAGGAGGGGGAGATGCTTAGCAACTACTTGAAATGCAATAAAGGTATCAGGAAGTTCTTTGAAGTCTTCGACTAGGCCACTCTTCCTGGCATTATCGAGGCTGAGCATGACATCTTTGAGAGCTTTACGAGCCTTGTCTTTGGGTGTTTCGATTGGCATATTGATGGATATGGGCGAGGCTCCAAAGATTTGCAAATGAGCTCCTAGACGATGTGTAGGATATGATGTAGCCTCGGTTCTTGTTAGTAGGAATAATATATGTATTTGTGAGAAGTTGGATGTAAGAAGCTTTGAGTTGCTGAGCGTTGGACTACGGGAGGTAGCGACGGTTTTATATAAGGAACAAATGAAATAGCTATGTTAATGTTGAGGCATAGCCACCCCTCTTTCCTCTCATCTGACATGTCCCTCCCGAATATTTCTCGGGGGCGTCTGCAACTGACCTTGAAAGCTCGGAGCCTGCTTAATCTATGCAGACTTACCGTCCAATAGCGGCGTAGCCCTCCAATTCCGATACAATACAAGTAGCTACTCCGCACAAATACGTACCCTTTATCTAAAAGTGCAAGTCTGGATAGTTCCAAAGTGGAAAAAATCTCTTTACCGGGCTGCAAAAGAAAACAATTTTACCAATATTTATCTTTAACGCCGTACGAAACCGCTCCTATACCATGTCAGGTGCCGAAGTAATTGGCTTGGTCTCAGGCATCATCTCTATTATCGACGCTTCACTCAAGGTATGTGGGGCTATCGGTGATGCTTCGGGCCTGCCACAATCTTTTCGTGATATTAACGCGCGCCTTCCCCTTGTCCATGATACATTAGAAACTATTTCTAAGGGCATAACTGACGAAAATGACGCATCACTGGCTACATCACGTACCGCGCTGACTAAAGCGCTCGAGAGCTGCCGTGACAAGGCCAACGCTCTCAAAAATGTGCTAGAAGCTGTCAAGCCGTCTGCCGGCGCCTCACGCATGACGCGCTATTTAAAAGCAATCAAAGCTATCCGCAACGGCGATAAGGCCGAAAACCTGATGAATGGTATTTTGAGCGATCTTCATGTATTCACAAGCAACCATGCGGTACAAACGGCCACACAGTCTCAGGTCAATCACCTCTTAAATGAGATAAAGGGGGGGAAGAACCCTGACAATAGCATGGAGGGAGAGGCAGGCTCTAGTAGCAGACCAGCCGTGTCAATGCATAATGCAGCCACGGGCCCACAATACGTTCACTCAGGGCGAGGGGATCAGAATGTGGTGAGTGGGAGAGGGATACAAATCAACGGGCAACCAGCTGGGGCATTCTACTTCGATCGGGTGCCGAGATAGACTGGTGGATGGAGGGAATTATATCATGCAGGCTAGGATCATCCTTGTTGTGAGGCTGTCTCATATCGCTTTTGTTAAGTACCTGTCACATACCTATATACCTAGGTAGGTATCAGGAGGGCGTCAGAAAAAGTGTCACTATGCGAGATCCCATAGAAGGTACAGTACAAATACTGTACCTTCTGGCCAATCACATAGTCTGTTTAGCACAGTTCAAGGCCGTACTAATATCACAGTGACATTTTTTATGACGCCCTCCTGGCTCCTGGGTACCTAGCTTAAGGTACCTAAGTAGACGACCTTGATAATATCATGGATTGGTATCACTGCTTTAAATAATATATACGAAGTTTAAGCCTTAATAATTAGACGTTTTTTTTTTAAAAAAAAAAAAAAAAAGAAAAGAAACAAATAAATTAAAACACCCCAATCTATAAAAAGGGAAAGATACTGAACTAGGCGCGGGTAGTTTGCGGCTACCTCGTATACCTAGGTACCTATGGGAAGAAAGATGACTACCTACCTAGGTACCTAGGTAGCTTTCCTAGTACCTTAGGGTGGGTGGTGGTTGCAACTCGTCAAGAAGCTTCTGGATATCAGGAGTATCCCCCACATACCAAGCCGCTGTCCATCCATGCTTATTGCGTGCCTGTGCATCAGCTCCCTCCTCCAAAAGGCCGCGTACTAGTTCTTCGTGGCCTAACTGAGTTGCAAGCATCAGTGGCGTCCGTCCATCCTTGTCTTGTGCCTCTATATTAGCGCCCGCCCTCATTAGTGCTCTCACCACCTCCATGTCTGCATTGCCACCATTAATTGCGTGGTGGAGTGGCGTAAAACAATCATTATCTACTATGTTGGGGTTGCCACCAAATTTTTCGTTCAACAATAGGTCCACCTCCTGGTTGAATCCCCGGCTGGCAGCATTATGTAGCGCCGTCATACCGCCCGGATCGGCGAAGTTGCACGAAGCACCGTACTGAAGTAGTGTCTGCATGGCAGCATGGCGCCGCTTAAGCGTGGCTAATATGAGAGCCGTGTCACCATCAGCGTTACAGATGTCGAGACTCTGAGCTCCTGACAATCGCGACAATCGCGAGGCTAACAGATTAGTTATGTCATTTTTGCGGTTTAATACAGCGTAATGTAGAGGCGTCGAACCGGTGGCGTCCATGGTGTCAATGTCTACACCATGTTCGATAAGGAACTGTGCTGTCTTATACTTCCCGCGCCTGGCAGCTTGGTGTAAAAATGTTATGCTCTTGTCGCTGGTAGCGCTAGGCGAAGCGCCATGCTCGCATAGAAGCCACGCCATCGATGGGTCATCGCGGGATATGACCAGTTCAAGGGCATCCTGTATATTCTTATTGGGAATCGCGATCGGGCCAGTCTTAACAACTAAGAGCCAAGCCAGGGCTCTATCTCGTTTCTCAATGGCGTAGAGGAGTGCTGACTTATTAGTAGAGTCACGCTTGTCCGGATCCGCTCCTGCGTTCAACAGTGCACAGGCAATGCTATGGCTTTGGAGTTTAGTGGCCTCGATTAGAAGCGTTGACCCATTTCCTACTTCCTTGTTGACATCAGCGTTTAGCCTAATAAGTAGTTGCACTATGTCGTCATACTGTTCCGTGACAGCTTCAAGCAACGGCGTGGACTCGTTCATGCATACCCCATCGACATCCGCGCCGTGCTCAGCTAACAGTTGGATTGCAGAGATATTTTTCCAGTAGACAGCCCACCACAGGGGAGATTTCTCATCCCCATCCCGAAGATTGACATCGGCTGGGTTAGGTTGCCGCGTTAGTAGCCGATTTAGACTCGACAGATCATCATACTTTGCTGCATGTGTCAGTGGCGTCCACCCGTCCTTCGTACGGCGGTTTAGGTCCACGCCGCGTTCGAGTAGCACATCGATCAAACAAAGTGCGTGGTTCCTAAATGCGTGTTGCAATTGAGCCCACCCTCCCAAACGATCCCGGTGCCCTTTCTGATTCGCTACGCCGCTCCCCGTGATATTCTGGCCATGGTAGAAAACCTGTCGCAGTGAGCTCCAATCCTCAAAAATCTCGGCGTTAACATCATCCTGGCTCTCAGCCATGATCTTAGCCAATGAAGTAGGCCCATAGCGGATGGCGGACGACATCGGCGAGAGGCCCTCAGCGTTCCTTATGTCTAGCTTTGCTCCACCTCTGATAAGTGCTTCTACAATAGTCGCGTCGTTGGCTGCTGACTTCGTAATGGCTCGATAGAGCGGTACTCTATCCGCTGCTGGACCCATGAGTGCTTTGTGAAGCGGGGTGTCTTTGTCGTGGTCACGTATGTTCGGATCTGCCGAGTTATTTATGAATAAATCCAGAAGTGCACATCTACCGTATCTCACTGCCCAGTGTAGGGCCGTCTGGCCGTCGGAACATTGAGTGTTGATGTCGATGCCTTCCTTAAGGAGACGCACTGCCCAATCCAGAAGGCCGAAATGTACTGCGGCGTGAAAGCCCGTCATATTGTCAAAGGCGTCATTCTTGGCTCTCTCTATAGCCCTGAATGCTCTGGCAAGCTTAGAGCTGTCCTTAAGAAATTCCAACGTTAAAGACTCCGCCTCCGGGTCTGCTTCTTGGCGGCAGAGGTGTGCCCACCAATACTTAGCTGCGTATTGGAGCAGTGCGGGTTCGTCTTCCTGGCCATGCGTATTTACCAGGAGGCAGGATAGGCATGTCTTCGCTATTTCCAAGTCGGCATTTTCTGGGATGACCTTATGGCCTCGAAAAGAATCCTCTACCGACTTGTGGACGAGGGTAAACGTCTCTTTGTCCGGGTCCATAATGACCAAGCCGTTGCAGGCAGGCATGAGAAGTTCTTTTGCTGGCCGATGCTCTTCGTAACTCTTCCTACCACTCTTTTGTATGGCAAAGCCATCACGAATTTGGTCGGCAGTCAATTTTGTTTTCGCATGCATTATCCAAGTTAGAATGTGTTTTGTCAAGCAACTTTCGAAATCGTTTCCCCGTTTTTTGATCTTCTGAGCTATTTGCGCTGCCGTTGCGTGAAGGATGTCGAATGCGCTGTCAGGGAGATGGTCTAATGCTTGTTCGATGTCACCGAGTGTTCCTAATTTGCTCAAGTTGTCCATGTGAAGCCTGGCTGATAAGAACCTAAACAGGGTTAGTAATCATTCGAGATGGTTGGACTTGATATCAAACATTTTACTAGACAAGGTCATATCAGTGACCCTGGATATAACGTGGTTCCTATCTTGTTCTTTCTTTAGAGTGACCTTCAAAAACTCGCTGTCTTCGATCCTTTGCTTTAAGTAGGTCTCCACATCCTGCTGTACTAGTTTGATTGATAGTTTCTGGTTTGCTTCCCCTTCTAAGCCAACTAGGTCATTCCTAGAGGTGATGAGGACCCTGATGTTCTGCGGAAGGACTTTGAGGGTGCCTTGCATCTTTTGCTGGGTATCCCCCTCGCAGCTATCTAGAGCATCGATGACCAGGTAAACTGTTTTAATCGTCCCAGCCTGAGCTTTAAAGAGCTCTAGATACTCAGATGAGTCGAGCCCAAACGATCCTTGGAGGGAGTCGTCAAATTTCGCCTTCAATTCACCCTCCAGTGCCCCTTCTAGATCTCCCGATGCTTGTAACAGCTGTTCTAATAAGGTTGCCCATATACGCGCGACCGAATACTCTTCTCCCTCTTGGAAATAGAAGTAAACGCAAGCAATATCTTCGCCTCTTTCGATCTGCTTTTCGATTGAGTCGATTATAAGAGATCTGAGACGAAAAGTCAGTGTTCAGAACCCATGATACGAAACCTCGGCCACTAACATAAGCATAGTCTTACCAGACCCAACTATCCAAAGTGTTGTTAGTGCCGAGTGTACAATGGACTTTGCGATTGTGATTCAATTTTTACTTACGCATTCCGCGTAGCCAAAGGAATCGTGAAGAACTCGAAGAGTCTTTCCATGCCATAAGCTGCTCCGTATCTAGGACCCATTTGCCCGTACCATGAACTACTTGACGCAAAATCTTGGTGTGATGCCGGCGAACCTTCAACGGGGTTTGATCCGGTTGGCGCATGAGCCAGGAGATTATTTCCGCGCCTTAAAGCCCTCGTCAATACGTTATTACTTGAAGAAAATTATATGTTATGGGGGACAAACGATTGGGTCCCTCAGGGATACTTCCCGGTTTGGCCACAAACTGGGACTGAGAAAGGCGAAGCATGGAAGGTATCCCTCCCTCAGGTATATCTCTAAAACTGAGCACTAGATAGTCTTTAGAAACTAGGGTGACGTTATAGGAGGATTCGTTAGCTTACTATTGAACTGGTGGCCATATTTATTCACCGTGCCACTACCAGAGGCAACGTTCTGGTCCCCAGATCCACCACTGATACACTGAGCACCAGTCCCCAAATTTTCCGCTTTTACATTCGAATGCGTACGGGGGCCCCCTGGAAATGACATTTTTGTGATTATAATCAAACGAAAATTCGCTGCGATGCAAACCAATTTCTTCCTCTGAGTTGGGGTCCTTAAATAAACCGTTATTAATATATGCCCAAGCAAGCGATGTAATGGTCAAAAGCCACTAATACAAAGTTCCCGGTCATCACAGCGTCGCTTAGAAGCCCAGCCTAGTTTAGGGACCCTATGGCTTGTTGTAGGATTTAGTTGCAGAGAGCACCAGCTCAGGTAGCCTCCAACACGGACGGCTTGTGCTTTGGGGGTGATTATTGGTCCGATAACACAGTCAGAAGAAGCAGGCTACATACCCCCAAGCCGAATTCAGGTTTCCTATTTGCTCCTACCCCGGCATGCCGAGTTCTTCAGGTAACTCCATGACGCATTATTTGGGATAGTAATAAAGTGTAAATACCCAAATAGGTTCAAATATCCGAGAGAATCAGCTGAAAAGGGTATTGCGGCATCGATAGTGACGCCTGCTGATCGGTCATCCGGTTCCTATCCCTCCCATTTCTACCTGAAAGGCGTATCCGTGTCGCAGCCCAATATTCTGATATCTCTCAGCTAGTAAGATTTGAAATCCCCGCTCACATTCCAGATTCCCAGGGTAGAGGTAGCCTCACCCCGACCTTCCTAGATGCCTAGACTTGATTGCAATCTTGTTTTGAGAACCTGTTATCATCACGTGCATATTACATCCCACCATCACATACAAGGCGCTGTTACCATCGGCACCCATCCGAACGTGTAAGCTATTTGACTCCGTTAACCATTCCATAACGGAATGAGCGACCCAGGGAGATTTCTGTAATTTACAAGTCCCATTGTGCCTTAAAATGTCTCTTTGAGGGGAGATGACCAGACTAATTATATCCAGGCCCCAATACACCAACCAGCAGCGAAGGGCCCAACCCGAAAGAGTAAGAACACAGAGTCGCCCCGGTCATGGATCGGGTTTTCAATCCGGCGGGGGACCGGCCTACTCTCCTGGCTATCCGATAGGCTCGGTCGCCCGAAACAGCCTTCCACGGATACCGGAACTGTCACACGAGGGCTCTAACGTTGCGGAGATAGATTCAGGAGAAGACAACGCGTCGGTGATGCCGGACCGGCACCGAGCTGCTTACCCTTCCCCGCCGCCACGCCGGCCCCCTCCCAGAGGCTACCAGGTGGCAGACACTGAAACCGTCTCTGAACGCTTTCATAAGCACGCAGGCTATCACACGCAGCGCGATCCACCGTATAATCCACCCGAGAACGGGCGATTTGTCTACGGATGGAATCAGCCCTCAAGTGAAACATCTCTGACATCTGGCGAACCGATGATGACGGCGGCGGGTGGCAAGCCCCGCGCGAACCCCCGCGCGGGGGTGAGTGCTGTTGTACAAAAGAGCTTCCCCCAATATTGTGGCACAGATCCCGAGTTCGAATGGATCATGTCATTAGTAAGAAGAGAGAAGGAGGAGCAGCAGCAGACAGGCGAGGGGGCAGAGCAGCGTGGCACCAAGGAGAGAAGGGAAAGGGAGATGAAAAGCCAATTTGAAGCCGAAGACGAGGGGAGAGAAGCCGAAATGATGACGAATGAAGAGATAGTGAAGTTGGTTCAAGTGAAGTTGGAACAAGCAATTGACGAGGCCGTGAGATTGATCAAGGAGAAGACCCAGCAAGAGCTTGAAAAAAAGGAGCAGGCAGATACGAAAAAGGATGCTGCGCGAGACCGGTTACGGCCCGCGTTTCAGGCCAAGACGGAAGAGGCGGAGAGGCAAACAATAGACAAGGAAGCTACCGCACCGCCTGAGCGACAATCTTCTCCTAGCTCTCGTTACAGTCGATCTGAGGGATACCCAGAGCCACTCACCCAGAGTACAACATCTTCCCACGGGTTATCAGTATCTCAGAAGGACGAATCGTCGCCGGAGCGACCGCCCGATACGTCGGGACCGCCTAACATAACATCATCTGATATATCGGAAACACCTATCGTACCACCGCCTCAAGACGGGGAAGTGTTCCCGGGACCGCCGGCTGACGTATTGGTACTCAGCACATCTCCTTCTGAGGACGGCGAACCATTGCCGCGACAGGTACCGAGCGTATCCTTGTCTGAAACCGTTGAGTCGTTACCAGCGCGGCCGCCTAATGTACCGGAGCCACCTAACGTACTATCATCTGAAGACGTTGAATCGTTACCAGCACGGCCACCCAACGTACCGGATCCACCCACCGTATTATCATCTGAAGATTTTGAATCATTACCAGGATGGCCGCCTAACGTACCCGAGCCGCGTACTGAATATGCAGAGACTGGAAGCGAGAGACCGGCAATGGTAATTTTGCCTAGGCATAAAATGTGGCGGCTCTGGCGGTTAGATGAAGAGGAGAGGAGCCAAGAGCGCAGAGATCGTAAAAGATTACGCATCATCAAGGAAGAATTGGCGTTTCCCGTTGTTCGAACGCTAGTAGCCGGACTAGGTGGGCCCCCGCACAGATATGCGGCGCCTACACCACCCCCGTTCGGTCCAAATCATTTTTCCTATCCACCCAGGACGGATGGCCATCGCTTTAGGCGAACATTCCGGCGGTCTAGCCCGGAGGCGGAATCATCTAGTTTTGAATCCGAATCCGAGCCCGAACCCGACTACATGACGGATACGACTCGCACATACAGGCGAGCTAAAAGTGATCGATTCCAATCGAGGGGACGGCCATTGCGAAGTAACATCGAGAGATTCCAACATGGAGAAGGCGCGGCCGCATCACATCAACCAATCGCCAAGCAGGACGAGGGGGGTGCCCCTGTTCAGATGGGCCGCCGCCTGCTAATGGAAGCCGAGACAAGGCCCGTAGAATCAACAACCATACCCGAGCAGGAAAACGACGAAGAATATGCGATCCAAAAGTTAACGGAAAACGGCATGGAAGATATGAAGAAAATTAAAATTATCATAACAATATTGGCCGGGTTGATGAAGTCTCAAATTAAATCTATTTTATTATCATCATCATTTTTATTATTTTTGTTCGTATCATATTGTATCCATTGTTTATTTAAATTTTAATAAATCAATACAGGTTATTTTTCGTGTTGTGGGAAGACTTGTCGATTATGCACTAGTAGTACACCGTTCGCTGAACATGGGTACCTACCTAGGTGCTTAGGCAGGCAGCTAGGTAGCTATTAGTATATTAAAAATATATCAATTGGAAGGCTGGTACTTACCTACGTTAATAAGCAATTAGGTACTTAGGTTGACGGTTAAGAATTTATAACCTAGGTACCTAAGTGCCCACATAGGTACTCAGATACTAGGTAGTTAGGATTTTATATTTACTTTTTTGAAGGGTATAATCGACAAGGAACTTTTCCTTTCAGTGTAGTATTTGATATTTAGTGTGCTGTTGTGTATCGATATACTAAGCTAAAGGCGAATACAGTTAAACTTCCGGTGGCTTCATTTTGGCCAATCAGAGCTTCAGCCACGACGTCCCATTTACTACTTATGGAAAATACCTCCTACGAGTTACGTCAGCCAATCAAGGTAGTTAGACCTTGTTGGAGCTGAAATGTAGCTGCGGGTCGGGAAATATTGTCGCAAGTTGCTTTCAGTAGCTTAGATTAGTAGATTCGCTCGTCTTGACATGGAGTTTTAGCATCGAATCACCGGTGACATTGAAATAAGTGTAAAGTAGTGGAATCAATTTAAAATCAGACGAATAGAAGACATTTTACCTACCACTAATGCATGAGTCAGATTTACTTTCGAAGTGATAAGATCATCTTATCCACAAAGTTCAAACTCCTCAGGTCAAAGCTGTAGGGGATGAAGCTACCGATAGGCCAGAACAACTTCTAAGTGACCAATTAGAGGCTTCTTTGGTGTAAAGTCCCACATTTAGCCGTTGTCGGTTTTACAACAAACTCCGTGACTAGGACCTGCCTCATTCTCTGTTTGCCGTCTAGCCCCGTTTCTTCGTCCTCGCTCTTTCGCGTCTTCTCCGAACATAGGAGTATTACCAATTCAAATTCACTGCCGTTTTTTTTTTCTTCCTCAACAAATAATCTTCCGTATGCCGTGCACGACCCTTTATGTGAGGAACAATGGCGCCCACTTTTATACGTCCAGACAATTGTTCCCTGAGGAATTATTTCTTCCTCTCCCATCCTTGGACATGAGTAGGTATCAGACACAGGTACCTCAGTAAATATTTTTCTTTTCTTTTCTTGGGAAGCGGGCGGTGAGATCCCGTCATCGATCCATCCATCTTTATCCATCTCGCTCACGCATCCAATCTATTAAACGCGAGGCCAGCAAGTTTACCAGCTTTACCCCAGTCAGTCAGCCCCCGCTATTCTAGACCCTTGTCCATAATCGACACCATACGGATCGTCTCTAGCTGCACTAGCTCTGAAAATCAGCGACGTCAATATTATTTTTTCCACTTCCCATTCTTCCCCTTTAAGTTCTTTTTTTACATTCCTTTCCATTGTGACACCTTGGTTTCTTATTCACCTAGGTGTCAATTGTTTGTTGGCAGTGCCGACGAAGCAAATTATTGGATTGAATCGGATAGGATAAGAGAAGAACAGTCTTAGCCACATTGGCTACCCTCAACACAATGTCGGATCGTGAAGCTTCTACGCTAAACGTCCGCGATGACGAGAAACTCGAAGACCTAGAAAGCGGCATCAAGCCATCCAGCCACAACACACGCCGGAGCTCATCGGCAAGCACAGCGCAGGAAGAAGAAAGTCAAGGAAGCGGAAATGCACCTGCTGCAGTTAGTACTACCGCCGCTGCTGCGACCACGGACGCTTCGGGCAACTCGCCTGCTGCAGGAGATGGTGGCGCTCCAGCCACCAAAGCAGGAGAATTTGAAGGGGGACGGACGAAATTCCAAACCGCCGTAATCGTATTCGCACTATGTTCAGCTCTCTTCCTCGCCGCCCTCGACGTCACAATCTACACGACGGCTATTCCAACCATCACCGAGCAATTCAATTCCCCCGCGGGATACACCTGGATCGGCGCTGCGTATCTACTCGCTAACTCCGCTACCGTGCCTTCCTGGGGAAAGTTTTCCGATATCTGGGGCCGTAAACCCGTGTTGCTAGCCTCAGTAGCTATATTTTGGATTGGATCGCTACTATGTGCCGTGAGTGTCAGCATCGGAATGTTGATCGCAGCCCGTGCGATACAAGGAGTCGGAGGAGGCGGTATTGTTGTGCTAACTAACATCTGCGTTGGTGATTTGTTCTCGCTACGCAAACGAGGCATGTATTACGCCTTCTTTGGTATGGTTTGGGCTATTGCGTCGGCAATTGGCCCGATTCTTGGTGGTGTCTTTACTTCCAAGGTCACCTGGCGTTGGTGCTTTTACGTGAACTTGCCTATTAGCGGTGTCGGCTTCTTCATCCTTCTGTTCGTCCTCAAGTTACACAACCCTCGCACACCCGTCGGAAAGGGCCTAGCCGCCATCGATTGGCTAGGTAGTCTATTGATCATCGGTGGTACACTTATGTTCCTGTTCGGACTTGAGTTTGGTGGCGTTACATACCCTTGGAACTCGGCACCCACAATATGCCTGCTCGTATTCGGTGTCGTTGCGATTGCGCTCTTCATCGCTGTTGAGAAATGGTACGCCAGGTACCCAGTAATTCCACTCCGATTGTTCCAATTCGGAAGGAACATTTCGACTTTCGTCATCTGCACGGTCCACGGTCTTGTCTTCATATCGGGAAGCTACTATTTGCCGCTGTACTACCAGGCCGTACTCGGCGCTTCGTCTCTACTGTCTGGTGTGTATCTACTCCCGTACGTCCTCGGACTCTCGTTCATGTCAATTTGCTCTGGTATCTTCATGAAGAAGACCGGTAAATACCTGCCGCCCATCATTTTCGGTATGACTTTCATGACACTCGGATTTGGCTTGTTTGTCGATCTCAGCCCCAAAGCCAATTGGGCCAAGATAGTCATATTCCAAATCATCGCAGGAATGGGTGTGGGACCTAATTTCCAATCGCCCCTCATCGCATTGCAAACATCCGTCGATCCCCGCGATGTCGCAGCAGTAACTTCTACCTTCGGTTTCATCCGACAACTTGCGACGGCGGTTTCCGTGGTTATCGGAGGCGTAGTATTCCAGAATGGGATGGAGAGACAGTATCCGACTTTACTAGCCGAACTCGGTCCGGAACTCGCCAACCAACTTTCGGGCGGTAGCGCAGGTGGCAACGTCGGTCTTGTAGCTTCTCTTCAAGGACAGCAGGGCGATATAGCCCGAACGGCTTACTGGAACAGTTTGCGCGATATGTACATCATGTACACTGCCATTTCCGGAGTAGGACTCCTCGTCAGTCCATTCATCACCCAAAGGACGCTGAGCCGAGAGCACCAAGAACACAAGACGGGACTTCAAAGTCTACAACGGAATAACGATGCGCAACAATCCGCACCAGCCGCAATCGCGAATCCTTCAGAAAAGGAATCTCGATAGGATATACTTGTTTAGACGAAAAATCTCACGTAGTTCATGACAGCTCAGAGAAGCATTTGGTGTATAAAAGTGAGTTTAACGGGCATTGGGGAAATAAGGGTTGGATTATGTCATAAACATTAGACGGATATCCGGATACTCTCGCATTTACATCGCTTAGGATTTATCAATAAATTTAATGTATTGTATCTATGAAGCTTACGTCCGATGTTGCGCGATCTTCGTAAAACGAGATTTACGATTGATAAGGGACGAAGTTACCATACTCTCGGGTCGTTTGTATGCATCTTCACGGCGTCCAACAGACTGATACTTCGATGAAGTTTCTCTCTTTATTAAGTCTAGCGCCAACAACTAGACAGGGGCCGTTGTAACGCACCAATCGAACTCGATCCTATCCAGATCGAGGGCTTAGTGCATGCTGCATCTGCAGGTGGATGCTTTGGTGATGGCGTGATGCGAGAGGCATATCGCGTGCTAACATCGCAGTTCGAGCGATCAGAAATTGTACTACACGAAAACTACAACCTTTAAATCTTGTTTATGAGATATACACGGCATGATGAATGTGTGCTAACCTACGAACATGACGGTCAACAACTGGGAACACACTGCGCACGAAGCCGCGCGACGGGCTATGGATACGCTGCTAGTGAACTGGCATCTAGGGCTGACGGCTTTCGGTGGTCCACCCGTTCATTTTAAGATTGTATGCGGATCTTCTTTCGCCTTTGGAAGTTCCTGACCATCATTAGTTTCATGATAAATTCGTTTTGAAGCTCAAATGGATTAATGAGCAGATGGTACGTACCTACCTAATGTGGCAATACGTAAAGATGGGAAAGCCAACTTCGTCTTAGTATCAGGAACTCTTTGGCGTCTCGCAGGCCTTGTCTGGCCCCGCGAGTACTAAGATGTTGTACTGTATAAATCTCATCCATAATGGTTTGCTTGGGGCTATCCTCGGTTTCTTCCTTTGGAGGTTAGTGTTGATCTGTATCTCTATTCATACCTAAGACTGAAACTGAATGCGTCTTCTCCACCCAGTCTCCCAGGGGCACTAGGCATGCTGGGCTTGTCTATCGGTGCATCAAACATCGGAGACTCTTTACCTCGTCCAGTATACGCTTTGCTTTCGGGACTCAATGCTGCCACGGTGGGAATCATTGCGCTAGCGGCAGTTGAGTTGTCGAACAAAGCAATAACGGACAAGCTCATGCGATTTCTTGTCTTCTTGGTTGCGGCCGCCGGGTTGCTTTATAATGCCTTATGGTACTTTCCAGTTCTTATGTTTGGCGCCGGTTGCGCTGCTATTGTTTACGATTACCGTTGGATCCATCGGACTGTCCGAACTATTGGGAGGAGACTTCAGCGGGGAAGCCCAATATCGACTGGAGAGCGGCACATGACAGAGCAGCAGTCTGTTCTAGCTTCAATTTCGTCTTTGAACTCGGCTGTCAATGGAAGCAGGCATCGTAGAGAAATAGTCGCATCGGATGTGACTCTAGAAACGCACCCGGCGAGCCTGTCACTTGAGCCCGGACCTCGCATCATTCCGGAAGAATATCGTCTAGACTTCTCATGGAAAGTTGGAGCTGCCGTCATCGCCATATTCTTCGCCACATTTCTCGTAGTCATAGTTCTACGAGGAACCCTAACCCATCCACCCCTCCTCTACAAACTCTTCGCTAACCTATACCTCGCCGGCACTATAATCTTCGGCGGCGGGCCGGTCGTGATCCCCTTGCTCCGAGAGTACGTCGTGGCTGAGGGGTGGGTCACTCCGCGCGACTTTCTGATCGGGCTGGGTGTTGCACAAGCCTTTCCCGGCCCGAATTTCAATTTTGCCGTTTTTCTAGGCGGCCTGACTGCCGTTCATGGGGGATATTCCTATGTCGCCGGTGCAACTATCGCGTTTTTGGGTATCTTCTTTCCCGGCATGGTTCTTGTGCACGGGACAATGGGAGTATGGGGAGGCTTGCGGAGTAGGCGTTGGGTGAAGTCGGGAGTGAGAGGCGTTAATGCTGGGGCTGTTGGGTTAGTATTCACGGCTGTGTACCGGATCTGGCAAGTTGGATATATAGACAAAAGTTTTCAGTCTGGGAGAAGTCTGGGAGATGATCCGTGGTGGGTAGTCGTAACTGCAACTGCTTATGTAGGAGGTAAATACTTCGGCGTCGAAGCTCCGTTAGCTATCGTTCTTGGGGCTGTTTTGGGCTTGGTTAGATATGGAGTTGTGGTTGGTCATTACTATGCCTCTTAGGTGGACTAGCTTAGAAACCGTATATCCCAATGCTATTAGTTCAGAATCTAGCTCAAATACAACTTGAACTTGGTGAGTTGTTGATGAGTCTTTTCAATATTGATCGGATGGGTGAAGCAGTACATTTCGGAGTAACCCTACACCGGCGGGATAGGTACCCCTGGTGTTGGCTAACTCGTTGATTCGCTCAAGCTACGGTGCGCTAAGGCGGATACTCACCCTTACATCGTAGTGTAACACTATGAAGTGACCCGTCACATCAGCATGCAGGCAGCTTACACCGGTGGTCTCGCCCTTGCCCCACATTCTCTCTATGAAGTTCAGCCCTCAGCCTTCACTTTCTTAATTCAATTTCCTACGGAAGTAAACAATCGACGAGAAGCAGGCGGCGTTGATTGTGAGACATACCAGATTGACTTACTCGGTATTGATCGATCGGGATGGGTTCCGTTAAGGTGTTAAAGACCCTCGGTGTAGGAAAGGTATATTAACTAGTAGACGAGTCGACCTTACAAGTAACGACTAATACTTCTAGGGTATAACAATGGAGGTTAAAATCGACGAGTCTGAACCAGAAGATTCCGTTAATAGGTACTGCATGGACACGATCTCAACCGGAGAGGAGGCAGTTTCTATCCTACCGCATTGGCATAAGGTAACAGAGCTATTCGGAAAGCTCGATATTATCAAGTGAGGATGCTAAACATAGCGATCTTCTTAGTACCATTCAGAGTACCTCAGTGTTATTGAGGGGAGGATAGAACTTAGCTTGGACGGAGAGAAAATCATTCTTAGAGCTGGTGATCCTGCGATACTTGTCCGACGTCGGGTAGTGCACGGGTTTAAAGGCTTCGTCGGTGAGAGGCTTGTCTTTCGGGAACGGCCCGATCCCGCAGGCATGTACAAAGCTCTGTAAGCGTACCCATTCGGACTCAGCCTACAGGCTGCGCTCATCGAACCCGCTGCTACAGGTTTTCAATGATGTATTTTCAACGGGGCAATTCGAAGGGTTCTGGCACATATTGAGGGCGTTCTACGATGGTGATACGTACCCCTCGTTACACCTGTATTTCCAACTCTTCGACGAGATAGTAAGTCGCTCACTTCCTGAATATAAATTAGTATATTCGCCATTTGCTAAGCTAAATCTCAAGTTTATCTCGATATTCGGAGGGATTGCGCATTTATTCGCGCCTCGAAAACCTAAGGAGTTATAATGGTACCAAAGTAGCGCAACGCAATCATCATCAGATCGTAATAACCCTATGGACGACACAGTTCCTGAGAGACAGTTCAAGCACATCTGGGGTACACTAGATACCAAATTCTATTTACGCATGTAGTTTTAGTATTTTACAACTATTTTCAACCACGCGTAAGTATTCATAACTTCAAAAACGCCATGCCCATATGCCCAGATACCCACCCCGTGAACATGCTCCGATGGATTTAATATGGCGCACCATCCCATCCACTATCATACATCTAACAGCGCCAAATCCAACCCCCCTCTAGATCTTCCTATCAACCGACCCATCCCAAGCTGGTCCAGCAGTTTAACCACTAATCAAGCCCATTTTAACCCATAAGAAGTGGAAGAACTTGAACAAGAGCATGCCGATAGTCGCAGCAACCCCAAGGGTCATGAAGACTCCTACCAAGAACATAATGCTCCCAAGAAACTTATAGATCGTAGGCGGATCTTCCTTTGCTGCCGCTGCCGCTGTAGTCTCAGTCGTCCCAGGTGCTTGCGATTCGTATGCCGGCGGCGCTGATGATGCCTGCGCCTCTAAATCCTCATTCTCACGGTCCTCTGCGCGAATGAAAGGAGCCTGTTCGGATGCATGTGCCTCATCGTCGGCGTCGGTATCCGCGCGCGCGAGTTTGGTAAACTCGAATCCGTCGTTATTCGCCATGACCATAGCTCCTATCTCTGAAATATAGATTTCCCTTAATATTTCTTCGTCTAACGATGATGCGGTGGGAATGTGGTTTTGTCGTATGATTTGCGCGTTTCTGATGATATGCCTTATCATCTGTCGTCTAGTCGTCTATTGCAGAAAAGAAGGGTGAACCGTTATATAGCTAATTCAGATGAGTTGTTCTCAATTGAAATCCTTCGTAAAACACAACACGACAAATGCAATGTCCAATACCACTCAAAGCTAGTATGTGGTAGGGAAGGCAACTATATAAAAGGATTCTATAGGTCGAATCCGCCTGGGCTGTATGCCTTGGCCGACTAAGCCACCCCAAAATCCTACTTTGTCCTACCCCGCGGTATATAAATCGGGCGTCATGTCTCAGACACATAATTGGCGCTTGTTGCGGAGTTCAAATCTCTCCTCGCCTTGCTATTCCTTACCTTTTGAAGAATACGTATAAATACGGTTCCAAACTTCAACTATGCCTGGCCCCTTGACGATCGCGCCCAGAAATAAGTTCCAATAAACGGTTAAAATAGGATCAAGCCATAAGCTAAGCAAGCGAACATATCTACTAAAGAAGCATACGATTGCGTGGCGAAGACTGATTGCGTGTCAACGAACTCAGTAACTCCGAGCCGTCTAAATTCTACCGAAAACACATCCTGACCAGGTGCAAGTCGCCTTCTATGAAATCTAACGTCTAATCTATGTGTTTTACGCTTTTCTTTTCTCGTCTCGTATCGTATAATAAACATGATCGACATCATAGACCCAAAATCTCGTGAAAATCATGTCCATCGCTCTATATTCGAATACATACCCGTCCCGTATACAACACTCGAAGCTCGCGAACGGGTATATCCCGTCTCCTATAATTTAAATCAACAATCCGGCACACTAACCGGGATATTCAACGGCACACTAGTCGCCAGCCCACTCAAACTAGTTTCCTTAAACTCATTCCGCATACCCTGAGCCGTAAGTCTCATCGCACGAATAGCATCATCCAAGCGCACCTTCTGTGTGCCAGCCTCACTACTAAGCGCCAAATTGGCGCTTGAAATCGCCTTGATAGCACCCAGCGCATTCCGCTCAATACATGGAGCCTGCACTAGTCCACCGATGGGATCGCATGTTAGACCTAAATTATGCTCAATGCCGATTTCCGCGGCTTGCTCGATGGTCTCGGGAGTCGCGCCCATGCATGCGGCGAAAGCGCCCGCGGCCATGGAACACGCGACGCCGACTTCGGCCATGCACCCTCCTTCCGCGGCGCTGATGGTGGCCCCGCGCTTGTAGAGCATACCGATTGCTGCGGCGGTTAGGAGGAAAGTGAGAATATCGCGTTCGGGATCGTCGCTAATGAATTCGACTGTGTATTTTAATACGGCAGGGATGATGCCGGCTGCGCCGTTAGTTGGCGCGGTTACGATTCGCCCGCCGGCTGCGTTTGTTTCGTTTACGGCGATAGCGTAGACTGTAAGGTAGTCCATTGCTGGGAATGTGGTGCGGCGTGGAGGGGACGGCATGATAGGGTGGTATATCGAGCCGTGTACACGGGGAGGACCGCGTTTGCCCCTCGTACCTCTGCGACTCAGTGCCGTCGTCTCCGATTTCGGTAATTCGGCCACTCCTCTGCCTGGAGATAACGCCCCACCAATTTTACTATCTGGAGCGGATAGCTGCGCTTGTGCATGTGCTGCGGCGGGAGTCTGCGTATGCGATGGGTAAAGACCCCTCGTTAGCCGTTTATATAAAGCTGGCGCCCTTCTATGCAGCTTGAGCGAACCCGGTAATGTCGTATCAAGGGGCGCTTGAACACCTTCGAGAATGCTATTGTCCATGACTTCCCAGATACGCATCACCCTCTTATAAATCTCGTCGTCTGTGTATCCATGGCCCTTCTCGTTCTCATACACTAGCTGGGCAATAGTTAAGTTATGCTTATTGCACAGAGCCAGCAGATTACGGGCGTCGCGAAACGCATATCGAGGCTGTTGAGAAGCCGTGTCGGTCCCACCGGCATCAGTATCGGATACCGAGGATGTGACAGGCGGTCTGCTCGAAGTTTGTGAATTGGTTTCGAGTAGAGCCGTCGACACATCAGCAGGTTCGTCATCAAGGGGCTTGATCTCAGAACCGGTTCTTCGGTCTCCTGCCGCATCCGCTCGTCTAATTTCCTTGTAAAACAAGTTCTCAGCCAGATCAAGTGGGTGCCCTCCACTCCCTTCCGTCTGCAGTTCTTTCGTATCGGCTAAGGCGTTTTCCGTAGCTTTCTTCGACGCCGCAGCTGTAGCAGCAGTTGACAGCGCACCATTAACAACGAAACCTCCACCCACGCTGAAAAAGTCGTTGGTCGCTAACATCATGCCTTGGTCATCGAATACCATAAAGCGCATTCCATTACTGTGCAGGGGTAGCTTTTTACCCCATTCCCATTTAAAATCCCGATCATAGTCGAAGTCGATTTCCCTACCTTTACCCTCCGGAAGTCCGTGGCCTAAGAATAATTTTTTGTCCTCTTTGATCTGCGCGAAGCGGATAGGGACGTAGGATGTGTCAACTGATTCCACATCCGCACTTTCGAGGCCCAGCAATAGCGCAGAGGGTGTCATACTATTAAATGTTCAGTATTAGTAGATATTTCCAACTTCAAAAAATCCAGGACGTATGTGTCAAGTATCCCGATTTTGAAGGAAATCTCAATTGGGGTCCGGACAGTTGAATGTATGATGGTCAATCAAATATTGGAGAGTACATACTGGCCCTCGCCCGTGAGCGCAAGACTTCCATAGATTGAGATGCGAATTTTATGCACTTTATCAAGCAAGCCGGCTTCCACCAAGTCGGCTACGAAGATACCACCGGCACGCATAGGCCCCACCGTATGGGATGATGAGGGGCCAATGCCAATAGAGAATAAATCGAAGGTCGAGATAACAGCATGTTCATGATCGGCTTCACTGTATGTTCCGGACTGCGCATCTTCGTTGCTGTCAGAGGTAGACGGTGCTGTACTCAGACGTCGCGTTTGTAGTGAGTATGGTGAATTTAACACTGCTCGTCTCCAAATGCGAGGTGTCGTCCCGACGATATTAATTGACCGTATGCTTGCCAATCGTCGAGATGCCACGCCAGCAGCATTGCGAAGCAGGTTGAGCTGCCTCACCGCCGCACGGCTCATTGTGACTCGACGGGACGGGAATGCGCCCGAACGCAACCAAGCGGGACAGCAAACGGTTGTATGGTGTAGTTAAGCTTCACTATAGCATAACGGTTCTACAGAATCAATTAGTCTGAATATGAACCAAGTACCTCCCGAATTATAAAAATGAATAAAAGATTGAAAATAAAGAAGTCGCTGGCGACAAATCTTCGGTGACGGTATTGTAAGAAGTACCTAAGTAACCTAGGTAAGCAACTATCCAATAATATGACAGCGATTTCCAAAAATGCCTTGGAGTTCGTATTATAAAGCTTGGACCAAGAGACACTAATGCGCTAATGTTAGGGGATCTGACGTACGAAGCTTTTCCCTGGGGAAGATCTGTACCTTAAGATAGGCGTTAGACGTTAACTTTACGGCGGGGTGTTCCGATCTAGCGAGACTTTTTAAGGCTGCTTTGTTACTTTGTAAATACCCGGATAGGATAGACACCTAAAATATCACAAGAAAAAACTGGCGGTGAAAAAAGTTCTAATTCTTATATCAAATTTCAAAGATAAGGATTGGATGGACAGGGAGGTTGGATATTTACGATATTACTCGGTAGTGCGTAACACGACTCGCTCCAGGGTTGAAGCACCAATGAAGAACAACTCGCGATGTCTCATATCTTTTGTGGATTTTCGGTATGGCATTTCATATTGTAATGATGAATTGTCATGTTTATTGTAGGGTGTTTTTTGTCGCTCACTTGGATGAATTGGCACCTTTGAACCTAGTCCGGTTCCAGATAATCGTTGTAGACCGCCAGATATAAGAGCATACGCCTGGCTTCCCGCGAGTCATTAAGCCCGATAGTTGATATAGAGCTTATCATTCATTCATCCGGCCAACCTTTTTCAATCCCAACAACTCGGTCATTGATCCCATAAGGCCTATGACAATTCCAAAGTTTTCGGAGTTTTTGTTATTTATTGTACCCCCTGGCGGCACCACTCGTTCGATGAGGTTCCATCAATGCGCCACATTCGTCATAAGAGGGGTTTTTCGTAGGCGGACATGAAGCTCGTTATTATCGTGATCATATTCATACTCTCATAAACAACCCCAGCTAGTATCAAACTCGCCGTCAAAAGAGATAAATTCGTTGGCAATGTTAAGCCAGAAACGCATCAATTGGATATCAGCATTTATTAGGGGTTGGTCCCACCGGATGCGCTCCTTTGAAGACCCTGACTAGGACCGAGCACTGGATCTTCAACGCCGCTGCGCTGCCTCTCCAATCCCCACCGCATTCCTTAGGCGATGGAGGGAGACGATGGAACGGGCACCAAAATTTCAAATGGTCCCTGGCATCGATATATAAAGAGGCTTTCACACCTCTGAACTCTTCCAGGAATTTAAGAAAAGTCTGGAACGGTTCCCTCGTAACTAAAAGGGGCATAGAAGCAACCGTCCAACCCCCTCTTTGATCCGGGAGGCGCACATTGCCATACGTGAACATATCATCCTCCTCGAGACCCCAGAACTCGTAGCAAGGAAAGCGGCTTCCGACCTCTAGTCGTAAGTTCTGGAGTCGGCCTTCTTCTACCATTTCCCGTAAGGCAGTGCCGTAGGTACCTCCGAATAAGGAGATATGTTCATTCATAGGGAATCTGATAGTCAAGTTCCGCACATACTGTCGAGGGGCAACCCTGGTAAGTTGCCCAGCTAAAAAGGGATCAACCGTCCCCTTAAGACGCATGTTGTCGAGGTAGACCTCTTCGTAGAATATTGTTGCAGCTTCGGCGTAGATGCTTTGACATGTTAAGAAGAGACGAACAGTATATTTTGTAGAATCTGACTCGAGGATTACGAGTTTTAGAATTTGGTCTCTGAGCTCTGCTGGTAGATCGAAGAACCGGAATGGCCCGTTCCAGCAATTTTTGGGGCTGACATATTTCTGAGGTGGCTTTTGGCGGAATAGAATAGACCTATTTCCTCTGTATTTGCCCATAGTCGTACTCAAACAATCTCGACGATGGGCTCACTCAGCGCTAGAATGACCCCTGATATTTTTAACGTTTCTTGGAACCCCAAAACAATATTCTGTCTCTAGTCTTCTCTCTGGTATGCTGGCTTTTTATATGAGTATATTCTGTTAGGAATAAAGGAATTGAGAGAATTTAGGAGTTGATATATTTCATACAACATACATGTATGTATTAGTTGTGAAAAGCAAAAGTAGATGATGTAAAGGCGGTATGTTATGGCTTGAAGGTACATATCCGATGTATTATGTAATCATTCTCATTCTCCTGAACTCCAACCCCAACACCGATCCGTCTTTGTTTCTCCACTTTAAAAGATTAGTGTAACCGCGCCCGCGTCACCCCTGAGTGTCCCATCGGTCCCCACTCGCGCAAGTTCCCTTGACCAGGATCTCGTATCGTCAATTTGGTCAATTCGTGCTTTTCTTGTAAAAAAACTTACTACACGAAATCAACTAAGGCCTCATTGGTCCTCTTCCTCTCCTTTTGCGATTCCATGATGCTCAGGGAGTAATCATTACTGTCGCTGTAATATTTCGCATACTCGGATTCTTTCCATGTCTTGACGTTTGCATATACATCTTCTTTTCTTTTCCTTTTCTAGGCACATCTGCCTAATCTCTTCTCTTTCTCGCGATGGGGGTCTTATCTTTCTTTAGAAATATCTACGATCTCGATACCCTCGACACTCGCTTTACAAATTCGTCATCCACGCCTTATAAAACCGTTGTAGAATCACGTAATGATACTGCCGCGAGTAAAGAACGTGCTGCCAAGTGGAATAGTCGGGCCCCGCCGTCAAAATGGAACACACCCGAGTTCTATTTTTACGGCATTTTTCTCTGCTTTCTCATACCTTACATGTTCTGGGTAGCTTCCGATGCTTCGAACCGTATGCCCCGCGCTACCCACGAGATACTACCTCCTGAACTTCTAAATTGACTCCTTATATAGCGGCGGATCCCAAATACAAAAGATATGAATACTTGCTCATTCCAGGATGGATACCGGGACGTAAAATCGTAGGCGCACCTAAACTTCGTTCCCAACGTGTGTTAACAACTTGAAGGATGTCTCCGATTCCCAGTATCGCACATTTCGAAAGAACATTCCGTATATGGCCGCGCTCCTTACCTTCCACCCCCTTTTGCGCCGACTTTATAATACGATCGTATACCCGATCAAAATAACAGAACAATCCGCGCGACCAACACCAGAAGAGGCGGATCAAAGACTAAATCAGCGAGCTTCGTACGACTTTGGCTTTGCGTTCATATACCTCATCGCGCTACATGGAGTTTCGTCTCTGAAGATCCTTCTAATACTCTATGTGAACTACCAACTTGCAACAACTTTGCCTCGAAAATATATACCTGCCGTAACATGGATTGGCAATGTCGGCCTACTATTCGCGAACGAGCTATGCAAAGGGTACCGATTCGGAGATATTGCTGTCACAATTGTTGGGAACCCCGTTCACAACTCACTTCTCGACTCGGGCTCTGCGTTGGTATCGTGGGGTAGATGGCTTGATAGCTACGGTGGTCTCATGAGCCGATGGGAGATCCTCTTCAACATCACCGTTTTGCGACTGATTAGCTTCAACCTAGACTACTACTGGAGTCTAGATCGCAGAAGCTATAGTCCCGTCGAAGTGAGTTGTCCTATACCATAACGGCCCACCTTATTAGATCATATACTAATGCTCCTAAGAAGAAACAAGTTGACCCTACCGCTTTGAGTGAACGAGACCGCGTATCGATCCCAGCGCAAGCAAAAGACTACTCCTTCCGAAATTACGTCGCCTACACCATCTACGCCCCTCTATATCTCACAGGCCCGATCATAACCTTCAACGACTTCATCTCCCAACTCCGCTACAAGTCCGCGACCATCGAGATATCCCGCACGATCAAATACGGAATCCGCTTCGCCCTTACACTTCTCGCCATGGAAATAATCCTACACTACGACTACGTACAAGCGATTTCCAAAGCGAACCCAATATGGGGCGATTACACAGCCGCGCAGCTCAGCCTCCTTAGTTTCTTCAATTTACACCTAATCTGGCTCAAGCTCCTCCTCCCCTGGCGTCTCTTCCGTCTCTGGTCCCTAATCGACGGCGTCGACCCGCCCGAAAACATGATCCGCTGCGTCAGCGACAACTGGAGCACCCTCGCCTTCTGGCGTAGCTGGCATCGGAGTTTCTACCGCTGGTCTCTACGCTATATATACGTACCCCTCGGCGGATCTAGTTTCCGCACCTCGCGCGACGCCGCGAGGTCGATTCTTACCTACGTCTTAGTCTTCACATTCGTCGCGCTATGGCATGATATCCAGATGCGTCTTCTAATATGGGGTTGGCTTGTCGTATTCTTCATGTTGCCTGAAATGGCGGCAGGCGCTATATTTCCGAAGCGCAATTGGGAGAATCGACCTACGGCGTATCGCATGATCTGCTGCGTCGGCGCTGTGGCGAATATTTTTATGATGATGACGGCGAATTTGGTCGGGTTCGCAGTTGGTGTGGATGGGCTGCAGAGGATTGTTGCGGGGATATTTAGGGATTTCTCTGGTGAGCTTGCTCTCTTATTCGTCCATCTCCCCCTTTTATTGGAGATGGTGTGTACTAACGGCGATTATAGGATTCGTATTTATCTTGGGCGCTTGCTCGGCGTTCTTTGTGGGTGTGCAGGTCATGTTTGAGATTAGAGAGTCAGAGGCGAGGCGTGGTATCAATTTGAAATGTTGATATCCGCGCAGTATTCCTATATCCAACAATTTAACACCCGAAAAGCAAGCGCATTAGAGCATGCCCTGTTACTATACCATAAACATAGATGGGATAAACTGTATATACTCAAAATTATGGTTATGTAATATTGTTATTATATATACCCGCCCACTAATGATATAATACTTTCAAATGACAACATATCGCTAACTCGTTGGAGGGTATCTGGTAGGTAGACATACCTACCTCATAACGTTAACATGCGAACCACCACACTCTCAGACGCTTGCTTTTCTAGGAAGAACACAGACAGATAACCACCCAGAAACGCCTATAGCATACCTAGGTAGCTCACGCAATATAAATCACTTATTCGCAAACCTACCTAAACCACCCAACTCATGCGCCTCCATATCCCCCACCCTCGCCTTCCCCTTCGCAAAAACACCACGTCGTCCCAACTTCTCCTCCGTAATCCACCTCCGTGCCCAAACAACACACCACACGATTCCAAATACAATAACCGCCGCAGCCCCGATACCGAAAACATACGCGGCGACCAACTTCCCCGTTTTCCCCGGGTCCAAGAAATCATACGTATAAAAGCCCTCGGAAGCTTTCGTCACGTAGGCTAGGGCTAGGTATAGGGCGAGAATGATAATACACCATAGCGCGTGGATCCAGGGCTGTGGGGTAGTCCGCGGGATTAGGATTTCGAAGAGTGCGAAGAATGAGTTTAGGGCGTGTTCGCTTATGGCGCCCCATGCTAGGTACTGCGTTGGGAACCAGGAACTACCGTAGGGGTAGAGGACACCCCAGTATACGATTGTTACTAGGAACGGGTATGTGGTCACAGTGCTGTAGAATAGGGCGTGGAGGGCTTGGAGGGGGCGCGGCCAGGTGTTTAGGAGGGGCGTGGAGGTGGGGGAGAGGATGTAGGAGAGTGTGTGGATGGAGGAGAAGAGGAGGTAGAATGCTAGACCCCAGTAGGTGAGTACGGTGAAGTAGGAGAATGAGGCGCGCGCTTCCCAGCACCCGCCTATGTCGGCGTGGGCGCATTGATAGCCTAGGGTGAAGAAGAGGGTTGTGAAGGCATAGAGGGACTATGATGGTGGTTAGCTTATTTGGTTCGGTTGTAGAGTTGGTGATATGATGATAAGGCTACGGGTGCTGGCATTATAGGGTTATGTCATATGTGATGTGAATCGTGATGCAGATGTGATATGTGCAACCCGCCGCCACGGAACCGGGTAGATCCGTATACTCGGATGTGGCCGTAACAAGTGCACATTTTGAGTTTAAATTCATATATCATGAAACATTGCCCGAGTTATTAAGTAAATGAAATAAAATAAAATAAAACTCACAAATGAAGCCCGTAGTGTAAATAATAACCACGGCGGTATCAACCACGATGTTTCGAAGCGGTGCGTCGGGTCGAAGGGATCGGACCCGAAAGCGAAGACGCGCGGCATCGTCGATTATTCTTCACCAACCCTGCCCGATAGATATCCTTCAAATTTCGAACAGACCTTTTCGACTTTCGTTTGAATAACAGACCAAAGGAAAGAAGACAGTTTATAGTAGAAGGTAGGAATTAATATAGGAAGGACGTTGAATGAGGCTCCTTCCCTTACCTGATCCTTTTCTTTGTTATTATAATTATTGCAGATAGGTACCTAGCCGGCGGTGCTTCCCAAGGAATCGAATCACTATATGTAGCTAGCTGGCGAGCAAGGATTGTAGGCGTAGCAGTAGCAATCCACATAAGCGAGTGAGGCGCAAGCCATACGAGGAGGTATGTACTTAAAAACTCCACCAAAAAGGAACAGAGAAAAAAAAGGAAATTAAAATAAAATAAAAAAGAAAGCCGAGCTAGGAATGCCACGCTAATTTAATAGCTGAAAAAGACACAGACACCAGGCGCGTCGACTCTCCCCATTCTATAAGAACGAAGACGGACGGGGGCCATGAGGGAACCCTTACATATTATCCGCACATGATACCTCGGACAATATGCTAAGTTAGGGTATATACTCGGGGAGCACTACATACCAATATAAGACGCAAAACGTAATAGTCAATTTAATTCTCGTCGTATACATAATGTCTAAGCCCAACCAATCAAAAAATTTAAACCTCCAATTTATTCACAGCGCTACCTCAACTACCACAAATAGTCATCGCGAACAGCATTCCCTTACCCAAAACTCCACCCGCTAAGATTTCAGATCCGTTCTAAATCTTAGCAACAAAGTCCGCTCTCCTAGACATCTACACTAGTATAATAGTCTTCAGCGAAAGAAAAACGCAACCCACCAAAAAGAACCCCAAAAGATCGGATGATCTCCCCCTACCTACACGTGGCCGAGGCCAGACCTCCAAAAAAGGCGACCAATACAGATGCATCAGGAGGGGTGTAGACCTTCCAGAACAGGAAACACCTACATCACCGGTTCGACAAGCAACAGACAGTTGACTTAAATGTTCTAGCCTTGACCATGCGATGATAGGTTCCTGGTGTTTATTACACATGAAATAAGGCCGATGTCTTAGACTTATATATTTGGTGAAGATTGATTGATATTTGTATAGAAACATCGTGAGTTGCACATAGTTTAACTTGAGAATACTGGATGCTTGATAAAAAATGCTTAAAAACTACGATTAAGTAAGTCAACAGCGATAGATAAATGACACCCAAACCATTTAACGCCTCTTTAACTCCACGCATCCGTAAATGCATCGCTATGCCACTAGGTTCGCAGCCCATATCATACATCCCTCACGTGTATACACATTAAACGCCGTTTGGTGCCAGATGTGAAAAAATTGACATAGGGACCCAGGTTTAGATATCGCGAAGGATCGAAATCCTCCATTAGGATTATGTTTGTTCGGGATTCATTTCCACGTCGTAGCGGAACATCTCAATCTATTCCATTAGTAGATCTTAAGTCCCGATAGCAAACGATAGGCTTTAAGCCATCTCAGATCAATAAAATCCATAGTGCAACATCAAAGATGTAGAACATATATGGTAGCAGATCTGTAGCGATAAGAAGCCAAATGTGGCTATGCAGTATGGTTGATCAGCAATAAACTCAACACAAAACGCCAACGCGGCGCAGACAGATAGTCAATGACTCAGCAGGACGTTGTCGCTATTTAAGTGTTCTGCATAAACTGCGGCGTTCCTCATTTATCAGGGTCCTCGATGCTTATCGATCCTAGATCGTAGATCCGATGACCACTTATTCGGCTCCGCAGCTCCATCGAAATGGCTGCATATTGATGATCACCTAGCCGGGAAACCTTAATAAGGCTTACCGACGCCAGCGTCCTTTTTTGATTAGGTTATTAATGACGCCTGTATTCTGGGAGGCGTTTTCCATCTAGGAACTTCGGGCTTCGTCCTTCATAGTATGGATTTGGAGCCTGTTGAGCTCTTCTCGCTTCAAATTCGGCACGCTCTTCATCATCAAGCGAAAATGCCTTCTTCAGCCATCCAAAAGCGCTGCGTTTCTTCTTCAGTGTCTTTTGTTCCGGACTAATCGTCGTTACGTTACTCAGCGTACTCATTCCCATGGCAGATGGCTGGTTGCGCACATGGCGTTGATGCACATGCGTACCCGCCGTCCACGGTCGCTGCTGTAAAGGCGAATGAGGACTTGCTCGTACTGGGTAATAATGCTGCTGATCCGATCGCGGAGAAGGTAAAGTCGTACCAGGAAATACTGGTGGCGGTATTCTCTCAATCCCATCATATTCTGTCATTGAATGGACAGGTGGCCGGGCCTCATTGTCGGAGCCATAAGCAGAGTCCGGGCCTTGGTATCCGTGCACGGATTGATATCGGGGAGATTGTTGTTGTGTATTTAGGTATCTCGGCTTCAAAAGTTCAGGCGGGTTGCGAGGGGGGACCTGGATAGCCTCAGGCAAATTACTTCCTTTCAAGGAAAGTCTTTCACGCAAAGACGTCCGTTTTGGCTGCGGTTCCTCCTGCTTCACAATCGGTGGATCTTGGACCCTCGGCGAGGGTAGTGGTGCAGGCGGCTGGGGAGTATAAGTTCGTGGTTGCAAGACGTAAAGGCCCTCATCATCCGGGGACTCGGCCTTCGACGCCTCTTCGACAGGTTTCAGAGTCTCCCCAGTCGTCGTAGCGGGTCTCGGAATAACCTCTGCCTCAAGTTCTACAGGCGACATTGCCTCTACTGGAGCGTTATATTGGACGAGCATGACGGTCGATCTAGTACCGGTTGAGCCAGACGCGGATTTTTGAGAAGCGGTCTTAGAAATCTCAATTTTCAATTGTGGGCGCCTGTCAGAAGATGGCGTTGCTGAGGAAGTTCGTGACATACTCCTTGGTGGAGGTTGATCTGCTGGGTTAGAAAAAGGAGCAACGCTTGCCTACTACAAAGTCAGCCCACTCGCAACAAAGACCTATTGTGATAAAGGAATTCCTCACCCTTGTCCTTCGGCTCACTTCGCCGGCACGGTAATTCATCTCAGCTACCATACGGTCAAGCTTATTAAGCAAGCCGCGTAAAGTCGATGTTGTACCCTGCAATCCAAGAAAGGCCTTATACCAGCCCTGAGCGTTCCCCCTCATAGCATCGAAAATCTCAATAACATCCGGCCGCTGCTGACGCCAAGTCCGATCTTGCTGATCACCTAGATACGTGGCGAAATGTCTTGTCGCTCCTAATCCTTCACTCAGATCCGTGGACGTCGCTTCGAGAGCGGTGGTCGTCCGGGAGATAATATGTTCGATCTTCTCATTCCCGTTCACGATTTGCAAACGGAAATTTCGGTCCTCTAGCATCTGTTCGAAGGTCGCAATATTCTCCATTGGTAACTTCAGGAAATCGATACGCTCCCGAATATCCTGAATTGCAATGTTGACATCCTCCAATGTTGTCTCGAGAAATTCGTCTACTTCATCAATATGACCTTGAAGTATGCTAACCACCTGCTCATTACTATTCGCAATTCCGTTCAACAATAGATATACCCCGAATGATATTTGGGCCATGAGTTTCCAGAGTTCATGATATTTTTGACCAGGTCGACGTCGCCATAACTCGCCATGTAATTTCGCACCCTTTGCTCCATCTAGCAAGTGATTTCTGCGTTCTCTAGGTGACGCGAACCTAATTTTCGGCTTTGGTACGGCAGGGCTGTCGGTGGCTTCGATTAATGACTCGGCGAAGGCTGGCTGCATAGCAGGGATAGGGTGGGTTGGAATGTTGGCTGCCGCATCTTTGACCTTTTGGCGCATGGTCTCCTCGCGGTCCTTGGAATTCGATCTTGTTGGTTCGCGTGGCTTGCGGGGGGCGGGGAGCAGATCATCGTCCTCGGAATCGGAGAGGAGAACGGAACGATCCTCGTCATGGTGAAGAGACAATGGCAACGCCATATTGCGGGCAATTGCAAACCACGCCCCCTCCCCTCTCCTCGAGTCTTGGCCGGGTTATTCGGCAGACGGCTGGTTAATCAATTTTTCTCGCGGAGGCAACCAGGACAAATAGCCCCTTGCCAATATAAGCCTAGAAGCTGACAAGTTTTGTATCACCAACCCTCGCCTACGGCCCTATTGGGGAGCACAGAAATTCGGTACGACCTGGAATGACACCACTGAGCGGTGGGCGATAAGAGAGCGATACTGCAGGGTGCCGAAAAAAATGACAGAAAGCGCACGGCTTAAGGAATTCGTGGCGGCCAAATATATTAAAAAGTGGTGTAGTGTAGCTGTCAGAAGCAATCGCCGCGGGGTATCATGAACAAGTCATCGAGCCGAGTCAGAAGGGCTGACTGTGTAGGTTAAAACTGTTTTCTATCTATACTTCTAAGTTTCGAATGCGATAGAAATCCAGTCAGACCCAAAATTTATCACTATGAATCTCACAGGAAAAGAGGCGGTAGCGAATCACCGATGGAAAACCGAATTAACGAACGACTAGAAAAATGAGGTAGTTAGGTGAGTAATCAAGTGAGATATAAGCGTGAAGCCGAATTAAAACGGCTTGGCGGTTATAAAAGAAAAAAATGATATTGTCAAGTACTAATAGTGTGAAACAGCCACACGAGGGCATCACCACATGAAGGCGCGCAAGGCTGGGAAGTGAATCATTGTAATGCCCTGAAGTGGTAGAGTAATATTTGGAAAATAAGTTGGTAGGGGAATGGAAGCTACTAAAGAAAAGAAGAAAAAGACGAGCTCAAGAATAGTTTCCGATCAATGTTCTTTCCCTAGGTAGATAGATGGAGATTTCCCGCGTACCCAAAGTTCCTACCTTACCAACCCAGCCCCCAAAGTAGTATGGCAGGTGGTTCTTGCAGGTTACTATCCAACGACTACGCCAGCACTTCCAAGTGTACCTACGATTGTACCTAGGTACTCAGGAAGGTACGGCGGCACGCCAGTGATATTCTCCAATTCGAAGAGCTAAAAGCGGGCTGTCCAGGGTTCTGGGGCTTCTAAGTGGAGTCGGTCTAGCTTCTTGTGGGTACCATGCCCTAGTTTCGCCGCTAAGACTGCGAACGGGTACGATACTAGGGGCATAATTGCTACTATGAAGGTTTTTGCTAGGTTAGGGATTGAAGCGAATTCTATCTTTACTTGCCCTAATTCCTTATCTGGAAATTCAACTTTTTTATTCCTTTCAGGGGGAGCCTCTTAACCAAAAAAGAAAGTCAATTGTAATCGATCTCTAACCACTGACCACTGTTCTCAGATATCAATCAGATCGGTACATACATATATTAGTATACGTACACCTACATGTATAGTGTGTATTCATCACGGACCGAATTACATTCAACCTATCTCGCGAATATTTATTTTGCCCAATGTCGTATGTCACAAATTATGACCGGCTGTTGGGATCGTAACCTTCCTTACATGGCGGTGTAGCCAAATTTTATATTGAAGTTATAATATCAGAGGCGAATAAACATCTGGAGTAGGGTAACATGGATACCTACTCGAATGGAACTATCAGAGACGAAGCCTGACCGAAAGACCCGGGTAGTCAAGTCTAGGCTCAAAGTACAATACCGGCATATATTTGCGATAATGTACTTCGCTGCTTCGTACCTGGAAACGAGGTGAAGAAATATCCCAAGGGTATATGTGCCTATGTTAATTATTACAACCTCTTTTCGAACCCGGTTATTGGACATGGAAATTCCCCATAACCATCAGTTCGTTTGATTCCCGACTTATGAGGTCAAATGAAATCGAAATTAATGATAAAGCAATTTCTCCTTTTCCTTGGTATTTTACTGATTTATTATCTGTCTTCTTAACCTTACACAGAAACAGAAAAGCAAATAAAAAATACATTCAAATCGACCAACAAAAGATCATCGTGTACTTTCAAACCGAGCCGAACGTGCCCCTCCTCTCCAGGGCATCCCATTCTCCACGCAAGCGGATAGCTTCCCTTATCACCCCTGTACCGTGTACCTGTCCTCCCCGTGCAACGTGCGCAGAGGAGATCCTCGCCAACCTCTTCGGGTTTAACCCCGTGTTTCTTCTGTTTCTTCTCCTGACTCCTGCATCCTTTGGTAACATTTCCACGCCATCCTCAAGACACGCCTTCTATTTTGCTCCTCGTCAAAGATTCGTCTCATCTATCCGTCACCTGCAACAGATTCCTTCATTAATTGGAAAAGGGTGGATTGTTTGCTGATCGCCTCATGTCTGTGCAGTGCAGCGGAATTTGAGCCGACCCAGCTGAACTCGAATATGTCTGCAAAACATCTTCACAGCCTACCCACGATGGGATCGCACGGCAAAGCTGTTACATGCACGTCAATCTTAGTGTAACCCAACGTCTCGACCATAGACCCAACGAAACTCCTATGAATCACGAATTCATACGAAGGTTTTCGTATGGTTATGATGTACCAGTAGTGTGGTTTCTAGTCAATAGTTCTTTGACCGCTATTGAATGTTTCGCGTTTCGCCAAGTCCCAATGGCGCGGGACTGTCGTTTCTTCTAAGGTAATTGAATTCGGGCAACATCAAGTCGCCGAAATCTATATTGAATGTAAGAGGTTAAGTTAGGCGAATGCTTTCCGGTTGAGCCATCCCTTACTTCGCATGACGAGTACGCAGCCAATTACTCGGTAGCCAGGTTAATTTTCTTTTTCTAAGTACATACTTCTACTGCTACGTCCGATCCCTCCCCAACTTCGATATTAGCCGCTCGATTTTTTGAGTCATTTAGAATCCCGCGACGACTCTACCGGGAAGTTTCAATGATACTGGGAATGTAAGGAATAATCACCGTAAGATCTACGAAACACCTGAAACAATTGAAGCGTGAAGGGATTCAGCCTCTGCAGATCTTGTCGTATTTCACTATCGTCTTATCGGAAAGGCTTTCCACTTACTATAATTCCATCCTCAGAAGACCTACATCCGGAGATACCGTGACCGGTTTGGGCAATCGCAGAAACTCCTACTCCGGAGGACCACCGATCCGCTCCGCCGGGGTTAATCGTGGAGGAGCTCTTTGTCGCAGCCACTGTGGAGTATCTTTCTAGATGAATGATTAGAATTAATATATGCAGGGGACAAGTGAGCAGCTGTATATTTAACCTTCCCCCCCAAACATCCTTCATTCTATAACGTGCAACCATATTTAGCTAGGACTATCATCTAAATAGGACTCGTGACGATTTAGGATCCCACAGCTTTTCTAGCTTACTAAGACACCCAATTACGAGGTTTTTAGAAGATATGCACCGAAGTTCATGAATCAGTTTAATGTTAAGCTACCCTTCGATGAATCCGTTCATGGGACTTATTCCAAGGTTGAACCAAAGTGTGTCTTCTACTCAAGTTACGCGGGAGAGCCTACTAGTAAAGCTCTTAGGAGTGTGATGTGAGATGTTTAAGTCATCACAAAATTCACATCATTTGACTCTAGGGGATTGACAATCATTTCAAGTCAGGCTCTAGACGTATATGCCCAGGATCGTCGCGGATATTCTATTCAACTAGATATTGTGTAAGAAGAGACGATCTTTCAAGATAGGAGTAATGACACTAAATATTATATTGAAGACTTGATACAAGTATTGTCAATATCCCATTCTCAATAGCTCCCATGTGTAAAATCTACTACGTAGCAGAATCGTCTTCTCGTAGCCCTTTGAAGTCTTGTGTGCGAAAAGTTACCTTAGCTGTACATACCAGTGAAGACGCCTATGTTTTGTTGATGACGCTTCTCCTTGAATACGTACGACTGGGCTCTATAACGATATTTTGATTCCATGCAGAATTTCTACGGGTTGGACTTGTCATGGTATCAAAGTGAAGACTCCTAATTAAGAAGCTTTCTTTCTTGTATTGTATGACACCTTGGAGTGACTACCGCCTTTAAATCAAGCATTCTAAGGTGAGTTCTCTTTTATTTCAGTAACCATATGTTCACAGAGCACAGCACAAATCTGTCCCGGCTACCTAGGTATGCTGGACTATTGGTTGTAAGAGAAGTCATAGAAAGGAAATAGGGGTACCGTTACGCGATACGTTGATATTGACATAAGCCACTCACTTCCTCGTAACGTATAGCTATGTCTTGAGATATATAATTGCGTGGGCCATGATCCTAGGCTTATTTTGGATTGACTAGTACATCGTCGCTGGTCCGTGACGTCCTAGATATGTAATATCACCGCCTCACAAGACGTTTACGTTTTGACAGGCAAATGTTGTAGATTCCTTTCCATGCCCAATCCTCGTAACAGTTATCTAAACTACTAGCTAGTTAGGTATACAGCGCAGCCAGCCATGTGCTTGTATGTCCTCTGGCTCGGCGGGCTAGGCGGACTCTGCGTACGTTTACTCTGCGTGGGTCTCGCGAACCTCGTCGGCACTTGTCTCCCAGCCGATTATCTGCAGACCCGCGCGTACTTAGATACTTCTCTCATATCCAGGCTCTTCTAATTATGAGTCGCCAGCAGAGTTCGTGCTTGTTAGGTTTTAAGCTGCCCTAAGATCTCCCACAGAACCGCTTTTCTTGAAGCACTTTTCAATGTTGTTTTCTCCCAGCTTCTATTGTGTTTCCTTTTCTTCTTCCAACTGCCCACCACCTCTCTCTTCACCCTTCACTCTTTTATTTCCCACCAACTCCCTCCTAGACTGAGCATCTTCGCAGTGTTCTACACAGCTGAGCTAGTCTCACATCACTCGTTTCTCTTCTCTCTCTCTCTCTCTTTTTATTTTTTTCTTCCTTCTCTTAGCCTCTTCTGCCACTTTTGCCTCTGCTGTCACAACTTCCAACCCGCCGTCGCATTGTTTGAGTCGCTTCTCCCTCGCCATCCCCATAATCTCTGCCGTGTGTACAATATTTCCTTCAGCTTCCCTCACTTGACCTCCATCTCTTTTCTTCTCGTCACCATCACCCGTGTCGTCTCTATTTTCTTTGCAACGTCTCCAAGTCTCTGCGATCTACTACTACTAATAATAGTAGTAGCAGCCAAAATGGAGGAAGCGAAGGCATCAATCGCTGCCGCGAACTCCAGTGTAGAGAACCTTGATCAAGCCGAGCAATGCCTCGGGCTCGTCCTGCAGCGCTTCGACAGGCTCTACAACCAATTTTCCCACCATCGGATGAAGGCCATTAGGGCAGGCTGCGAAGCCGAAAAGACGTTGGCGATTTTGAATCAGGCTCTTACGGGCCCGCAGTTCCTTAATCGCCAGAGCATGCTCGATCGCTTCGAGAAGATCGATAAGGATAACCAGAAGAGAATATCCGCGATGGTCAGTTGGTATAAAAAAACTGTCGAGATCCATAAGAATTGGATCAAGTGCGATACCAGTAAGTGACCCCAAGAGTCTCTTACTGCCCAAGTACTTAATTGCCCCTTTCGATCTATCCGGGTGGTAATCGCCTATCCTTAATGGACGGGTGGATTTCGCTCCTGCGACGCTCTTTCAGCAATTGAAGAGTTACTGAACAAGATCATTATTGACTAACAATGCCATAGTTGACAAACAAAACGCACGAATATTGATCAATGACAATATTGAATACATTGTTCAATTGTTCTCAGAGATAGACAAGGGCTTGCGACCCCCGGCCCCATCAAGCGCCGGTGATTTAAGACGACTCGGTCGCAACCCGGACGACATCATTGATAACTCAACTGGTTCTGATAGAGGTCGAAAGTCCCGTAAGTTTTGTCAAATACTAGCAACTCAACCAATAACACGAATTCGTTGCACCATAGCTGCTTCCAAGTTAGGGATTTGTGCTAACCCCTGCCCAATAGCATCAAGGCCCGCTATTAACAAGCGGACACTACCCGGTACATCGGACTCTTCAGACGATTTAGATTCGGAAGGGCAAGAGGACGGGAGTAAAGGAAAAGAGAAGGCAGGAGCGAAGAAGAGGAGAACAGGCCAGGTACAACAAACCGCTACTCGTCTTCTCACCCAGAATTCTTTCCCGTCTGTTCCTCACTCATCTCAAACTCCCCAAACGTTTTCTGCTCCTAACACCTCTACCATTCCTACCACATCTTCTGGCCCTCAGGTTTATCTATATCGCCATCGTTCAAGGCTACCTGAAGGATCACCCTCAAGTGACAAATCTGGAACCCTCCCGGCGCCTGATCCTCGAATAACTGAGGCGTTTACGAACGACCATCGTGAGTACCAACAAAGCAGAGCAGCCGGCGAAGCCCGCTTGATCCCCGTCGCGAGCCAGGGAAGAGTTTATCCTCCCCATTCCGACCGCCAACCCCTTGGCTCTAACTTTAACGTCGGACCGGCCGGTCAACCTGTCACCATGGATCCTAATTCCGGCCCTGCGACTCCTGCCGCCACCACGACGGCTCCTACAGCTTGGAATGTAGATAACACCACTACTCCTACAACCAATATCACGAGCTCTACTCCTCCACCCCGGTACATAACCGGCCGATACGTCCTCCCCAACGGGCGTCACCCCCTTCCGATTGCACCGGGACGATACGCATCGCCAGTACCGGCTGGATCCCGGTACTCTCCATCGAGACCGGGAAGCCCCGAGAACAGCGCCCCATCGCCAACACCGGCACAACCGCAAGCCCCAATCTTCGGCGGAGACAACCAGAACCGTCTATCTCCAAATCCACGCCAGCGTGCGAGAAACCAGACACCAACCCGAGCCACCCGAGCCGGAGGCAGAGGTCCACAGTCTACTCCGACACCCATTCCACGCCAACGCCAACGCCAACCCCAGCGCCCCGTTTTGTCGGCGCCAGTAGGGCTCCCACCGCGGCACTTCAGCTCCATGTCGCCGATAGCACCAACCTGGCAACAGAACCAGCACCTACAAAGCCAAGGATACATGAACCAACCCGACGGGATCCCCAGACCGTGGCTCAACCAGCCCATTCCCCGGCCAAGTCTCCAACCAGTTCCCCAGCAAATCCAGCAAATCCATCAACCCCTTCCTTCCATCCGCCCAATGTCGGCCCCTCATACCCAGCCACCAAACTTTGTCCCCTCATGGGCGCAGTACCACTTAAACGGAGGAAACTACTCCGCACCCCTCCCACACCTCTATGCCCCAGCTGTGCCATACGCACACACAAGATCTTTCCAATCCCCCGCAAGCCCCATCCCGCAACCTCAACCCCACCCCCAACATTTCCAACCCTACGCCAACCAACCATCCCGGAGCCCCGGCACGCCCGCCAACTATACCATCCATGCAGGACGGGCGACCCCGTCCCCCCATACCGCCCCCACACGGGGAACATTCGCATCTGCACTACCACAGCAACACCCGGTGTGGGGGAATCTCCCCCCGAGTCAAGGGGCGGGGTCGGGTGCCCGGCCGCCAGTTCAGCCGACCCTGTCCCGAGAGCCTTGGGAACGGGGCCGTCCGGAAAGCATTCCCGCGTCGATGGCGGGCGTGCTGCGGCCGATCTCCGCATCGCCTCCTACACCGGAATCCGCGCCTACGCGTCAGCGGCGCAGACGTCGTGGCCAGTCGCGACAGCCCTCGATCTAATCGAGGTTTAGGGTGGTCGGGCGTCCGTTGCGCCCGAGTGCATGGGAGGAGGGGGAAGGGAATGCCAACGATGAATCAGGTGGGGAGCGGGGAGTGTTGCGTTTCACCAGGAGAATAGGCCATTCACGGGGAGAGAGACAGGGCGGAAGAGTGGGAGGACTCCCAACGAGATGCCTGGATTGTTAGAGTACGAATGAGATACCTCCGCGGGATACATCGAAACAAAGTATTCGGAATTCGGAGTTTCTATACTGTTTGTTAGAGTCATTACTTTTGCTTTTTTTTCCTTCTGCGATTTCTGTTAAGATACCCCGATATACCACAGATTGAGGCGAGGTACATAGAGGGAACGAAATGAATAAAAAATTCATAAAACCCAGATTAATTCTTATGCTCTTGGTGATCATTGGTGTATTAGCTCATTAATTAATTGACTGGCTGGCTAACTTACTGACTGACTCTAATTCCTTGACTGGGTAACTCACTCTCCTACGCCGTAACTCTTAACTCTGCTAAAGAAGAACGGCTTATCGTTTTTAAGCGCGAACTCAGCCCAGTCGTCAGTTAGCTTGTTATAACTCCAGAAACCCTTCCACCCTAACTTATTATTGTTGCGTGCCGCCTTTCTGGCGTTCTGGAACGTTAATTCCATCCGGTACATATACTTTGGCCCTACCCCCTCCATCTCGATATACAAATCGCCACCCTCCACAGCAGCTGGCCCCGTCGGATCTGGATTATCTGCTGTTGACGATAATCTCCATCGACCTTTGAGTGCCGAAGTCATGACCGCTGATGGCAAATGTGGGCCTCCCCCACCTCTGTGTAACGCCAATGCTTCCCTTGTAAGATGGTGTACAACATGTGCGGGTTCATCAGTCGTCAACAAGCTGATAGCTGCACCATCACGGAATAGACGTAGGTAACGATAGTATGTAACGATATGAACTGGACTATTCCACGTGACTTGATGTGTTGACGCCTGACCCGCTCGGATGTAATTGACAGTGCTAATGTAGCATCCATTGAAACGGATCCTAGGGCGCCGACGGAACATGGCCTGCCATGATGACGAATACAAGCTACGTAGCAGCATGTTGGTTGTGGCTAAATTTTCTTTCTTGCGTCGCGACACCAACTCATCCACCGTGAAGATATCTTCATCTTCGGCGAGTTCCTGCTCCAAGCTGAGAGGTGCCCAATCGATCGCTCGCTGCCAATGGTAGTGCATGCCGCCGAAGCCGAATTCGGACCCCAAACACACTCGTCGCCATATCTGGTCTTCGGTCGCAACTAGGTAAGCTAATCGCTTGCACACTTGCGCAAGACGTACGAAATCGGCCACATCCGTAATGGCTACATCCCGAAGAATGTGAATGAGAATTTCATCGGGGAGCTCGGCCATGGGGCATGGAGGTGGGGCCACACCTTCACATTCTGGGGGTGAACCTTCGATCCTAAGGCTAGAGAAGCTGGCGATAAGTTCTGGCAGGGAAAGGACAGGCCTGTCATCTAGGGAGTGGTGGGCTGTATTTGGAACGGTCACGGGAGAATTAGATGGATTGAGCTGCGCCGGTTTCGTCCAGCGACCCGGAAAATGCTTGTTGCGGTAAGACTGGTCGACATTGTCATCCATGCGGAAGGCCTTGCGGTAAAGTTGTAAACTGTCTCCGAGCTTGCCGCTGGTTTCCCTCTCCACTGCTTTCTCGTAGAAGTCTAGGGCGGTCTGTGGCTCCTTTTCCTTGTCTTTAGCAGAAACAGCATCCTGATGACCGAGTCTTTGTCCTCCTATGGCTTTACTGGGGTCGGGTTCATCAAAAGATTGTGCGTGGTAATATTCATCTTCATCTTCCAGTGGATGAACCGTTCTGGAAGAGGCTTTCTTATGGCCGAATTCGCTTCTTTTTGGAGGCTTGTTTGATGAAGGACCGGCTTGGTTTGGGTCTGATCGCTGTTGCTGTGACTGTGACTGTTGCTGAGATCCGGTCGTGTTTCTTGAACGAGCGGATACTTCTGCTCGCCACTGTTGTCTAAAGTTCTCTAATTCAGATTGTATCTGTTCCGTTGGTTTGTCCATGTTGATGAGAAGAAACGATCACAATTCTATAAGTGAGACGGAAAGTTTAATGTATTGTACAAGCCTGAGTCGATTATTGATTGAGATTGAAATTGATCTAGGTTTATTATGTATATGTAGGCATTGAGTTTAAAAAGGTGATATCTACAGGAGTTCAGGAGAAGGAGGAGTGACGGTGAGAAAGTGAAATGATGGATCCGTGATTTATGAATGGATTAAGTGAAGTTAAAAGACATTGGCCAGTGAGGGTGAGTACATAAAGTGGTGCCGACATGGCGGTTCAGATTGCGTGAGATATCTAAGGCAGCTAAGGCTATCTTGGTTATCTAACTCCATCTTATCGCCGATTTAAGAGTCAGACCGTGGCTGGCGTTGCTGCAAAACGACCCTGTAAAGTGGGGTTCATGTGGTAACTTGACATAATCCGATTGGCTCCACTGACATCATGGATAAGGTAAGGCGCGCGCAAGCTCCGAGAAAGAACCTGTACTTATCGATTTCCGTTGATCGGGTTTGAGAAGCTCGGACTCGGCCTGAGACCGGCAAAACTTTATGTCCTGCTACTTAGTGAAAAAAGTTTAGCCTCATCATTCTTCTTTATTAATGACGCGGAGGAGACACAGCTCCCTTGACCTTAGGGATCCGCGATATCGCTACCCCATTTCTCACCTAAATTTATTCCTTCTCATTATTTTTTTCGCCTCCCCCATTGTAACATAACATAACCTACACAACATTCCTCCTGCTTAACTAAACAACAATCATTTTGTGATCTCACACCCCTCGATCCTTTGCTAAAATTTCGACCACATTCTATCCGCTTTACATCGAGTTACCATAAAAGGGCGCCCCCGGGATAACCGGGTCAGCGCACATAATGAACAACATGGCTTCTGACCATAGTTTTGGTGGCCACAACCACGACCGATTAGGACCAGGCGAAGACGCTTTTGCGGGACAGACAATGGTTTCTTCGCAAAATGATGGAGGCGATGGCTTGGATATTTCTATGGGACAAAAGATGCTCTCCGCCATTACCGGAAGTTTATTGACTTCGATACTGGGTAAGCTACTATACGCACTTCACTGCTTCATTCAACAATCACCAGATGAAATGGAATGTACTGACAGAATTTGCCACAGTAACCCCTCTAGATGTCGTCCGTGTCCGACTGCAATCCCAAGGTTCGTCGCAGCCCGTTACAGACTTCCAAAGACTCGCAATTTCGTCACCTAGTGCTTTTCGACCTTCGAATCTCGGAGTTACTGCTTGCTGCCGCGAAGTGTTCTTCATGAATAACAGTGCCGAAGTTTGCATCGCCGGTCCGATTGGGAGTATCCCTACCGCCGAGGAATGCGCTGTGGAGGAGGTACAAAAGAGAAGATTCAACTCAACATTCGATGGCATCAAGAAGATTGCACGCAACGAGGGATTTACATCCTTATGGAGAGGTCTTTCGCCAACACTGGTCATGGCCGTTCCGGCCAATATCATTTATTTCACCGGGTATGAATGGTTACGATCCAACAAAGCGAGTCCCATCAACAAAATCACCAATGACGATTATGCGCCCCTAGTGGCAGGCAGCACCGCACGGACAATCGCCGCTATGGCAGTCGGCCCAATTGAATTATTTCGAACACGACTCCAGGCGTCCCCGGGATCCACCGCGACTGGTCATTTAGCAAATACCTTTAAGGGTATTCGAAAGATGGTAGCGGAAGATGGGTATCGCTCTCTTTGGCGAGGCCTAAATCTGACACTCTGGAGAGATGTTCCCTTTTCTGGAATGTATTGGTTTGGCTACGAGACAATCAGAGGCAAGCTTACTGATATGCGAGAGGAGCGACAAGGTCGGTCATTGACTCGGGATGACCATGAATCAAGGACGCGCGCAAGATCCAGATCCCAGAGCCGAGAGGGTCATGCGGCAACTTTTATGGATAGTTTCACTGCGGGTGCTATATCAGGAGCCGTCGCATCGACGGTAACAATGCCATTTGACGTAGGCAAGACCCGGACGCAAGTCTTTCGTGATTCAGCGAACAATGCGCTACCCGCGGCGGATAAGGCTTTAGCTCCCGAGAATCAACCGATGATGCGATTCCTCTTGCATATCTACTCTACTGAGGGCTTGGCAGGACTTTGGAAAGGATGGCTTCCTCGTACTCTCAAAATTGCTCCATCTTGTGCTATTATGATTAGTAGCTACGAAGTTGGCAAGAGAGTGTTTAGGAGCATCAACGAGCGAGAAGCACAAAAGCGGAACGAAGGCCAAATTCATGACCTTTGACGTTGTTACACTACTTCCTCCCCCCTCACTTTTTCATCCTCTTCATTATGCATTAGCAGGCGTTGTTTTGAAATCATGATACCTTTTTAGATGGCCAGGATACCGGAACCAAAATAAAAAAGAGAAGCAAAAGGCTCGGTTGGTTTGGTCATGGCAATTATATTGTCTTTGCATTGAGAAACGATTCGATAGACGAGAATGAGCTTGGTGCTCAATTCTGTATATTATGCTGCGCAACTCAAAAGGGGAGGAAATGACATAAAAATTCCATAGAGGTTACCACAGCTTGTCGCAGGGACTTTAACCAGCCTCTGTGTTTACGAATAATACGATATATCATAATTATCTGATGATCTTATTCTTTTATGAATTGCGCTAATGAATTTTCTGGTAGTGAGTTTTGATCCAATTTCAGGCAACCGTCAGCTCCCCCTCTTTTTCTTATAGCGCACGTTCGTGAAGCCCAGCACCCTGCCAGGCATCGCACAAGCCACTTTACGCGCATCAAATTTCGCGTTAAGGGGTTTTTCTAGGGCGTCGCGTCTCTAATAACGCGCCCACCTATTTAACCTAGGACAACCTTTCGATCTTTTTTAATAATCAGAATTTCTCACAATTCTATAGTTCAATTAATTCTTCGATTATACCTCTTTTTCTATTAAATTGTCTCATTCTAGACGAATTTATAGGAATAAGAAAAACATTCACGCTGCATCCGCTACGTCATTTACGACACCTTCCGACGTGGGATTTCAGTCGATTATTAGCTCGACCTCGACCACGACCTCGGTCTTCATACATACAATTGGAACTGCAATTGCAGTTTCTAATCAAATTCACATCCAGAACTTTCTACACAATGTCTTCACAAAAGCGCAAGGGCGATAATGCCCTCTCACCCTCCGACTCGAACAAGAAGCCCAAAGTAAACTCGAGCATAACATCATTCTTCGGTGCTCCTAAGAATGCACCTGCTTCCTCACCCTCTGGGAAAGGACCCGGAAGCTCGCAACCCGAAGCGCCCGCCTTAAAGTTCAATAAGGAGAAGTGGGTAGCTGGTTTAACATTAGAGCAGAAGCGTCACCTCCAGCTCGAGATCCAGACTCTTGATCCATCATGGCTAGCCCATCTCAAGGATGAGATCGTCAAACCTGAATTCATCGAACTGAAGAAGTTCCTCGAGAGCGAGGTTAAAGCTGGGAAGAAAGTATTCCCGCCGAGGGAAGACGTTTACTCATGGTATGTCTACTTCCTGTACCTCTTCCAATTGCTGTTCCTAACAACTTACCCACAGGTCCCGCCACACACCCTTCCACAAAGTAAAAGTCGTAATCATAGGGCAAGACCCATACCACAACTTCAACCAAGCCCACGGCCTAGCCTTCTCCGTCCGCCCTCCAACAAGAGCCCCTCCATCCCTAAAAAACATGTACATCGCGCTGAAAAAAGACTACCCAACCTTCGTCCCGCCCCCCAATAACGGTGGTCTCCTAACCCCGTGGGCAGAGCGCGGCGTACTAATGCTAAACACCTGCCTCACCGTCCGCGCGCACGACGCAAACTCGCATTCAAAACGGGGCTGGGAAGCTTTCACGCAGAAAGTAATCGATCTCGTAGCGCAGAAACGCACACGCGGAGTCGTGTTCCTAGCTTGGGGTTCGCCGGCGCAAAAACGTGTTGTTAAGGTGGACACGAATAGACATTTGGTATTGAAGAGCGTGCATCCGAGTCCGTTGAGCGCGTCGCGGGGATTCTTCGATTGTGGACACTTTAAGGCTACGAATGAGTGGTTGAAGGGGAGGTATGGTGAGGATGGCGTTATTGATTGGGATTTAAATCCTAATGCTGAGGCTAAGAAGGAGGTGCTTAAGAAGCTGGAGGAAGAGAAGAAAGGTGAGGAGGGAGAGGATGAGGATGATACTACGCCCGTTGTAGCTGTAGGTGAGGTTGAAGAGAAGGGTGAGGAGGAGAGCAAGGTCCTGCAGAAAGAGGATGAGGAAGGAACCGCAAAGACGCAAGATGGTGATGAGTCGGATTGAGTCACCTACCTAGTTTATTGTACATTACTTGAGGGTTTGAGGGTAAGGCGTTCGGGTGTTTCTCGCCCTCGTCGTGTTACTGCTCGGCGTTGTGCGGTGTAAATGGATGGATGGATAGGCAAGGCATTAGCCACTGGCATGTCAAGATTGTACAGGTATAACAAAAAAGTGCCCTTAGGAAGAAGTGGTACAGTGTAAATGAGTAATAGCTGGCTAAATTGTATAAGTCTTGGTATAAAATGACGATTTCTATATCCGGAGTGCTATCAAGATTGTTCTAATGTTCAGCATCAACTTATCTCTGCTTGTTGGCATGACTGTGAATGAGTTGAATTTTGTGTAACGTTAGGCATCGTAAGCTATAAGTTGATGAGGTCGAGCAACAACCAACCTAATACAAAGTTGTGAAGGGATCGTACAACAAGATTAGTGTTCCACTTGTGTATTTGATAAAAACCTGTCAAGGCATCATCTATAACCTCGGGGTGTACAATTCCCCGACCTTGGTCGAGTCGGACATTGAAACGAGGAGATCATGTTTCAAAATGGACCTTATCTAATGCTCCATTAATTAAGCATGGCGGTATCTCACTGGGACGACGACACTACTGCCCATAATGGATCTGCGATGCTGAGCCCGGTTATTGATGCCAGAGGTGACCAGCAGAAACGAGTGGGCAAGTGACCCAGCAGTTCAAGAGATCGGAACCAAGATGTACAAATGCTCAGTGCCCATGACACCATCAAGTTCTTGGCGCATGAACTGATCTGCGACAACCTGATGCTGTAATGCTTCACGTTTTGCTGATAAATGGTTATCCACAAGGCTGCCAGGATTTGAGAGAGGTAAGGTATTATCAAGTAAGGTATTATCAAATTTGGCTCCATCAAGACATGACAAGGCTGTCGAAGGAACCGTCTCGCTGTCTCGGGAGCCGGAGATGGTAGATCTAATTGCCCCACATATATCGTTACATACCGTCGTCGTATTGTGAGACGGGATAGGCATTCCGTTTGTCATCAAGCTGCGATTACCAGGAACTCCTAAATCATTATAAAATATTTTCTCACGTAGGTGATCATTGATCCCCGGAATATTCCTAGTAACTCTACCTTGACTATCCTGGAAGGGCTTTCTGCGAACACGTCAGTCCGTCAAGTAAGACGAGAGTTGGCATGTCTGCTGGGGTCATCGTAGTTCCGGGTGGTAATACTTCAAGACAAGATCATACGCTAAACATGCAGGTCCCTTGGTCCCCTGGATTCCATATGCAAGGCGTGCCACACACCTGCACACCACTCCATTTTGTCGAACTTTGTACCTAGATACTTTCGAGATGTGTCATCCTGAATCGTCGATTATGTACTTTAGTACAAATCCGGAAAGTGGCGTTCTCTAGACTCCGAGGGGCTTAAGAGCATGACCAGTTTCAAGATTCTGGGGGATTCCGTTTTCCGTCATCCTTTGGCGTCAGTCGTTCCACGAGATGAACTGTATAATAATCAGATAGGATGGATGGATACCTATATGTAGTTTGGGGAAAAGATAGCGCATCTAGCATTCCACCAATCCCTGGATTCCGCGATGTTCATTGGAGCCCAATGTCGGCTACCATTGGACGCGAAAAATCGCGGTCAATCTGTCAGTGCAGGACACGTCCCAAGTCCGGGATGCCAATAGTATGCAACGGTGCTGCACCAATGGCTTGCAGTCGGCTCCGTCCAAATCAGGCTTTCTCCTTGGTTGGTGACCTCACCACATTTTGCCAACTCATCTAAACCCTAGTCCGTAAAAGTGACTGGTCGAGCAGGACCCAATGGTTCTCGTGAATTAATTGGCATCAAATTCCGAACGATGAGTTGTGCTCATGCAGGCTCGACGCCTTTAGAATAATGAACCTAGACGAGTGGAAAGGGGGCGGGCGATAGTTTTTCTCTTGGCATTTTATTGAATCATTTATCTCAGTCAATGATTAATAACCGCCAATAACTGGGTATCATCAACGACGACGTATTTCGATAGACCGGGAAGTCGACATTTTTATAATTATACCGGCGTACATGTTCGTTTTTGTTGTTTCAGTAGGAGCTGTTGCACAGCACGAACACGGTTACTAACAGGACTTGAGTCTAGACCGAATCCAAATCCAAACGACGAAAAAGGGGTGTTAGGTAACGTGTGTTGGATGAATCCGGAAGATGGTGACATTTGAGGTGGCACTGGATATATAGAACTGCCGATGGTGCTCCGATAATGTTCGACCCCGTCTTTACTTACATATTCATATTCGCATCTTACGCATGTTATGCTGCAGAATTGGAATCGGGTTTATTGCCGATCGATGTTAGCTTAGGTGGTATAAATATCCGTAGTGGTTAGTGATTTGCGGTGAATGGAATCAGGATTGGCAAACCACAACATCGGATGCTTCTCGAAGGGTATTGGTGTCTCAAAATGAAGCTATCGTCAAGTCATGTCTGACATAATAATTTTCTGTCTAGACGAAATATTTCCAATGAAGCGAAACTGAGCTAATAATCAATTTACCAATGAGTTGGTACTTACCTGGTCTAGTTTGAAAAAGATGTGGTCTTGGTTTTCGAACTAGTGATAGGGCAAACATGGAAGTTCGCAGATGAGCCAGACCGAGGGGAGAAAAAAAAGAATTAAAAAGAATAAAATCCAAGAGACACAAGTGGAACATTAGCTTTTATTACCTGCGTACGCTTGCAGGAATCATACATTCTTAGATGAAGCGAGCAACTCTAACTTAAAAGTATTTAGACTGTTAGTGATGTATATACGTATGTATATAATTACGGTTGAAAAATAGAGGTTGAGTTCGGCTCGGTTTCTTACATTTAACGAACAACGGTTCTTCTCGCGAGAGATAACGCAAAAAGTCTGACCGTGGCGGCACCCGGTTCACCACTTCCCGCCCTGCAATATAAATTAGAGTTCTGAAATAATGACGCGAAGCTGCGAATGTACCTTCATACCCCTCCAGAGCAGGAAAGTGACATTAAGGTACCTGAAGTTAGTCTGGTTTCGATACATGTACCAGGGTACCTCAAGGTAACGGTGCCTTGACCACGTTGACCAATGCGCCCCTGCTTCATCTTTCTCCACACAAAGCCGGGACCCAGCACACAGATAACCAATCCTGATCCTTGAAACCAGCAGCGCCTACCTAGCGAGCCAGCATTAAAACAGAACTAAAATAATCTCCCTTCACGGCGCTATTCCCCAAGAAGATAGTCTAAGCAGTTACGCTAATGTATATCGAACCAGCCCGCCAGCTTAGAGGTAAAGGTACCTGTCTACATTACCAACTAGCAGTAGCACTCTGAGATTTGGGGAGCAGCGAGGACCGACGACTGACTTCCTTGATCCTATCAATTATCCTCGTCGAAGTTTGGGCCGCCCCTTAATTATTATTATTGTTTTTTTCTTCTTTGCGATTGGAACCTTTTTGAACTTTTTTTTCTCTTCCTCATGCATGCATCTTTGATACCCTTCGTTTTGCCGTTTCGTGCACAATCCGTGAAGTCTTCAATTCTAATCGTTTGATTTTATTTTATTTTTCTACGTTCTCTCTATTGTTCCTTATCAAGGTTGTGGTTCTCTCTCCCCCCTTTAGTGAGCTCCTACCAACCAAGAAAGAGAATATCTCAAATCAATACCCGGGTCGAACAAGTTCAAACCCCGTTGGCAATACTTGTTCGATATTATTACTTATTACTTGATACCCAACCCCCACACTCCGCTGGCGCAACTTGGTCAAGTCTTCCTCTTTACACATCTCATGCGTTAGCCTGTGCCAAATCTCAACTGTCCACTTTCAATTTCCCGTCTTCGATTTACGTGGTGCTGTCCCGGAATTCTTTTTTTCTCGATACCGATTACCGACCTCAAATCTACCAATCACTATGCCGAGCCTTTTCGCTCGAATAAGGGGTAAAGATGGCTCATCCAGACTTAAGCCTAAGAAGAATGCCAACCTCGATGACCTGGCGCACCAATTGCCCAGCAAACCGCGCTGGGAAGATGCGTATACGCGAACAACGATAGAACCCGAGGAAGTCCAAGATCTAATAAAACGATGTACAGATGAGCTCAAAGGCCGGGGTACGGATAAGATATTCCTTCCTCTTACCTTCGCCACTCCAAGCTAACCCATTCGCAACGTGTAGCTCTCGATCTTCCCTTCCTTCTCTTACCGTTCCGTCCAACTTCTGACCCTAGCGCCGTGCGCACTTTCATCCGCCACTTCTTCGATGAAAATCAAAACTTACATGGCGAAGCGCTCGCACAGGAGCTGCGGATGACGGAGCCTATGGTACGTGTTACCATGACAAAGCGCGCCAGTTGAAGATCTTATCATTGACGTAATCTCAGGTTATTGCGGGCGTTTTAAAATGGTGTTGGAGCAGATTACAAGGTGGAATTGTAGGCTGGGACGCCTACGAACTATTCAAAGTTGGAGAACAAGGTATGACAAACCATTCCGCAAACACCTAAGGAATACAAACTAAAAAAGTGGCTTGCGGCATAGACTCGAGCATGGCTCGTGACTCGTTCTCGACTTTCATTCCGTTAAGTGTCGAAAATCAAGCGCGATCCCACATCATATTCGATTACTTCGACCTACTTTCAGCCATCGCAGCTCATGGCAAATCCAATGGCTTCAGCGGACGTAAGCTGTCTCGTATGGCGGCGTGGTGGGCTTTTGAGCATAAAGACAATGGCAGTGGTTTCGATGGAGGATACAAAACTTGGTTGAGGTTAGCACGACCCCAAATCGAATTTATATCATTTTCGCTAATGAATCCTAGTGCTGCGGATGCAACGAGCCATCTATTCTTCGCTTATCTGAGGTCCTTATCTCCCCAGCAAACCCGCGCAGGTATCTCGATGCTCCCCATGTCCCTGCAGAAGTTGCTGCAGGAAACCGAGTATCCCCCGCAAACACCATCATTGTTGATGTCGTCAACATACAGAGTGGTTATGATTGTCGACACTGTGTCACCAACACCGTTTGCGCTTCTACGTCGTGCTAATCACTTCCAATATCGCGATGAGGATCGGGCACTTCGAGAATTTTCCGAATACGAGGACCCTGTGAAAGCATTGACTGAGGAATGCCGCAGAGTTCTTAAGGCGATATCTCTGGCGAACCAATCTCAAGTCTCTAGCTCGAAACATTCTACAAGTTTACGTGATGCCTCCTGGTCGCGATTCGAAGATATTGGTTTCGGTGACACCTTAGAAGAAGAGGACGAAGACGACGATTCTACTAAATTGAACCAAGCTCGAAACCCCCGTGGATTACGAACTACTCCCGCCTCGGGTGGAAACCTCGGAAGACCGACCACACCTTCGTGGGCAGACTTCTTATCATCTGGTTTCGTCGATGATGCGCCGAATAGTCCGTCGAATCTCTTACTACCGCCGGATAAGATCTTACCACCCATCGAAACGACTGTGAGGCAACGGAGCTCACAATCGCATCGACCACGACTGGAAAGCGACCGTCATCTAGAGCCTGGTGAGCTGGCTAGTATCACCCAATTCGACCTCGATGATGCATTCTGGTGGGTGTGGATGAGTAGTTTGGCGCCTGAGGAGACCGCAGAACGTAAGTCTGCATTCGGAAGATGTTCTATCATTGAAACAGTCATTCGCCAAGGCCGATGGCTCGTAATGGAGGAGATGGTAAAGGGAGCTGCGCCGGAACCCGATGCTGGTGCCTACATTGCAGAGAAAAAGGGCTTCTTTAGTTGGACGAGGCGTGGTAGAGGTGTTTCTCGTAGCAAGTCAACCACCAAAGCAGCCTCGGACAAAAACGACCGTTTGAACCCTGGTGCTTCTACAGGTGCTGGGATGAGCAAGACTAGCATAGGACCGGACCAGCACGCGAAAATTCAGGCAGCTGCACAAAAGCTTCAAGCTAAGCAGCAGCAAGAACAGCGCTTAGGGGTTAAGGCAGAACGACGTGGGCGTACGGACGCCGACGTGATGAGAGAGAAGACAACCAGTATCCTCACTTTGCAGCCAGGTGTTGTTAACGCCGCGTCACCGGCTATGAAGTGGGCGAACAAATATGACAAGGAGGCTATCCGCGAGGCGTATCTTGGCAACGCATTCGCTGGTCGTGGTATATCTCAGACTTCGCTTCAAATGCCAGCTCATCCCGGCACAAACGGACACACAAACGGCGACAGCCCTCAGCCAGAGGCTGCTGAACGTGACCCAACCCCGGCTGTGGCTCCAACTTCACCTGAACCCGAGCAGAAATCTCCGGCTCCAGCTCCAGTTCCGGCCCCGGTTCCGGAGAAGAAACCCGAAGCACCACAACGAGTTCACCCTGCTGAGCGTGTGGAACCCGCGGGCCGAGACTCCCCATTGCCTCCTCCACCCCGTGACGAACAGAGCTTAGATGCGGCTCGAGAAAATATGATTTCTCCTGAGCCAACTAGCCCTGACAGCAAAAAGCACAAGAAGCTTCATAAGGACGAGAAGAAGACCGGTGGTGGCTTCCGAAAGCTATTTGGCCGAAATAAAAATCGGCAATCCAAGTTGCCTGAGAATGCCGCTGCTGATGTTAACACCATGCTAGCTGCTGACGCTTCTCAGGCTCCCGCAGCAGCACAAGCTCCAGCGCCACCAGCAGAGAAGCCACAGCCCGTTCCCTCAGAGCCAGCTCCTGTGTCTCCTCTATCCCCAGCGGATACTGCCTCCCAGGCTCCTGCTGCGCGCGCAGATGATAGGACACCGATACAGACACCGGTAACCCCAACACCTCGTAGGCAACAATATGACCAATCCGTCGACGACAACCTATCTCGCGTCGACACTGCGGATGCTGCAGAGGCCCATCAGGAGTTCTCTCGCTTCGACCAAGGTCCTCTACTAGATCAGCCCGCCTTTGTCCCTGATGAAGATCAGAGCGTTGACTCCGCCGCGCCGCCGCCGATTGCTAGACATCCTAGTAACAACCATCGCGACGAGGAAGATGATGACGAGGAGGGTGCTCCATCACCAAGTGTTCCCATGCAGGACCGATGGGCTGCCATCAGGAGAAATGCCGCTGACCGCGCGGCCCGACAGAGTGAGGAGCAGAGCCGGGGTGCATACAGCAAGACGACGGATGGTGATGATGATACCAGTGGTGAAGAGAGTAAGGATCATACCCCCGCGCGTAGTAAGCATGCCACTAACAATATTCCAGCTATCGAGTCTCGTGTAGCTCGCATCAAGGCTAGGGTTGCCGAGTTAACGGGTAATATGGAGGGTACCAATGGACCCGGGACTTTGAACGGCCGCCGCTAGTGTTGGTGCTTTAAATGACGATTTGACTATGAAATAATACGGGTATCCGCATTACGCATTCGCTTACATCACGTCGCCCGGAGCTTGATTCGGGCGCATTCTTCTACTCTAGTAGTTTTCGGCGCATACGACGCCGAATGTTCGTTAATAAGCCTGGCTTTGAGTTCTTTTTTCCTAATTCAATGATACCATTTAGAACATGGAGTCCCATGTTTCTTTCGCGGCCAGGACCAGACTGGAATCTAGTTTTCTTAATTTGGAGTTGGACGTTTTTAAACGTCTGGTGATCACTACTGCCGTTGGAATGCCTCGGAAAGATAACAAATACCGAAGTCTCTTAGCAAGATTGTTGCAAGGCGACAGTAACCCTGGATGTAACTTGGTTATGGACCTGGAGCTTCTTTGGCTGCTGTTGCAATTACTAGCACACATAAAATCAACAAAACATGTCATTAAGCAAAGCAAAGCAAAGCAACCTAATCCTGAGTTTTCCGATTCGATTCCGAACTTATCTATGTTCTTTTTCCAAGTTGGGGAGTAATGAGTCGATGGACGAGTAGGGGGGTGGGATATACCCATTCGCGAGACAGAAAAAAGGGGGGATAACAATAACAACTGAGATGGAAGGAAGATAGGGGGTTGAGATGATACCTAGGTACTTTACTCGATGAAAGGTGCCAATCGCGCTTTTTTTCTAATTTTTTTGCTGCTGTTGCGTTTTTTATTCTGAAATTTTGGGGGTTTTGATTCGATGGTGGGATCTTTTTGGCGAAGCTGGATTTTTTAGTCTTTGAGCTGGCTGGTATTTCTACGATACAATATGTTCGAGGAGCCAACCAACCAAGTACTTAACTCGAAGATTGTGGGGAAGGGGGGAGAGGAGTCGAGGTGATGCGGCCCGTATGCAAGCTTCAAGTAAATATGTGCCTGCTTTCCGGTAGATACGGATCATCTCAATAGCAACATATCGTCACATCGCAATAGTGATTCCCCTACGATAAGTGATTTGTGTAAGCGCCTAGGGGGGTTAAGCTTCGCTCTATTATGAGATAAGATATATCATTGCCCCTCGGTTCATCAAGTTATGTCCATAGGGAAATGGAATACCAAGTTACAATAGATTAGTCAGCGCTCCCATTCGTCACTTACCTACATTGACTCTTTTTGTGGCATCGCACGTCGAAATCACCCACTGTTAAGGAGGTACATCGTTCGCGGGTATACGAACAAGGAAGCGAATTAGGAAGATAGTTTAGCCCAAATTCAAGCAGAATTTACCAAAGTACATCACCGCTCGCCGATGTACTTCACGCCTGGTGGCGTTTCCCGTGTCCTCTTAGATTATACGTATCTGCCGATTACAGAGTTCCTTAGAAGCCCGGTGAGTAATACTGGGCGTATGATACCATGTAGCTGTAGTGGCAAGAAATAGACCCGTATTGGACTGGAATATCTCAATAAGTCAGTTAGCATAGTCTCCCCGGAGAAAGCAGGGTGTCACATACGTCTGTATCATATTACTATGATTCGCTGTGCCTATGCCCAAGGAGTCATCGATAGCTAGAAGCTCTTGCTCCTGAGTCACTCGTATAGCCTAGTCCCGTCGATGTGGATTCTATACGGTGGTGGCGATGCGATGGAAGCCTAATTCGTCTAGATGCGATGTGGATCAGAGGTAGGAATGGCCGGACAGGAGATAACATAGTCCCTATAGGAGACATCTTGCTAGATCGTCCGTATAACCTACCAAGCAAACCGCGGAGATGGCCGATATTCTACTCAATCGAATTATAGACACGGCAGAATACGGCATAAAATAGGATAAGGCAGAATTCATCTCGTCGGTGCGGACAAACCCCGTCTTATCGTGGAAGAACAGAGTGTGCCGTTATGTGCCATTCCCAGCTGAGGCGATACACGGATCCAGACAGCAATAATAGAAAGATCATTCCTATCCGATATACGCCATCCGGCTTTCACTTCTGTCTTGTAGTTTCAGGGAGAAACCCGGACTCCCTTCCCGTTCTACGATTACTTCAGCTTTACGATGTATTACGGGGGTTGGTGTCGTACGAAACCTGAAGCCACGACAAGCCACTGACGCTATATATCGATTCTCCGTATACCTTTAATCATCCACCGACGAAACAGGTTTCCGCAAAGCACGCCGAATACGGAGGTATGAAACAAGTGGCTTGTGGCTTGTCTATAATGTCTAGCAATTTGTCCGTAGCTCCGAGTCATATCTCCACCTTCTCGTCCGTACCTGATACGTGCCGTGTGCCATACCTAAGAAACTAGGCCTGATCCGAAGGACACTGAGCCATACCCGATCTTAGCGTGACGCTAGCTCGATCCTCAGCTCTCAGCCCTACGGACCGAGTCCGAGTCGAGTCAGTCGTACACAGAACTGGGTGTATTCATTCGCGTATCTGCACCTAGTTTTCTATCCACTCGCATCCGGCTGCTGATGTCGAGCTAACTAGTTGCCGGGTTACTCATATCGAGCTAGAATCCTATATGCACGACATGCATACTAGATACGGGAACATCCATCTACATCGTCTCATCTCATCCTACTTCCGGCACTGCAGATGAGATGTAATAGCCTATCATCTTCGAAGGTACTTAGACATGTTAGAAAAATAGGTAGCAAACTGGTAAGTCGTCCGTAACACATCTAGCTGTTGTAGGTAGGACCCAAGACAAGAATTATAAACCTATCAGGGGTAAATAGACAACTCCCCGTATATTAGTAAGCTATCTAGCTCTCTTATACGAAGTCTCACTCACGTACGTATCCATAGGTATCTAGATATACAAATAACATCCTAAGCAATGCATCAAACATGTCTCCATGTACCTACCTACCTAACTAACCTATACCAGCTATTCTATACCCATCTCCCTAACTCCTACCCATCCACCCGGGTACATATACCGCAATCCTATAGCCAAGCCAAGCACAAGTTTGGGGGCCATTTACTCACCTTCACCTTAATGCTCCTCCTATCCCACTACCAACAAACAAGTAAAGTTCTCTCCTCAGCAACCATCCACCGCCCACCGAGGAGCCAAGAAAGCTAAGCCGGGTGGTTAGTTCGATCTAGACCTCGTTCCCCAGCGGAAGAGCGGCGGCGGCGGCGGCAGTGGCTCCCAAGCACGTGGTACCTATATGTAGAGTAGCTTAGCTAGTTGGTAGGGCAGACACACCTCCCTCCCTCTCACCTCCATACCCTATCACACCATACATACCTCCCTAGTATAGATTAAAGATATTACCTAACCCCCCCTTCCACCCTCCCCATCCTCATACCCATCCTCCGTGCCATCCAATCTACCCAATCGAGCAACAACCCGCGCATGCGGTTCAAACCCGCCAAGCCCCTCGCCACGGTCCCGGTAAAGCAGATCGGCACCGACGTTCGCTTTCGTTCGTATACCTATCACATCAAGAAGGTCGATCGTTCATTCATTCAAACATACCTACCTACTGATCCAAAAACATGCTGACGACGTTGATGATAATGATATGAAACAACAAGACACGCAAGCTCGCTTACCGAGCTCACTCAACAAAGTCGAACATACGTATTGACGCGGCGTACTTCTAGATCCAGATCTGCCTTATACCTATCTATCTGACTCACTAGCTAGGTATTGATGTACGTATACCTCGCCGTAATCGGTTATTCGCTTCTCAGGACGAAGGATTCGCGTTGTCACACCTAACCTAGGTATGGTATGCCCCTTACTAATCAACCTCAATCGCGTAACGCGTAGACGCTAGTCATCGACGGTATCCGAGTAGGTGAATGATTATCGTCATCGACGTTGTCGGTGGATGTAGGATTGTTAAAAAAAAAAGTCAAACCAACAACACCTAATACATCATCCCAAATCAGTAAAATAGATAGGACAAAAGACACATGGCAAAAATGATCGTAGATAGCGGAAATCAAGAATGTAGGTAGTGAACATATGCCCCGTGGTTCTTCATTCCACCTCTGGTATCTCTAAATAATTCCGGAATAGTGTACAAAGTCGAATCCAATTAATTTGGATTCGCTCTCCCCATCTTCATCCCATCTCGTCCCTTATCCTTATAACGCCGTTCCCATGTCATCTCGATCAAAAGCAGGTAAAACGAGCAAAAACACAAATATCAAATCAATCAATTCGGTGTCAGTTCCATCTTGAAAAACTTTTCCCCCGGGATAATGCGTTGTGTGCGATCGATAAAAAAAGACCTTAGTTAATCACAGATTCCCATTACTCATTCGTCATGTCCATCCATCTCTCTAAAAGTAATCGCGGCGGTAAAGGGCTGTTCCGTCGTATAAGAATTCCAGAGGATTCGGTAAAAATTTCAAGTATGGCGTAAAAAACAAATATCCGAACGAAAAGATGATCATGAAACGCCTCTAAGCGCCACGCCATGCCACGAAGTGAATAAAAAACAATGCATGGCGCAAAACGTAAATGAGCGTATCCACCGCAAGTCGATTTTAGAGCCAGCAAATGCTAAATGGAAGGCAAGAAAAGGAGGTATCCAGTGACTTTTCGTGAGATCCAGACGCAAGTACCCTCCGATGCTCTCCATAATATGTTGTACAGTCGCATTTTGCGATAAAAATGTGAATAGAAATCGAACCAGAATAGAATATAGGTGACTCGATAGTCTCAGCAGTCGAGACGTCGAATAGAGCCACTAACCGTCAACCCTTATCCTTTTGGGCTCTCCACCCTCCGGGCCGTCTGAGCCGTGGCCGGCGGTTATATCCGGACTCTTTCGCTTAGCCGCGTTGGGCCCATTATCGTCCCTCAGAAAGGAAGGACCCGAACCTACCACCGGCGTAGCGAAGTTCAAAGGACTCGGAAGGGTGTTGCTGTCACTGCCCCGAAAATTCCACTCGGGATAAAAACTGCTAGGACTCGGCAAGAATTCGTTATTGAGGAACCTAGATGGTAAAGCGGAGACAGGTGTGTCGATGTTCATATTGTTGTTTTGAGTTTGAGGATGTGGTCTTGCAAATGGATTCGGTGGGCCGGTGGCTCCCGCAGATAACATCGCCGATGCTGACGGTGATGGAGGCGGGAGGACAACGCCAGCTCCAGGGCCTTCCACACCATTTCGGCGAGCTGATTGCGCAGTTGTATCGGTTGTTGTGCGAGGAGAGGTACCTGTATCACCAGCATTGCTACCAGCGTCAGATTGCTCCTCGGGAATTTGAACCTTTAGCCTTGGTCGCGAGCCACCACCACCAACTTTCAAGCTGTTTGAGCGAGAGGGCGGAGTGAATGTGGTCTCGGGGATTGTAGGTATAGAGTTGCGAGCCAGGCCAGAAGTATTGGAACGTTGTGGGAGAGGCGGAGATGAGTCAGATTTATTTCGCGAAACAGCACCTACGTCCACTGATTGCGATCGATTACCATCATCTTTTATGCGGGGTTCCGCGTTGAACGAGGCTAGATGTTGAGACAGAATCGACCGGTTCTCATCGATCGGAGTGAAGATGCTGTGCTGTTTGCGTTGTGGCATTTTCTTGATCGCGGATGCTGTATCTAACAAGGGTTGACCGGTTCTCTCTTGAAGGGATTCATGCTTCGGTTCCATAGGCGCAGGTGGTTGCGGTTCCTGTTGTGACATTTGCGGCGGTTGTGGAGGCTCGAGATGTTGAGAAGGCGGCTGCGGAGGGGACATATGGGGAGTCTGTTGTGGAGGTAGCTGATGTGTAGGTTGTGGCGGAGAAGGACGCGCAGGTTGGCCCTGGGGAGCACTATGTGGAGGATAGTTAGGAGGCACCGACGAGCGTCGCTGTTCTTCCATATAGCTTTGTACCTGGGCATGCTGTTGGGCAGCAGCGTATTGGAACTGGCCTGGTGCCGGCGGAGGGAGTCCGTGTTGCGGATAAGCGGGTTGATTTTGTGGATTGTAGATAGCAGGTTGAGGCATATACGCGTAACCGTTGGCAACTGGCTGGGCGCCTGGTTGTGGAACGCGTAGGTCGCGGCGAAAATCGTTTCTCGACGAAGGCCTGGAGCCGATCTGTGGTTGGGGTGTATGTCCTCGAGGCGCGAACTGCATCCCATTGATGGGAGGCGAGGCGGATGGAGTATGATGCCTTAAATGGGTAAAGGCAGGTTGGTTTTGGAAATGGGGAGGAATCATCTGGGGTTCGACAGAGCCTTCATGGCCATGGGGAGGTGTGCCCTCGCCATCTTCGTCGTCGTCGTCATCGCCGCCGTTGAAATCGTGTGGGCCTTTGTGCTCGTTCGGACCGCCATGCTATTGTTTTGGTTAATGTCCATGCATTAATTAGGTTGACGCGAAGATGGGGTGATACTAACGTATTGATATCTTGTGATCAGATCTCGCATATCACCTGATGAGTATTCGTATAACTTCTTATTGCTGCCGAAGATGAATACGGCAACATCTACTGAGCAAAGTACTGATAACTCGTGCGCCTTCTTGAATAGACCACCTTTTCGTTTTAGGAACGTGCTGTATTGACAATCATATTAGCTGTTGACGGGGAGAAATCGGGGAAAAGAATCGAGTAACCTCGATCGCAAGGACAAGCTTACACAGAGCGGTTCCTGTCATCCTTAATAGCTTTAATTTCGATCTTTCTCCGTCCCATTTTGATCTAAATAGTAGGGTATATATGCGATAAATGAAAAGAATAGAGAAATGGGTATTATGGAAAAAGAAAGGAAGAAATGTTGGTAAGCGATAAGGCTTCGCCTCCCAATTGCCCGTAGGATTTTGTTTTTAACTTGACGTCTATGATAGATCCCTTGATTTGGTGGATAGCGACAACGCGACGGGTAGTGACATGAAAAGGCGATTTGCCGTTGAAGGCCCCGACCGCGAGGAAGAATAGATAGATGGAAAGAATAGGAAGCAGGGTTATATTTGACAAGTAAACACCAGCGGGGAAATGGTCTCAAACTAAAAGTCGTTGACAGTTGTACTAGTAGTAATAGTAATAGTGGCGACGGTATATTGCTGGATTGGGACCGGTTGTTCGGTTGAAGAGTTTAATCTGACGTGAAGGGGGCTGAAGGACCTTAAGGGTATTATTGGGTTGGTTGGTTGGCTTATTCGTTTCTCTCTTCCCTCGTTTTTTTTTTGTTTGTTGAGTGGGACGACGGAATATAGTAAGCGGACTTGATAGTAGACGTAGACGTGGATGTGGACGTGGTCAGGTAGTTAAGGTAAGGCAGAGCAGGGCAAGAGGACAGGGCAGGACAAGGGTAAGAAAGAAGACAGGGTAGAGAGAGAACAACAATGGTAATGTTGTTAATAGAGAAAGAGGTTGAAGGAATAGCCGGGCCTAAAATTTGGTACGGGTCTCCGGTGATATTTGAACGGGCTTTATTATCCACCACGCAGGAAAGGAAAAATAAGGTGAAGGTAAGTTAAGTTAGGAGGAAGACGGTGGAGTCGCGCAGTCGAAGTAATAAGTAATAAGTAATAATGAATATCAGCAAGGCCCGGATCTGATATACGTATTGCGTCCGTACACACTTATTATATATGTACGTGTGTGCGGTACGGTACGGTGCGATGCGATGCGATGAGATGCGCTTTGCGATAGATATAGATGAGATGATGGATGGGTGTATGGATTTGATATATGCGATTTGTGCACACGCCACTTCTGTAGACAAATACGCATACGCTGCAGCATACACATACACATACACCTCTACACACACACAACTATGTATGTTGTATATGTTATATGTATGTAGATGTAGACCTTGACTTAATGACGGGAAGTGTCGTTCTTTTTCTTCTCAATCAGTTTCCCGAGATATACATTAATACAGTACATCAATCGGTGGTGCACTACTTGGGACTTGCAGGACGATGGGGCTGAATCTGGCGTGGTTGATTCTAATAATAGACAGTATCGTGTTCACTCGAGTTTTTTTGTGTGTGCGGGAGAAACAGAGAAAGTGGGAAAGGTTCAAGGAATTGGGGGGGGGAGGAAAAGCGCAGAGGGGAAGGGGGGATGGTGTCACACACTTTTCGAGGGACAGGACAACTCTTTCTTGCTAAGAGACTAGAGCTAAGAAAGGCTAAGGTAAGAAACGGGGTCTCTTCAGGGCTGCTAGTCCAGTACTTACCGCATAATACCGTACATATACGTACCATACCTTCCCATGTCTTTTTACCTTTATTGCCTTAGGGTCCTTTCCTTAGCAGCGGAAACGTCCTAGCCCGCTACCTAAATCGTTAATGTCCCCACATTTCCACCATTATTGTAGCACGTTTTCTCTCACGCTAGGTAGTGAGGTACGCTAGATATGGTAGGTACAGGGGGCAATGAACCTTGTACGTATGTACAATTGTGTAGTACTGTACATCCCCACCTTACGTAAGTCTGATGGTCTGAGCTTTTTTCGAGTTTTTTTCCCTCCTCTCCTTCAATCAATGGTTTTTGTTCAATGTTTTTGAGTTGTCAAGTACGTTTGTACCTGTCTAGCAGAACAGCCCTAGCGTGTAGCGCGACCGAGTCTGGGAACCCAGCAGGGGGTACCCCTGGTTAGTAGCAATAGCCCTTGGCCGCCTCTTCTGCAGCCTATTGTTTGTCGAGTACACTTTTACTGATGGGTAAAATGGCGGAGGCTGCAAAAACCAACGGTCGCAAAGGCAGGCAGATTAACCCCAGGCACAGGACACATTTCGACCCGTGTGGCTTAGACGAGCACAATACTTGTTTCTTGTCTTCCTCTTTTGAAGAGAAAGAGGTTCTCTCATCTACAATAGGTCAAGTCTTGTATTCCAAAAAGTACATTACATTGTACAGCCCTTTTTTCGATACATGTGCTGCCAGCCCTAGGATACTAAAAAATCGAGATCCGAATAAACAATTCGATCCGAGCACGGGACATATCGACATCGATCAATGGCCTTCAGACAAACGTAATGGTACTAGTACATTTAATTCTACAGTGTTTGTTAATTATTTTATTTTATTTTATTTTTCTCGCTACCCGTCATGACGGATCGCCATTACAGCTTCCTTGGCCATTTCCTCATTCACTTTAAACCAATAATCTTTACGCAATTTGCCGTCGCCCGTCTATCTAAGATCCTTATCCACGGAATAGTTTCAGTACTTGAAACAGCCCCCAAATTGATCGACTCCTCCCTCCGCCATTTCCCAATTCATTTCCACCCACGCCATGTAGGTGTGAGTATATACATCTGGATATAAAATCTAGATATGTATCAAGTATATCTATACTCAAAAGAGCCTCATTGTATACATCTCATCCATCAATATATGTATAGGTGGTACATATCAACGGATATTTGTATGCATGTTTATAAGTGGTATAATTTCAGGGGCTTCACTAGAAAATGAAAACCTACACCTACACTTCTCGAACAAGATAACCCCCCTTCAGAATCAAACAAAATCTCAAATAACTAATGTGGTACCACGGCGTTAAAGCCATGTGTCGTCGTTATGATGTCTCCTTGAAACTACCGCACTCTCAAATTTTGCCGCTCGCCTAGCTCGCTAAAAGGGGGCTCAACGACGTAAAAACATGCGACCGCTCATATATTACTCTTCCTAACGTACATAATTATCCCATTGCGGCTAGGTAACGTCTTGGACGACACCTCTCTTGGCACATATTGGCATGATACATACGAAATCTGCAAATAGGTAGTATACGTACGTAAACTTTTGTAGCAGCATCTTCCGAATTTCAATATGGATAATATCGGTAGTGAGAAGGACCCTTGCGGAGATCTGCGAACGCCGGATCTGGGGAAAAAAAAGAAAAAAAGCCCAGAACAGTCTCCTTTTACCATTTACTCCCCTCATCTCTTCCTTGGCTACATAGATTACTTTATTCCAGGTTTACTGTAAATCTATGTGAGAATGTACTACACTATCAATTTGTAAAAGCTCTGCATGCAGATGCTGTCGTTTGTTAATTGATCTGCATCTCCAAGTTTAGAAAACCACGAGACAGACATGGTTATAGCAAACGATAGTATACCTACACATCACTTCGCTCGGTCCGAGTCTTTGCCAAGTTAGTAAAGTAGTATAGTATACTATGTATAATCAAGAAGTATAGAGTTGAGATGAAGCCGCAACGCATAGCGCAACAAAAGAGAATTGATACATTCCCGGTTATCACTGTTACCCCAATGCCTACCATTTCTAACTTTGATCAACCATTCACACAACATAACGATCGATCTAAGCGCGCAGAAGATGTGTCTGAACTGTTATTCGGTGCCGAGTATCTTCTGCACCAACCTGTATGCTGATGACTTGCGTAAGTAGGTAGGTTCGGTACATTTGTATGTAGGTCATGTAGGCCTTGTAGGTTGTGGAGGGTATGTAGGGCTGTTACAATCAGTCGGTAACACAGGGAAGACGAATCGGGTCGAGAAGGTAGACGATCAGAAAGCCAAAATCGGGTAATAGACAAACAAGTTGGAGATGAACAATGTGAGAATGTAAGAGATGTCGATGGTAGGATCCATTGCCCATGTTACTTGGCGGCGCAGTCTTTCGAATCGGAGCCGATATCTACAGAGGAACAACGAATAAACGAATAGTTAAGCGCCCGGGCTAGATAGAGTTACGAGGGAGTATCAAGTATCATTTTTCCAAAGCAACAAAATAGATTTCGATTTCATCTGCAACAGCTCGTCATTGGATTATCTGTCTTGTCAGAAAGTGCTGCACGGAATGTTGCAAGGCTGGCCAAGAACGTGTGCGATAGGTGGGCTTGGGTTGGTTTTCCCCCCTTGGCATGGCCCCCCCGGACCCGGGTTTGTGCGTGTGTAACTAAACTACCTAGGTACTAAACTACTAAACTATTCCTTTTTCCCACCCCAATGCACAACAGCCGAGCCGAAACGCTAAAAATAGCTATTTATAGAAAGGAAACAAGACCCACCGGTGCGTTCCCGCAAATCCTCACCTTGCTCTCCCGTTTCTGGCCAATTAGCCCTCGTATCCGACCACCTATGCGGGCTAATTTACCCCAATCTAACATAATTTGCCCGAATTAACGGCCGACGGGACAAGAGGGTCGAGAGTGAGATAGAACATAATTTACCCACCCTTGAATCATAATACGATAGGTAATACATGGGATGGACGGACGGGATGTTGGAATGATATTGATTGCTTTAATTTTGCCCTGTTCCGATCCGGACCACCGCTTCGGGCGGGTATTATGTTATTCGAGACGGGCTTGTTAGTAACTATGAATAATGCACTATTCAGTTGGTAAAGGCAAGGAGAAAAGGGGGGATATTAGGGATAACTAAATGAAGACATGATCATCTTTGGCGGACTTGTGCATTACTGATTCAACCTAACAAAATTCAACATTCATGCTTGGTATGATTAATATGATTACATGGGAAGGCATTGTTGTATTGGTATTGGAGAAAAAAAGAAAGAGAGACAGCGCTACAGCGCTACAACATGGATCATTGCTTATCAGGAATATTACATACATACCGCCTGTAGCTGCAGAGGTCACAATCCCATTTCAAAAAGAACACGCCTACATATTCTATCTACTAGGTGACTAGATAGTCATTCATGTATGTAATATTCTAACCCGTTTCCTTCCAGAACAACCATAGAACAATCCCCATTTTCGATAAACGATGACGATGATTACGATGACATACAGACTATAATCAAAAAGCCTTGCAAGACAGGGGATATATTGTAAGATTCTGACAAAAGAAACGACACTTACATACAGCTGAACCCCTGATAGTGAAATATTGCTGTGGGCTTGGCACATCGCCTACGTAATACGGCGTGCCCTGAAGGAACAACAAACTGCAACCTCACCATTTTGCCCTCCTTGTTCGCAGTAAACTAATTAATCCTTTCCGCCATTTTTTTCTTCTTTTCCATGCGACTCTTGTTCATGATCGTAGGGCCGATTGGCTCCCCCCTTTTTCGTTTCCATCGCGATGGAGACATTTCCACATGTTAGACATGGTTTAATTTTCTTCTTTCTTTTCAAGGGTTCTTCTCACATATTCAGCTCCCGCCTAATTAAGTAATCGACATTACACGGAGAGTCAGCAAGGCAGATAGGGGAACAGCGGGATGGATTATCATCACCTGTTCAAGTTAACTAACATGCACACAAGACATATTCTAGAAGATGAAGAATTTTGAATATTCACTATCTTCCCTGGTGAAAAGATCCCCGCTCTTGAAGGATTTTCGTCTGATATCGGTGGCGGCCGCCATCTACCATAGTTGTAAAAGTACCCTACCTACAGTATCTACATTAGACGGTGGCTGCAGGTAATGATATGCAGGTCACTAGAATCGTCCGAACAATAACATGATATAACTTCCGGCAACGACACCGAGCCACGTACGACGAGGGCCGGAACCCAGTTGCCGAGCCTTCTACACTGTGGATGGGATCAATTAGTCTGGTAAGGCAAGGCATGTACGACACGTGTAGGCATGTATGTAATGTAAGTATCTCAACTACCGCGCGAACGACGGATCGGGTCGCGACCCAGGAGCGGCAGTGCGGCAAGATCAGACGAACGAAAAAAGAAAAATCTTCAACAAAAAAGACATTTCCATCGAACTGGTTCACTACCCCTGAACAGGATCGAAGACAAATCGAGGTTGCAATAATACGTAGGAAAATAGGAAATTTTCCCATTGAGCTGATAAAAATTGCCCACCGGGTCCGGTAGTCCGGTCCCGAAATCGAAATCGAATCGAACCAAGCCACGCTCATTCTTGTCTTTGATTCATAGAACAATAGAATAGGACATGGAATCTGCATTACCTACCCATCACCGCCGCCGCCGTCGTGGCCTCCAAAATAGTCGGTAATCAGCGGGCCATGCAAGTCAGTTTATTCCCCGTCGATTTTTCGAACGATATTCCCTCCGCCATCCCATCCCATCCTTTCAACCGCTTCTTTATTCTTTGCATATACCACGTTGCGAGCCTGTCACGCCTGTATCACGTACCGCCCTATGAGGCTGTAGTTTCCAGCGCTTCGAATGTACCTATCACACAGATAGTAGTAGACGGAATACACAGACCTTATAGGGCTGGGGGCAAGGTACACCATCCACCATCCACCGTCCCATCTCCCCTCCCCCAATTCCATTACAATTCCAAATCCAAGTCCACAACAAGTGAAAGAAAACACAGAAAGAAGTTCGCTCTGTCATCTCTACCAATACTACTTACATACTGCATATTCGACATGCACTTCGACTCATCCTATCCCCCCAATCCCCCCATCATTGGCCGCCTTCTCCCCTCGCACATAATACATGTAGGCCAAAGTCGCAATATTGGAGCACCCAGTCCCAGTCTACCAGCAGCGTCACATTTGATTACCACCACCCATCAACTCCCACCGATTTTTATCTTTCCTTTCCATTCCAATACCACTACCACCCCTAACCAACCTTCCATACATACATTCTATCAATCCGGCCGAAAAGGAACTGCAACAAAGAAGCCATGAAAAATTTTCATCTCTCTTCTTTCATTAATACATTTTCGAAAGAGAAGGATTTGCCTAGTACCTACCTACCTACACACAATACCATCCCGCGTCCATGTAGCACGAAATGCACGTCACTTTCATAAAACCTACCTACCTACCCACCCAACCAATCCCAGCCTTGTAAAAGGGGAGCGGGTACGGGCCATGCACATCTCACCACATCTGCTACTAAGTATAGAAACAAGCTTAACAAACCACCACATGCAAGACCCGCAACCACATGCTCTGATACTACAGAAACCTTCTAGAAACGTTTTTGTAAGGGTCCTTTTGTATTATTATTTCTTCTGTTACCGCCAATGCGCCCTGGTCCGCATCCCAGGAGTCTGGGTTTGTGAGCGGGCAACTTGCATACAGAGAAAAAGAAAAAAAATTATGTGCCGTCCAACCACATGGTCCACTGTCGTACAAAGGCCTTTCTTTGTAATTTTTCTTTTCTTCCCTTCGGAAACATGGAGCCAACCCCCCCCCCCCCCCCCCCTTATGAACGCCTGTGATAGCCACACGGAGCTAATCAAGCCAAGCCTCGAACGCCATGCCAATGCTGCCAAATTTGGCCACTTCCTTAGTCCTCCTAATCGCCGTTTTGGGAAATATACATAGGACTTTGCCTGTAAGAGATGAAGCGCTCGAATTATAAAAAAAAATAAGATGAAGAAAAGGGGGCACGGGATGGGACGGGGACAAGTGCGTCGAGGAGGAAGAAGATATAGCACCATCGTCTTGATCGCATGTTTCGTATACCATCCAAGTTCATCACCTTACCCCTTTCCCTCCAAGGAAAGGAAATTGGGCAATTGTAGGAAATAGTTTCCCCATTTACTCGTTGGCTGGGGTTGCTCCGGCGGTTTGCGAGCCAAAGGAACCAAATCCTCCGTGGTCAGCACCACCATTGTCTGTCGGGATTGTGCCGTTGAGGAGCGGGCATTTGCTGATCCAAAAAGTTAGCATGAAGTTGTCTGGTGGTAACGAACAAACAGAAATGGTAGCAAATCTGTGTACGACTTGGGGGTAGAGTAATCAGGACAAGCAAGAATACAAGTCCAGTATGACTCGAGTCGTGATACCATTTTGGAAGGGGGAAGAGCTAACGAGGCTCAAAAGAGCAGTGGTGCCAGTACCTCTTATTAGTTTTGATATGTCCAACTTGACCGCAGTTCGCGCACTTTCGGGTCGTACCCGCGGATGCCTTGTCAGCGGCAGATGGGTCAGGAGATCCAGCGGCGGCATCATTATTGTTGTTGTTGTTGTTGTTCTTCTTCTTTTTGCTCTTGCCTTGTTGCTTCTCGCGGACTTGGCGGCGATCCTGGTTCTTCAGGAGTCGCGAAAGTTCTCGCTCCACACTACAAATGATATTAGCAGATATTTAAGAATTGTTTTGGCTGTTGCAACTGACAGTTTCTGCTTCTCGCGGTTATCGTCCGCGTCAGCGGTGGGCTGCAGGCTGTAGACACTATAGTTAAACCACGTTAGCATAATCGGAGTCCTATTATTGTAAGCAATACGGTGAACTAACTCTCTGTTCTTCTCTTCATTCTCTCGTCGCTGCTTGAGGTAGTTTCTGATCACCACTGGGTTCTCCAAGATGATAGTCTCCGTTACAATCTCTCCATCCTCGTTCCTCTTCTTACGGGTGATCTTCAACTTCTTCTTGCCCGAGCGACTTGCTCCGCTTAGGCGACTGAATTGACTGCGTCCGTCATCCAAGGGCACGGGGGTTGCCTCAACCTGTCTGGAATTGAAACGATCATCTTCGTTGGATGTATCGAGAACATCAGCGTCGTCGTGTGTGGTCACGTCACTCAGGGTAGACTTTTGTCTTTCCCAGATTTGCTGAATAGCTGCGTTGTACATGTCTGCTTGCTTCTTGACATTATACGAATGACCACCGTTCGCCTTGCGTTCGCGCTCGATTGCGTCCGCCGAGGTTGCTAGAGGACCTTGCACAGCGTTGATGTAACCACCTTTCATAGATGTTCTAATAAAACTGAAACCTAATCCGTGGCCAGTGGGGTCACCCTCACCGTGAAGAGCTACCATAGCCTTGCTTTGAGTAGCTTCGTTGAAGTTCTTGGTCAGTTCCCATGGCGCCATTCTAGCTGCCAATGAACCTTCTGCGGCTGGGTGTTCGCCATCCGTCTTATCTTTAGGGTCATAGCCGGCATTCACCAACAATTGTTGACCTACTTGCATAGCCTCGATGAGGCAGGCATCCTCTGGCTTGATCATGGATCGAATAGCAGGTTCGTCCAACAAGGTCTTACCTTCAGGGAGCACCCACGTCTTTGAATCCTTATCATAGAAAAGAAATTCCTTCATTTTCTGGCGATTTTGAGGATCGATCTTATCGAAGACATGTGGAGAAAGCTCATTGAGTGCAATGTCCTTTGTTGGCTTCTTCTTCATCATTCGGTACGCAATCATCTTGAGGCGGTTCTTCGCCGTGTTAGTGACCTTTCTAGCATGAGGTCCCGGAACATCGACTGAAGGGAAACATTGACCAACGGTATACACGTAGTCAATGTTGCGAAGATAGAACCTTGGGCCCTCTGTGGCATTTGTTGAGAATCCAAGGAGGAAATCAGTCTGTCTAGGCTCATGCTTGAAGACCGGTGCACGATACATCTCATTGTGGAGTGTAGGAACCGTCTCACCAGGGTCCACGGTTCCGAAAATAGAAAAGGGTGATCTATCTTCGGGCAGCAACGTATGACTCTCGCCAATATCGAGTTTCGGGCCCTTATCCTCGTCTCTGCGATCTTTTCGGCGGTAGTAGTTGATTACGCGGTTACCCATGCCAAAGTTTGACATCATGATCGGGAACTCCTCGCAGTATTCGAATAGAATTGCGGTGGAATTATCATTCATACTGAGATCCTTAGTCGTTCTGAAGATTTCCTGCGGAGTTCTTCCCTTTAGATCTCTCTTCTTGACCTTCGAGGGTTTACGCACACCGATGGCATGCTTTACGACCTTCTCAATATCAAACTTCTTGCGGTGATGTTCCCAGAATTTACCGTCAACCTTAACACGGTAGAAGGGAAACGTGAGTTTGAGGGCCGGCAAGCTGTGCTCGACAGCAAGACTCGACAAAGTTGCTCTGACTTTGCTCTTGTGGTTCAACTTGAGTGCGTCGTATGCGTCATCATTAGAAAGATTGTAATGCTTCTGAGCATCCTTTCTCAATTGGCCATTAGCCATACGAATGGTCTTCTCTTCAACCTTAGGACGCTTAGCCGGCCGCTCCAACTCGCCTGGTTTACAGAGCAAGAGGTAGGGGTCGCTCTCTTCGAGTCTGACGCGTTTGCTGGATCGCCTTGTCTCTCTCTCGAAGTCATCGACACCCGCAGTGTCAAATGACCGAATAATAGGAAGGCCAGGCGTGTATTTGGCTTGAGTCTTCTTAGTCTGCTGATTCATGAATTCCTTATCCCAATCATCCATGACGATATCTTCCTTAGCAGTATCTTCATGGGCAATTGAGCTGGCAAGTGGCTCGGCAACCACAGCCTCAAGCTGGGCCAAAGACGCATCCCATTCGTCACAAATTGTAGTAATTTCGTCCAACACAAAACCTCCCACGGGGGTTTGTTCGGAGCCCGAGTCATCTGAGTAGCTTTCCGTGGCATCCAAACCCCAATCCTCGCCATCGCTGTACGTGTCTGTCTGGGAAGTAAGACCAGTATCCGGGATCCGAAATAGTTTAGAAGAATCTGCTTCCAGCTCTAACTCCAGCTTAGTTGGTACGAATTCGGGAGGGTCTCGGTCCTTGTGGGGAGGCTCCTTGTACATGTACTCGGCAGGCCATTCTGGAAATAGTTGGTTGAAGAAGAGAACTTTGTGTTTCTTGAAGCCTGGGAATTTTTGCGCTAGGAGTTCATCGACGCTCTCAGGAGCTCTTTGAATGGTACTGTCTTCCTTGCTCATCTGATTCATCCACTTATCGATAGATAGAGGCAATTGGGGGAAATTAAGTCGCTGTCGTTCCTCGAATGACATGTTTTTCCAAGCCTCATCTGTGACATCTTTCTCTTTTACCACGGGAGCTTTCTCTATATTCTGGATATTGGGCATAGTCAAACCGCTAGTTGAATGTGCCGTCGTAGTATCCTGAGGGGGAGGGGAGGATGGAAGATAGTCGTTTTCGCCTTCGGGACCGCCGCCAAAAAGATCGTCCATGTATTCGGTATCATGACTAGTGCCCTCATCTTCCGTAAGGCCAGGGACTTGCGAGATGCCAACACCTGCGGCAGCGCTAGAGCCATCTTCAGAAGCCAGGTCACTATCGCTGATATCTTCAAAATCGATGGCATCGTCCGCCTTGTTGGTTTGGTCGATCTCTTTACTCTCGAATTGGGAGAGGGCCTCGCTCATGGACATTCCGCCGCTCATTGGTGTTTTGCCATTCATATCGAACATCTTGCTGATGTCATCCTCATCTTTCGCAGCCTGGGCAGCCCAGTCGATGTCCTTGAATGCCTGTCCATTCACCTGGTCGTGGTCCGGTTCTTCCTCCTTAATGGTGACACCGTCTACACGCACAGGGCCGGAGCCCGGCGAAGTTTCGTTGAAACCGTTCATCCTGATCGTGGTCGTAACCGTAGCGAGCGCGCGTGGTATCAATGTAGAAAGGCTCCTCAGCGTCGTCGGAAGACGTCGGCGATCGCATGGATGCCGCTAGACAACCTCATGTCAGAACAGGCATACGTAAGTCGCGCGATTGAAATGACATCGAAAAACCAGGTAGGAGAAATGCGTCAACTCGGGAAAAGTGTCGGATGTATATCGGGGCCTACGCTAGATAGGCCTGAGAATATTCGGCGCGAAAATGTTGTTCGAGGACGAGTTTTGGATTGACTGGTTGTTCAGAAGAGGTGGCGGCTCGAAATCGGGAAGTCGCGTCAAAGCGATAGGTACCGAATGGCATGTACAACTTTAGGCTGCCAGTGGGGAGATGACTAACCTGAGGAGATGTGTTTGTTACGGGCACACTCCAGGTGTGGTCCTAGGAAGATCCTAAAGTGTCAAATTAGATTGTAAAAGGATTTTGGGGTGCAAAAATTATAGTACGTATTGACTTTTGTATAATAGTCTTATTAAAAGAATGACAAGAATGAATAGAATACTTCAATACAATAATACGAGGATGATCGAAACCAAATCGTGTGTTGCGCATTCAATCCAGTGTGGGCGCGGTTGAAGATGCAGATAGAAAGATGGATGTGGAAAAAGGGTGTGTGAATAAATTGAAGGTGAAGAAATTAGATTTGAGGCGGAAACAGTTTTTTGTGTGGCTTGAACTTTGTGGCTTTTTAAGAGTGGGGGTGTCGACCCACACATGCAGGTAGAGTGATCCATCAATGTGCTTTTCAGCGAATTATATGTACCAATGTACTTGCTGCTATTTGAAACTCCGAAAATTGAATGTATAGCTTATGTACCCAGGTACATGTAGCATACGTCACGTATAGAGTAACTTGCCGATAAGTGTCAAGCAGATGTTGTGGAACATGACAATTCTTTTCTAACCAAGGAAGCGTCCCCTTTATTAAAACGATCAGGCGAGGCTCTCCCTATAAACCGTCAGGACTCATATACAACATCAACACACAGCATCGGTGATACCTTTCGCTACATTGATTATGACCCTATAGATTTCTATCACTGTCTACCGAAATCAGAAGACGAAGCTAGTTAAAGTAGATATTTCTACAGCCAGTTAGATCTTTTTGTCTTATTCCATGTGGCTCAATTGGAAGCTACCCAACACCTTCATTTTTGGCCGGTTTCGAATAGGCTTACTTCTTCAACAGTTGGCGAACACCCTCAGTCATAATTTCCCCGCATTATGGTTCCTTACAGTCACGAGGCATTCCAAGTCAGGCCAGACAGAGACTTATCGGCATCCACCTTGAAAATGACGGACCGAGAGACTACACCCCCACCCATGTGGCTCCTTGAGAATCTTGTATCAGGCACAACCTCGCAAGATGAAGCTACCATAGGATATTCGGTCCAATAGGAGCCATTCCCTTTTGTCTGTACCTACATACGAGTTTCTCTTAGCGAAGAGCTGCGCCGTCGAGCATACCTTACCAATGTCACGCGGATAAGAAGTATTGGTACCAAATCACTGACAACCACGTATATCACAGGAACAGAAAAAATATTTAAGATGTCATTACTACGTCGGGGCTTTTACATGAGTTGTACCGGTCGAAAGGGCAACTTGAAGGTCTTTGTCTTCAAGTATTGTCCAGATAATGTTGGGCTAGATAGCCTATAGCAACTAGGTATATCGACAGCTCTAGGTCATAACATAGGAGAGCCTGATAGTCCTACTATTTCCCGAATACGTCGAACTAGTTTCCAGGATAATCATTGATAACTTCCCGAAGAAAATATTATTATCGGAATTATATAAACTAGTAAGTGACCCCCTCCCTCCCCCAATCTATACAGCAAGTTGGGGGTCAAGCTACTATCACTCCGCAATTGGACTTTGACCTTGTGACTTTATGGCGATATGCGCGGGTCCGGACGTTCCACTAAAGGCACTAGTTTAGGTACTGTTACCCTATCTATCTGAAGCTTTCTTTTTCCTTGGCCTGTACGAGTTACCGTCAACTGCATCTGTAACCCTGATTCCGAACCAGTGGAACATAAGGATACAACATAGTATGATTCTCCAGTCAAGCATTTTCGTCTTATACGTTGCCAAGGTTAGCTTCATCGTGGCTGTACAATGACAATGATGTTATCGTGACGGTGTTAGATCGGAGAGATGGAAGAAAAAGCAAAAGTTTCCAAGATTTGTCCGTGTTAGTGCGTGGAGTAATTGATCGACAATCTTGGGACTCTTCCACAGGACTCACTCATTAGTCACAGTCTAACACGATAGGATATTCACATATCCCTAGACCTATTCTCTTGATATTCTTGCTAGGTTGATGTAACATACGGAGTTCTTAATGCAGGGCCCGTTACATCGTGATTCAGACCTACAATGCGGGTGAGCCCAACTAACTTCAGTTAGCAGACCGAGACTTATTCACTAGTGGGTCATGTACACGGCCTATCTCCCGCGCTCGGCGCCTCCCTAGCCCTATCTATTGTAGGACTAAGACAGATGGTGACCGAGTATATATTTATAAGTGAAACCCAACCGTTTATGTCTCTCCTTATGTCTTATATTCTCAGGGAAGCAGCTAGGAAACACAGGACAAGAATAATATTAAGTCGTACCTCCTAAAGAATCTTGGGATCTTTATTAGATCCATATTACAACTCAACCCAGACTGTTGAGAAGAAGGTGATCTCGAGTATCACAGGAATAAGCAAAACGCCACGATGACGGCGCCATCATCCAAGGACGCTCTCCGCGCCCAGTTCGTGGGCAAGAACCTCAACGAGGTTATCACACCAGCTGCCATTTTAGATCTAGCTAAGGTCGAGGCGAACTGCAACATGATGCTTGAAGCTGCCGAGAAGCTTCAGCTCAGCTGGCGAGCACACATCAAAACTCATAAGGTACGGTCTTTGTGAGACCTACATCTTTATTTCCGTATTATTATATGGGGCGTTTTTGGTGCCGGCGAAGGACGCCACCAAGCAGGCTAGTTGAAGCCAACCCTTCCGTTACTTTCTTTATTAGAAAGGAAGGCTGCTTGTGTTCGGGAACCCCCATATTCATGCCGGGCCCTTGTTTAAATAATCATATCCCCTCATCGAGCGCGACGGAACCCCATAAAACGATACAAAAAAAAAGACGATGATATACTTCACGAAAATATAAGAAACAATGCTAACTTCACTGAATCTTAGACAGAGGAGCTCACGAGGCTACAAGTCGGGGACAAGAGCTCCTCGCCCGTGAACCTAATCGTCTCGACGATTATCGAGGCCGAGCGGCTCGTACCCCTATTAAAGGAGTACCAAGAGAAAGGACGGAAGGTCAATGTGAGCTCACCTTACCCCCCTATTTCCACAAAACAACTTCAAATCCTAACCTTTGAACAGGTACTCTACTCCTTCCCCCTCTATGCCAGCGCCCTCCCGCGCCTCTCCTCAATATCCACCGCCCTAGGCCCCGGCGCACTCACCATAATGATCGACCACATCGACCAAGTCCCGCTCCTCGCCACACTAACCTCGACCTCCGGTGGTAACGCCCCACTAGTCTTCCTAAAAGTAAACATCGGCAGCAACCGCGCCGGCACAATCCCAAACACACCCTCCAGCACATCCCTAATAACCGCCCTCCTCGCCTCCGAAACCGCGGGTACCTGCATACTCCACGGCGTATACAGCCACGCAGGCCACTCCTACGCAACCCGTACCGACTGGGCCGCAATGCAAATCCTAAGCGACGAGTTCTCCGGTCTCCAATCCGTAGCCTCCACCATCCAAGCCCTTCGCCCGGAGCACGCTCCCTTAGTCCTAAGTGTTGGTGCCACACCCACAGCAACCACAATCCAACACCCGGACCTATCCTCCCCTACTAATAGCGACTCAACCCCAGCTGAAGCCCTAACAACACACCTAAAATCCCTCCTCACAACCCTCAAAACGTCCAACTTCGCCCTCGAAGTCCACGCCGGCGTCTACCCCACATTGGACATGCAACAACTAGCCGCGCACGCGCGGGACATAACCCTGCTAAACTCCTCCTTGATCGCCATAAGCGTGCTCGCGGACATCGTATCCCTATACCCAACCCGCGGTCCCAATTCCTCCACCGAAGCCCTCGTAAACGCGGGTAGCCTGGCCTTAGGCCGAGAGCCATGCGAAGCGCTAGGCTCAGGGGATTATTGCGCGTGGGGTATGGTTATGCCGTGGGGTGAATTAGTCAAAGAAGAAGGGGATGGGGGGAAGAAATATCCAGTCCCCGGCCCGGATTTCCCGGCTGTGCATGGTGGTTGGGAAGTCGCGAAGATCAGCCAAGAGCATGGGGTCTTGCGCTGGGAGGGAAAGAATGAAGATGAAGTACCGTTGCATGTCGGACAGCGAGTGCGGATTTGGCCCAATCACTCGTGTATTACGGGGGCTGGACATGCGTACTATTTAGTAGTTGATAGCCGGAACACGGGAAAGGAAGATGAGATTGTGGATGTCTGGGAGAGATGGAACGGCTGGTGATGATACCTACCCCCTGATAGCGGGAAAATAAGAGAATCGAAAAAGGAGGGAGCAAAAGGGGAATTATGAGATCATTTGAACGTTGAAAAATTAGCTCCCTTACAGATACCTCACACAGGGTGCCAAGGTGCCTAGGTAGTGAATAAATTTTGCTTATTTTTGGTCTTCCGAATATTTTGTCTCTGGTAGAAAGCTAACCTCAAGCCCTGATATAAAAATTTTGTCCCTCTAGAAAGTAATAATGACCCTGCCTGCCTACGTAGGCCATCCACGAAACTCCAAGCGCCTGGGGTAGATCAAATGACAACGGACCCGTAACGTGCCGGGTTACGGAAAGACGACTATTTGCATCGCTTTTCGACAATACCAGCGCCGTTCTCCTCGTATTCCTTACGCGAAATCCACATTTGATGAAATGTGCCCAAGCTGGCTAGGATGCTTCCTCCTATCCAGGCACCGAATCGTCGCTCGGTAGTTAGACCGGCGGCGTGTATCTTGATCTTCATACCGGGGAACATGGCCAGTAGCTCGTTATTCAGGCGATCATTGAATCCGTTCAACAAGCTCGTACCTCCCGTTACAACAATGTTTCCCAGCAGGTTAGGTCGTAGGTCCACATCCACCGCATTGATAGCAGCCTTGATTAGTTCTGGGATGGTTTGAGCCTTGGTAACACCCTCGGCAGTCGGTAAGGCGGCAGCCTCATCCCACATACCCTCTGATACTCTGAATCTTTGCTCTCGCCACATCTGGTTGGATCCGTTGGGCATCTCGAACACACGGCCGGGTTGTGACTTGGCCAACTCCTCGTTGCCTGGGTTCGCATACCTGCCAGGACCTCGCCAAACCTCGACAACGGACTCCTTGAACTCTGTTAAGAGGCGCTCTTCCTCGTAGTTGATGAAAGATTGGTGAAGCTCAAAGGGGAAGTTGCGCAGTTTAGCCTGTGCCGGTGCGCCTGCATCAACAGGTGTCTTATTCTCGATCAGGTAGGACGGCACGATATCGATCTTGGGATCGTTGTTTTCCCACATAGATCGGATTTGTTGTGACAACCAAATTCCTCCAACGGGAGATTTTTGGATAGAGCGCTTCAAGATCATACCATCGTGGACAGCTGTAACACTCGTGTTCGCGCCGCCAACATCGACAACCAGGGCTGACGCTTTACCGGCCGCAAAGGCGGCGCATACAGGTGTTCGCGATAACCAGAACGCAGGGCAGCCCCAGTTCTCCATAGCGATTTCAATGGCCTTCTCTCGGGCCTTACCCGAGTTCCATGGCGCCTCCGTCATCAATACTGGGTTCTCTACTAGTGGTTTCTCCTGCTCTTCTACATCATCCATGGCTACGTCGCCCTCGCCATCTTGAACGGGGTCATTTAGACCATTTTTGCTCGGTGGGGTTGGTTTGTCGGCTTGTAGGCGCTTGATGAGGACGTGTTCCCAAATCTTAGTAGCGGCGTCCCAATCCTCAACAATGCTCTCGTTACGCGACATGTAATTCTTAATTTCGAAGTTGGCGCGGGGAATGATGCACTCGTCGCCGAAAACATCGCGGTAGGTGGCAGCGTCGCCTTCGCCGTCTTTTATGCTACCGTAGAAGGATGGCAAGACTGATTTAGGGACATCTTCCCCTGCGAATCCTGCTCGTGTATGACAGTAACCGGCGTCGAGAACAAGTGCAGAGACCTCGTCTGGTGGGGTATGTTAGTATATCAACATGTCATAAAATTACTTGATAGGACGAGGCTGGTGCATTTACCTCCACCGTAGACGTCCAGCGGTTGCTGCGTGTTTGGAAGTGGTTGTTGTCCAGACATTGTGTGGACTCGAATGGCAAATTAGGAAATGAAAGTTCGGCGACAAAGGTTGTAGTGGGAATTGGGAATCGACGGGGTGGAAAGAAATTAACAAAATCAAACAGCGTCGTTCCTACAATTTTTAGTCGATCGCGTTTAAGGTGAAGCTTCTGTAATCTGCAGTCGCGACCGTGGGGGGCTGGGGTTACCTAGGTACAGATGTACCTATCTAAACTCAATCTGCACTTTTGAGTGGTCAAAACAGTGGAGCATATAGCTACAGTACATGTACTTGACCTGACCCAGCTGCACAAGTACCTTCTATCTTTTACCCGCTAACATCTACAACGCCCAGATATACGACTGCCATGACGCGATACAAAGACAACGACGGATATCGATAATACCGAATTAGCGAAAATGTCGCTCATCTCAGACGAGGAAGACTTCCTCTCAGACAACCAATCCGACGCATCATCCAGTGACGATGAACCCTTACCTCCACCTCCGCTACAAACAAACTACTTCGCTCCACCATTCTACGGCCGACCTCCAACACCATTACCTCCCTCTCCATCTCTAACATCATTACTTCGTCCATCACGACCGACCACTCCCGATGCCTCGGACGATGAACTCGAGCCAGTACCCCGCGCATCCCCCAAGGTTCCCACATACGAATACTACGGCTTCGTGCTATACCTTTTCTCATCCCTAACCTTCCTCATCTACCTCCTATGGTCCTACCTCCCATCTCCCTTCCTGCACGCGCTGGGCATATACTACTATCCCAACCGATGGTGGGCGTTAGCTATCCCATCCTTCCTGGTCATGCTCATAGTCTACATCTACGTTGCGCTCGCAGCCTACAACACGGAGATCCTGACACTTCCTATGACTTCATTGGAAACCATTGTCGATGAGGCTGCTATGATCGCTGCGATCGACAGTAAGGGAAACATAAAGCCGGGCGGGTCGTGGAAACCTATCACTGAGGATAAGGCTAGACAGCTCGACTGGAAAAACACATGGAACAAGCGTACGGATGCGGTTATGGACGTGCCGCTAGCTGGTGTATGCGAGGTTATATACGGTGATTTGGCAGACTCGGATGATGATGTCGAGTTTGATACGCATTGAAGTTACTATACTGAGGAATTTTGGTTGAAAATGTTGAAATATCCGGGCAATTACCTCGAGACCAACTCCAAATATGACCCAGGATCCGTTAGGCTAGTACCCCTGGTTATAGATTGATCAAGGGGGAGAAGTTGAGTGTCTCCCTTCGATGAAATAGTCAAGGGACCACAACAGTCTCAATAACGATCGGGAACTACTGCCAGCGTCTTGAACTATCGCGGGACAACGCAGGGGGTGCATCTAGGAATGTCATTATTCGGGTATTTCGCCTGAGTCGGGAAGCGATACTTTAGTGCGAGCTTGCCTAGGTCAACGAAGGCAGTATCATCTGGCCACGAATCGGGAGGTAGAGTCCAGTTGACACTGCACCTGCTGTCGGGCTTGTGCCAAGGGCTCGTACACTCCTCAGGCCTACGGATGACGTTGTACTTGTTGTCCAACTTGAAAAGAGATGGGATATCATCGCTTCAATCTTACCTTGGCTGGAGATTTGGGAACTTGGTATCTTAAAGCACACTCGAGTTGGACTATCAAAACACGAGGGTCTATATCGACACCCCAGATCTAGAAGACTTGCGCACCTTTTTCGCGGTTTTGAGAACAATATCCCAGGGCAAAGAATATTAGTATATATTTGCTGTAGCTTGTCTTAAATCAAAGAGAACTATCTTAATATACATCCTACAATCGTCACTTGAAGTTTCATTACCAAATCCATTCAATCATCCACGTCTCGGTCAATCATCACGCACCTGCCCGCTCGAGTAAGCCCTCGCCAAGCCATACATAATAATTCCACCACTAACATCTCCGCAATCCCACCGGATTGAGTGGGGCCGAAGCGGAGAGCCGGTCGGTCGATGAAGCTATTTTAATACTACTTATTGTCATCATCACCTGTTTCAAGAATCTCCTAAGGTCAAATTCATAGTATATATTGTGAATATCAAAAGACTATATAAACTAAAAATGTCTCTAAAAACCCACACCCAAACCCTCCGCACAACCCTGCACCCATCCTCCCTCCACCCCGGCGCCGCCAGCCCTCTAATCCCCCCGGACTTCACGCCTACCACCGAGCTCAGCGTCTCATTCAGCAGCAGAGCAGTAGAACTAGGTACTTTCTTCCGCGCGGGGGAGTGCAAAGCCGCGCCGCGTATCTCGTTCCCTCCCGAAGCAGATTCCTCGGTGGCGGTAGGTGAGACGTCATATACATTCATCCTAACAGACCCCGACGCACCCACACCCGACGATCCGAAGTTTGCGTTTTGGCGGCATTGGGTTGTTGCGGGGTTGAAGCCTGGGATATATGAGGAGAATGGGGAAGGGGAAGGGAGGACGTTGACGAAGTATCTTGGGCCGGGGCCGAAGGATGAGTATGAATACCCCCGTTTGCTTATCCTTAATCTGTTTCTGGCGGGGTAGGGTAAGGAAGAAGGCGAACTCAAGCTAACTAAATTAAAGCTCGAAACCCCATCGCTACCTATTCCTCCTCTACCGCGAACCTCCCAACTTTACCATAACGCCCACCGACGTCGGGGGCGAAGAGTTCGTGCAGAGACGTAGTTTCCGACCAGATGAGTTCGCTGCACGGCACGGACTAAAGCTCGTAGGTGTGAATTGGATGACTTGCGCAGGCGATGGATGGGTTGCTCCAAGCCCTGAAGAAAAGTAAAAAGTAAAATCAAGGCTTAGTGGGGGTCAGAAGTGGCTGAGTCGTTACGCAAGTATGTCATTGCCAAAGTCCGATTGGTTCGTATCGGATATTATGTGTGCGGTATATTGAGATCTCGTACATCGCCAAGAGATGACCTGCATATTCAGCTTCGCCGTTGCAAGATCTGGAGTAGATGTGATAGGTCAGGTTTTACATATCGGATATTGGATGGATCTTTAATATTGGAAAACTTTTTATCCGAGATCTAAGTTGGCGTACTGGTCCTTGTGTACCTACTGAGGAACCTATTCACCAAGAAAGAAGTGATGAACTACGAGTCCCGAGAAACATAGCGATAAGATGCTAAAAACTCGTCGATTTGCTATGAAAAGCCAAAGCCATATGTGCAAGAAGCCATGCGCATACTCGACCCTATGATCCACGAAAAAGAAAGCCATCGGACTCCTATATTCCATGAATGCGTTTTCCTTTTCCCCTATATCCGGTAATGTCCGCCCATCAATCCGACCAAGACCTCGTCCTTAAAAAAACGCCTGCCACATTGATTGCCAACTTAATGCGATTCCAATCATTCGGCCCTACAATGTGACTACCTTGAAGCGTTATGCGAGTTTCTTGACCTATCCGACCCTCCTTCCCTCCCTTCCTTCCGTGATGCCGACCAATGAAAAATACCGATTGCCCTTGCTTGCGCCTTCTATATTGCCATGCCGTGTTTTCATAAAAGTCGTCATCGGTTAAACGCGGCCGGGCGTACACCATGGGGAAAAATAAAAAATATCGACAGCGAAAGTCAAGTATGTGCAGGTGAAGTGAATGAACCCTTGAAAAGCAATGCCGGAAAAAGCCTGGGTATCATAAAATGAATTGAATATATCGAGTATAGCGCCAGTGACCTTTCAAATCCCATCCCTACTAGACCTCTATGATCGGTCGTTAGCGTCTCGTCGTGCTTGTCCAGTGGCTCTAGCTTTCATGAACTTGGTCACAGTGGAGACGGGTTGGTTAGGGGCAGGGGTAGGCTGAGCAGCGTCGCTTCCAGTTGAAGTCTGCTGCGCAGGCGAAGAGGCGACGGTGGAGGCCTTGGAGGCCTTCGACTTAGTGCTAGGGCTGCTGTCGCCGTTAACGGTCACAGTCTTCCACTTAGTCGTAGTCTGTGCATCCGCGGTGACGGTAACAGTCTTAACACCAGGCTTGTGGTGCTTCTTCGACGATGAGGTTGGGGAGGGGGAGGCCGAGCTGTCCGGAGCTTCGGTAGCCGATCCACTAGGAACTGGCGCTGGGGAGGCTCTACCAATACCCAGACCGGTAGCCTCGATGTGATTAGCCAGCTGAGATGCAATGCCGGCATTATTGACCTTGTTGTTCTTAGAGAACTCCACCTTAGCATTGGCTTTTTGCTTAGCAGGGCCAAGTTGGATCTCAGCACAAGACGTGTAGATCTCGGTGGTGTTCTGAGTGTCCGAGATAACCAGTGGCCAGTTCCAAACCCACATAACCGTGTAGATGCCCTCGGAAGGAAGATTGTCGGGGAGTCGGAAATCGGTCTGGCAGTACAACTCGTCTAAGCCAAACTCCTTCATACGCTGGGCGTAAATGGGAATAGCGAGGTTATTGCCCGCGTTTTGGTAGCACTGACCGTCGTCGTAGTAGTGCGTTGCGAGAAGCTGACCTTTACCGTTACCACCTTTACCATCCTCAGTCCACGAGTCGAGGACGTCATTGATCCCATCCGAATCCTCGTGGTGAAGGGTACCGTAAACATATACGAGGCCGTCCCGGTATGGTCGAGGAGTGATGTTTGGTTGCGTGACGTGGCCATTTTCCTGGTAGAGCATGGCGGCGTAATCTCCAGCGGATGCGTTGAGCCGAGGTAGGCTAGCGTAGGCGTTGGCCTTGGGTTTACATACAGCAGGGTTCGACTTGACGTCGAGGATCTTGTTCTGGGCCTGGGTATCGCTGAAGGTTGGGGAGGATCGATTTAAGTATCCGATCGGATAGCCTATTCCATCCGTGAAGGCGCCGGTGGAGTCAATTTTCCGGACTTCTTCAACCCAGGAGTGGGCGTTAACTGTTGCGGATGATGCCGCAAGGATGGCGAGAGCTTTAAAGATGAAGTTGGACGACATCTTGAAAAGGGTTAATTTTTTTATCTGCTAGTGAGACTTGTCTGAAGTTGACTTGATTGTCTCGCCTGCGAGATGAGGAAACCAGAAGATTGAGGTAAAGAAATACTCGATGCGCGCGTCCGTGTCTGAGGTATCAATATGAATTGTTGGAAAACAGCGTGATCGTTTCTGGTAGTGTCGAAAATATTGTTCTGGAAATTGATTGAAGAGGAAGAACGAAGTAGATTGTTGCGGCTCGCGCGAGAAGAAACAAATACGTATGGGAGACGAATGAATAGGTCGCGCGGCCGCCGAAGGCGCCAGAACGGCCAGCTGATCGCTGAATCTAAGTAAGAATTGTACCCTTTGTTGGAGAGCAAGAGGTGTATTGTTTATGCAATAACAATACTCGCCCTCGCTTTTCAACAATGGATAAAGGAGGAACAAGAGGTCTTGTTTGAGAAGGTCAAAGTGAATAAAGAATATTGTGAATGGGGAAAGAACGCGAATTTGTTAGATGTGGTGGCGGCAACGTGAGGTTGAGAATCCACACACAAGGTGAAGGTTGTGGGTTGGGTTGTCGTAGGTGTGAACGATGATAGCCAATGAGTACAAAGGCGTCAAAGTGGATCAGTCCGGTTTATCGTTCACCTTGTTTATCGGTCGATATGAACAGATCAACAAGGTGAAAGATTGTCGGTTGACTTCGGATGACTCCTAATGATTATGGTGACTACCTTGGAGGAAATAATGTCAGTCAAGGTCCCGGGTGCCAAGGTGGGTGGGTACGAGGTAGATTTAGAGAAAGATGAATGTAGGACTGTGTATCTGAGGATATGTAACCTACGGTAACCTATGGTATCCTAGGAGCGAATTTGACTTGACGAATTATTCACTGAAACGAGGAACTATAGATTTAGTGCCGACTCATACAAGTGTACCTTGCAAACTTGATGCACACATGCTCAGCATAGTAGATTCTGGACTCGGAAGGTGGCCCAGGCCAGAAAGAAATACCCAAACAGGCCGTAACCCAATTTCTCTAGCCTCATCCTGACATGTTAGAAATTTTGGCCTCTTAGCTATGGCCAAGTTCTTATGTAAGGTTGGCAGCCTTTGGAGCGCGGAACCATTCTAGTATGGGGCTACTAGTGTAATACGAATGACGAGATGCACGGTAGGCAGGCATTGCTTGTAACGATCGTTTATTATGTTTGGTACTATGATTCATACAAGCCAATAGGTGGGATGAATCGGTTAGGATAACCTCTGTATGGTATTCAGTATATGATAAAATGATGTTCTAGTCTAAGTTGAAAGAGAAAGAAGGTTGGGGTTTGGTTGTTTGGATCGGATGAGGCAGGGATCAAGGAGTACGTAACTACCTAGGTACTTGTTTGAGTACCTGCATTAGCGGGGATGGGAAGTACATCATACAAGATTAGCAGGGTATCTAATCAAATTTTGTAGTATTGATAACGATAAGAATATGTACACTTTCGCCTTGCGAACGAGTGAAAGTGACTTAGCTAAGCCTAGCCTAGAAAATACCCTGTCTGTAACGAGAACCTATCCGCCCATCGGCTCAGATTCCCCACACTCTTTTTTAAAAGTTCCGTCCCCTTGTTCCATTCTACTCGATTCTTTGCATCATGACCAATGAAATCCCGACCCCCACCCTGGTATGCGACGAAATGCGACGGCAACTCATCGCATTGAGAGGCTACAATTCTACCAACCTGTGGCGGCACGCCAGCCATATCCTGTTATTTTATTCTTCCCGCTTTCTTTTCCACCCACGACCTTTCTCTGCGGCCTAGCTGACCTTCACATCTGCAACATGCGAGACCCGTTGCTGGACGAGGCCTTTACATTCCTCACCGTTGCGGGAAATGACCATGGTTTTCGTTACATTACCCGTCGCGGTGGTCTTCCACCTTGGTCTGCATGGTTGGCTACTTTGCCGCCGTCTTGGCAGATTTGAGCAAGTATTTGCAATATTTTCCTCTTCATTTTCGCTATCTCTAATTTTTAGTTCCGATGTCTTGTCTCGTGTCCCATGTGCTACGCGCCGCACTTTAAGAAATTTAAGATTCTACTATTGCCAGGATCATGCAAATATTCGAAATCCACCCACACGAGGATGCGCGTGTAACCATTAAGCGCTGCATACCCGCAAACTCAAATTCTGAGACGGCTTTAAGCAATCCCCTTTTCGGACGACGGTTAAGCTTAAACAAATCATGCTCTTTATCACCGGCAACTATAAAGGACCCGCCTACCTCTTTACGTTTCAACATTTCAATAAGTCATGCTGAGAGCGGTAATAGACTTACGCCCGTTAGGTCAATCTACAAGCCTAGAACGAGCTTATAGGTTGAGTACCTTTATGCCTCACTATTTCGATGCGCTATTCCTTACCGTAGCTATGGGTTTCGCCACGAGACGGCGAGCGTGGTAGGGCTAGAATCCTTCGCATACCCGAATTTCACACCATAGATGGAATATGGAATAGTCATCAAGCAGTTGAAGCATTACTTAAACTAGCTTTAGTAACTATTCCCGACATCCAGACCTGCCTATCTCGGTCGTTTCATACTCGTTCGTGTTTCATTGCTTAATCGCCACGGATATACCCCTGCTAGTCGAACTAATCGCCCATTCGTTCGTATTTACTAGCCAGGGGTATTAGGAATACCCCATGCTGCCGATCCGCGCGGTAGCATCGCAGGGACGATATCTAGACCTCAAATGACAGGTTACGAACTGCCAAGACTTTATAACACTCCCCTGTCGAGCACTGACTCTTGAAACATCACATCTCACATTTTCTATACTATTTAGTTAACTAGTTCATCCGATTACGGCAACCCTCTCAAGGTTTGATTCCAAATGCAAGACTATCTGCTAGGGACGGTTGCGATTTTTCATGCACATATCTGACAATAGTGTTTTGCTAACTCGAAGATATCATCCCTTCAATTAGTAGTTGCTGCCCGATCGAACGCTATGGTAAAGCCCGTAATGACCACACCACTTCGAAAAGGAGAAGAAGGTCCGATTTAATACAACACAAAGCGCGCAAATTCTAGTTACGGGAGATCGATACGAGGAGATAAACCCGTTTGATACTCGATGACGAATATACATGCCTTCACCTGTCCGATGCGGAATTTACGTCGTTACTACTGCAACCACCTACTGTGGACAACAAATAATACCACACGATATAGTTGTAGACGTAAAAAAGGAGCAATTCGAAGTTTTCGGAAAGATATTATATAATACTGTCCATGAAGACAACCAAATTTACCACCATCCAGAATATCCCCCAAACTCAGATACCAGCGGAACTTGATTAAAGTCCGAGAGAAGAACCGACACACCGATTAACGCCAACCTCCTTCCCTTCCACCCTAAGAAAGTCTCCAGGTAGATATAAAAATACAAAAAAGTGAGCCCTGAGATTGCCCTCATAACCAATACTTTTGCATACTGTGAACCCCAGGTACATGAGCCCAAGTAGTTGCGATCATAACCAGTAAACCTCATTCATATACTCATCTACATATACCCAACTCCATCATCCATAACCGCTGTCGGCGCCCCTCCATAACCCCCGACGTGCCGTGTATGCGGACTCGGATGCGATAACTTACGCATCGAGTGCACGGGGTACGCCGCATCCCCACCACTCCCATCATCAATACTCTCCGCGCGCGACCTCTTGCGTCCAGCAACCTGCTGCGCATTATGCGCGCGCAGCGGCGTAAGTCCCGTAGACCCAGCACCGGCAGTAGTAGAAGCATGGGTAGCCCCCAAATCCAGCGAGAAATCCTGCGTATCTACATCCCAGGCCGGATGTTCACTCGAACCCGCGTGCCACGAAGCCCAAGGATCCTGGTGTTCCTGCTGCTGCTGCTGCGAGTACTGCCCATGATGTTGCGAACCCTTCCCCGGCCCCCACATAGCAGCTTCCTTCTCATCCACCGCCGAGCCCGTCCAATGCGTACTAGCACCACTCAAACTATTATCCCGCGACTCATGTCTATGCGCACTCGCACTCCCCACCGTAGCCCATAACGCGCCCGCGGATCCAGCACTAGTTAACCCTGCAGTATCAGCCCAACTTACGCCCATGCCGACGCTATGTCTAGGATCTACGTAAGAACCCCATCCCGAGGCGTCGTTTAGGTTTAACCCGCCGGTGACACTTGGTTCTTCGTAAGCGGATGACACGGGCACGCCTAGACCTGTTAAGTACGGGTTTCCGGTTGTGCTGTTGTCGTCGAAACTATGCGGGTATCCGCCTGTGAGTGAGGCAGTGGGGGGTGGTGTGACGAGGCCGTTGTCGAAGGCGTTGAGTAAGTCTAGACCTGGTGGGATATGGGCATGTTGTTGGTGGTGCGAGTGTTGGTGTTGTGAATGTGATGGATGCGGGTGCGATTGATGATGGTGTGGATGGTGTGGGTGTTGACTTGGTAATGTAGGAGGTGCATCGTAAGCTGCGCCCATATTTTCGTGCATCGCGGCACTTAAATGAGCTTGGTACCCGGGGTTCGGCGACATGACTGCATCGCGAGTGACTCCTCCGGATGTTGATGGTGAAACGGTCGAATACGCACGCTGCTGGTGGTACTCAGACGTTGGGTCAACTTTAGTCAAGAATCGCCAATTGGTACCTGCGGCCACGGTAACCGTCTTGTTCTTCTCATCCGTGTGATCGTGCACAGGGATGAACGTCCATAGTACGACAGATCGTCTTGTCCATCCACATTTCCCGGCACGTTCGCCGTTGGCATCGTTGGGCGCCGACCAGATCTCCTGGTACATAGCGACCTGGGACAGGAGCTCTTTGGGCGTTGGCATCTTCGCTGCACCTCCGGCTTTCCCAGAAGTGGAAGAGTCGTCCTTCTTGGTGCGCGCAGTATCGCGGTCAGCTCGCGAAGGTCGGGCACCCTTCTGCGAGCCATTTTCTCGACTCTTTTCTTTGCGTTCCCGTTCAGCTGTGACGTACGGTGCAAGTTTGATGAAGGTATTAGCCCAGCTAGCAGCAGGGAACGGAACACCAATAGTGTCGCGGCTCCCACGGGAGGCGCAGTCGCAGCGGCCGACGCCATTGCATCCAACACGATGCGAGACGATGACTTCGACGGGGTTGGTGCGGTCCCAGAAGTCAGGTTCTGAGCCAGAGATGTGCAGCTCATCTGGTTTCACGACGGAGGTGACTGACCGCCAAGTGTGGTTGTGAAGTTCAGGTCGGTTGATGGAGAGTTCGACCATACCATTAAGTTCCGATCCGTCCGGGAACTTGGATGTGGCATGTAGGTCGAGGGTGACCTCGAAATGGAATGTGTCACAAGGGCCGACTACGCAACGAGATGTTCTCTCGTCCGATGGGTGGGTGTCGTCTAGTGCAGTGAGGAGCTTCTCCTTGAGTTCAGGGAATTGGACATCCCATCGGTTAGAGATATCCTTAATAGAGGAAGATTCCTTCTGCGCGAGCGCCCGAGTGTATTCGTGTAAGAGCACGGTCGGCTGATCGCCATTTCGCGGAAGATCCTTGTAGTCCTTTCCATCATTGAGTTTGAGATGGGGATAATCGGATTCCCCGAGCCAGTGCCCATTGGGTGTGTAGCCGGTAAACTGCTTCTTCGTGTTGCCGTCATCCCCTTTGACATGTTTCTCCTTGAGGCTAACTTGAGATGATGAAACGAAGATCCAACATTGTTTCGGTCGTAGGAAGACATCATTGTCAGCGCTCAAGAGGCGAGCGAAATATTCGTAGTTGGGCCGTTCCTCAGGCAAGCGACTGTCAGCAATAGATATGAGGACTCGGTTATTCTTGAAGGATTCTGTGTCGTCGTCCTCCCTGATCAACTTCCTATCTTCCTCCTTTGCATCTCTCTTGTTTGGGAAGACGAAGTGGACTAAATGTGTATTGTCAGTCAAAATCAAGTCGACAATATGTTTAATGTAAGGCTGAAGATATCACTCACAAGTAACTAGCGTCGCGAAGAAACCCTTCAAAACTTGAATGTGGCTGGACACTTGTTTCCTTCCTCTGTACATGGGATGAGGCTTTCCATCTGGTCCCTTCTCTCTCATCTGTCTGTTTGGGATGACTTCACCATTTGTTGGGGGGTGTAGTAACCAGTGGTAGATCCATAAGTATTCTGTGATAAGCATGTTCCGACCATATAGAATGGTCTTCGAAGAGAACTTCTTCCTGCCCATCTGAGGAATTAAAAGAAGAGCTGCTGATATAGTTAGTATGGGAAGACTCGCACGTATCAGACGAAGCCGGCGCATCTATCTTACCGTCGAGAAAAGCATCCTCTAACCAGAGTGGCCATATTGGTTGTTCCTTCTCGAGCTCCTTTTGCATTACTTTATTACGATAGTCGGCGAAATGCTTGTAAGCATAAATAGGGTTCTTGCTGCCCCTTGGATAACCCATTGGTGAGTCTCGTAATGATACATCGCGGTGTAAAGAACGTCCGCCTCGCAGGCTTGTCCCGTAACTCGAGGTCAATGCCTGCGTAGGGACTATAGGTGGGGTTGGTATTGGATGTAAAGGTGGTGATAAGGAGTGATTACAAAGCGCCAACGTAGCAAGATTGTGTGGTTGAACGTTGCCTGTAGATTCACCGAGAGGTTGTCGTGTCATTGGCATCACTTCATGCTTCGTTTCGTAGGCGTAATCAGATGCTGGGGAGTATCTTTGTGAGGACAAGATGGGCCGTGGGTGCTCCATTGGGTAGGTATGACGAAGAACAAAAAGAATGCTTCATGAAAGAATTGAAAAATTTTAAGAGAATGCCTTGATAGTATCCCAAGAACGCTGGGGAGCAGATTAAGATATGTGTAAAGGAATGGCAGCGGCAAAAAGATACGCCTATTACTATTATGACTAGAGATTGTTATTCCACACTGACTTATTGGCATGGAAGAGCAGATCACCATATCTTATAAAGATCATATCGACTGTGTTCTGTCACTACTTGACTATCTAGGAGGATAGCAATAAAGGTGTCCTGAAGAAACACTTAGGCCCTAGGCACCTCCACTAGGAGGCTACCTAGGTACTAAGGGCGCCTTGAAGAAAATGCTCCGTATAGTACAGACGCCACCATCGAAAAAAGATCGAGATAGGAATAATCATTACGTCTTTTGAGCGGGTTGCGCGTGCAACTGGAACGCAAGGAGACGAGGATCCAGATAGTACTGATAGTACTGAAGAGCAATAATCGACTCACCGCGGGAATGTACCAAATTACCATCATGGTAGTCTTGTTATCTAATCCATCTCGGGCCGTTAAATGTATGAGGTCTCGTGAACTTCGAGGGGGGGAGGGAATGTGACATTTGATTAGCATCCCCGTATTAAATGATCAAGTCTAGGACGTGTGGGTATTCGATCGGGAGGGGTAACAAAAAGCCACTCGAAGGAGGGGATGGGATCAATTCTGCAAGCTATTGCAGTGTCCGACTCCTGGGGTCATAGAGTGGCCCCGGATTCGACAATGGGAGCCTCTCCCTGACAAGGGATAACGCAATGAACCATTGCCCCCCTAGCTCCCAACGTGGCAATGCCTGCACTCCTTCAACGCACGGCAAGGCATGGAACATGAAGTATAGACACATTTTAATTACCTATTAGATCTCCCCTTCGTCTTCTTCACCCCCCAGGGTTACCCTTTTACGGCCTGCCCCTGTGAGTTGTTGCAGGGCTACCTTACTAGCTTGGCCGCCGACTTTCTTCTGCATCTTCGCGATTTCCTCTTCTGGGTCAATCGCTTCGGCTTCTGCGTATTCAAGGACAAGTCTGCGCCCTAGTAAATGAGTATCTTCTAACGCTAACATCGCCGACTCTGCCTCTTTTGATGAGACAAACTCTGCGAAAGCGAAACCTTTGCTTGTCGAATTGAATTTTTTCGGTATGCGAACCGATTTGAGCTGACCATATGTGCTCAATAGCGTACTGATATCCTTCTTATTAGCCTGGAAGGGGAGGTTCTTAATTACGATCTTTGTTCTCTGGTTGGCGGTCTTCTTGGCGTTATCCTCTTTTCTCCGCTCCTCGGCCGCATCGCGCCCGCGGTGAGAAGCTCTAACTTGTAGCTTATGCGCTCTAAGTACATGGCCGTCCATGACCTTTAGTGCAGCTTCGGCGGTTTCTTTGTTCGAAAACGAGACGAATCCGAATCCCATGCTAAGCAATTGGCCAGGTTTCTTAGGATCTTTCTTTGTCTTCACTTGAGCTGCTCTGAATCCCTCGAGGTGTTTAAACTCATTTGCGAGTTCTTCAGTAGTTGTATCCCAGTGGAGGTTCTTGACAAATAATGATGTCGACTCGACTGAATCTTGGCGATCTTGTTCTAGCAATTCCGAAGCAGATAGCTTCTGAACGCCACTAGGCTCTTTACTAGCCTGTTTCGCCTCCTCTTGCTGATCTTTACCTACGAATAAGTTCTTTGGTGCCTTCTCGAGGAATAGTATAGAATCTTTGAAGCGGCGATAAGCTAATTTTGTGAAGGCCAACTTAGCCTGGGGAGCTTGTGCGAATTGAACAATTGCAATGGTCCCCGTGGGCGGCATGAGAACCTTCAGTACCTGACCGTGCTCTTCAAAGAGGGTTCTAATCTCCTCAATCGTGGTACCGTACGAAAAATTCTTGACTAGGATAGCCTGGTCACCTCGTGCTCCTGATTTGAAGGCATCCAGATCAACACCGTTGGCTACCAAGTACGCTTTAGTGTCTTGAATGGTCGATGTCTCAGCGATTGCTTGCTTCACAGCCGCGTCGGCATTGGTCGGGTCAAGCAATTCTGCCTTTGAGATACCCAACCGGTCGGCAACTGAGGAGTTTACCGCATCCTGGCTCATATAGAGTGAATTCCAGTTAAATCTTGACTCTGCCGCCTTAGCTTTTTTCTTGATAAGGTTTTGTTGCTTCAACGGCAGCTTGGACAATGCGAATTCGTCCAAATTGTGATCGCGCTTCGCCGATCCTGGTAGAACGTGCAGTATTCGGCCCTGGAAAGACGAGCGATCTGCTTGGAATGCTTTCACTGCGTCGTTTGGCGTAGTAAATAAAACGAATCCAATTCCACGATTCTCGTTCGAGTTTTGCATTGGAACGTGTACCTATTTTCATTTTAGCAGGAATGAAAGGTAGGAGACTGAGGGAAACTAATAAAGCAGGGATAATTCTCAGACACCAAGTACCTACTAAAATACTGGCCCAGGTTTCTCATCAGATATCGATTGATATCAGCTGTCCCTATCTGGGGTTCATCATAGAAAATGAAGTAATTATAAATGCAGAAAATTCTTACCTCTTCGACATCACCGTAGTTTCCAAAATACGATCTTAGATCATCCTCGGTCGCAGAATACGGCAGATTCCGTATGAATAATCTCTTGGTCTTTTGTACAGTATCAAGGGTCTCGTCTTTTGTCTCTGCCTCGGGCTCATCTTCACCTGGCTGGTGGTCTGCGTCGACCATCTCTTCGTCCCCGTTTTCATCGACAGTTGCATCGACAATTTCGGGTTCTTGGTCCTGAATAGGGGGGATAGATGGGGGGTCTTCAGGCGGGAGCGCGGTGGGTACAACATCATCATCGTCGACAAGGTCAAGTAACCTGTTCGTTCGTGATCGCAGCCAATCATCATCTGTGGCAGCCGTGCGGGGTGCACCTGGGGCCGAACTAGCAGGAACCGTGTCTTCTTGTTCCTTAGGAGGCTCTTCAAAGACCACATTGGGTTCTTCTTGAGGATGCTCGTCTATTTCTTTTGTCAGACTCGGCGTCGACTTTGGATTCCCCACCGGTTGAGTCTTCTTTCGTCGACTCGGTACTACTTCATATTCATCATCGGACTCTCCTTCTGCTGCAGCAAGTGCTGCATACTTTGTTGGTGGCTCATCTATAGGTTCTGTGGCTACACCATGTATCTTGCTTGCTGAGGTCTTCGTAGGTTGCATGACACTTAGGAATTCTTGCAACTTCGGGTCAGACTCATCGAGATCATCTCGTTTCCTCTTCTTCGCATTTTCGAGTGTTGTCTCGGATTGCGATAATTGTTTGGTAGGGACACTGAGAGCTGCCGTAGTGGCTGTTGACTTCTTTCTTCTTTCTTTCGCCTTAATCAAAGAGGGATCTGCTATCTACAAGCGATGTTAGACCAACGCGGGGTGGCTAGAAACTAGATATACTCACGGGCTTTGCTAGCTCAACGGATATCTTTGACATTCGCACGAAAGAGCGATTGAAGTAACCAACTGCATCGGCAGCTTCTTGGGATGTCTTGTAACCGACATATCCAATCCTTCGGTGGGGTATCAGCTTCACGTCTGTGATATGACCTTTGGACGCGAAGTGCTTGCGCAAGTCGGCCTCATTGAGATTTGGTGGCAGACCTTTCACAAAGATTCGAGATGAATCCATGATGATGAGTGGTACGGAGTATACAAATACTCCTGTACTCAAAGACCGATAGGAAGATAACAAGGAATGTATCGGTTGAAAGGCCCGACTCGTGAAAGGCTTGACTGGCACGGCACTTGATGAAGGACTATGAAGATAGATGGATGCGATGGATGCAACAATAAAATGGAAAAGAAAAAAAAAAGTTGGTAGAATTCCATATCGGAGGTGCTAAGCCGTTATCATCACGTGGCAACGGATAATGTCCCGCTTTCGCACTGCGGCTCTTCAGCCCCACGGACCACTTATTGAGTTAAGTAATCTGACTGTTTGGGTCCGTGCATATTGGTCTTGACCAATAGGAGCATAAGGGAAGGAACAATTCAGATTAATTGTCAGGTCCCAGGGACCAATTATGGATGATCACTGTAACTACCCGCATATACGATTTCTTCCCTGTAGTCACTAAAACACGCGACATTTGGGCACTAACAATTCCTCCCTGCAATCGTTCAACAACTTCACCGCTGACTCTAACGAAGTACGGCTCGGGAAAGCTTGGATCGTAGCATCTATCCACCACGACGATAGCCCTAAGAATCGCCCTTATTACCGTTTCGTCATCAAGCTTTCGACTCTTCCATTCCGGTATGTTTACCCTCGTATTACCTAGGTAGCCTTGCCTTGGCTAGCTCAAAAGTTCAACTGGAAATGAAGCCATGTTAGCTAACTGTTTGTCCGTGAAAGAATCCTAAAATTATCGTATCATCACTGTTGTAATGGGAAACATGGCCGAACAACAATCCCCTCCTCCTGCCGGCAACCGCGACAAGCTTGAAGGTCCGTCCTAGCAAACACCCCTCGCCTACGAATATACCGATTATGGATAACTAACTATTATCCCCGTTTTACAGCCCAGATCAAGTCAGCGGACATGGTTAGAATTATTCCGAACCCGAATCGGCCCCGATAACATACGCTAACATGTAGAATAACAGACGGAAGACATGCAGCAAGAGGCGATTGATGTTGGTACGTTAGGCGATAGCGCTCAGGGTTTGAGGAAATACATTCTAACATCGATTAAATAGCCCAGGAAGCTATGGGTAAATACACCATCGAGAAGGACATTGCGCAGCACATCAAGCGTACGGTAGGTTCATCCGACATATGGTTGTCATCAGTGTTGCAATGCCAAGAAGAATACTAAATGTGGTTTGATAGTTCGACGAGCGTAAGGGCCCAACCTGGCACTGCATCGTGGGAAGGAATTTCGGAAGCTTCGTTACTCACGGTATGTCATCTTCATTCGGCATGATTACCAAATCGCCGGCCAAGGTTCGTGTTTGAGCTGACGTCTGACATGGTTGCAGAAACGAAGCACTTCATCTATTTCTACCTCGGACACTGTGCTATTCTGCTATTCAAGACACAGTAGAGTGATGGTAGCTTAATACCTTCAACGTTGATGTAGGTATGTTAAAGTACCTAGGTAGCTACCTACCTTTTTCAGCTATTCTCGCAGTATTGGTTTGGTCGGCATTGGCGTTTGTGGTCACCATATTGCAAGGGCAAGTCATTTAGGGGTCCGAATCGAGATAGTAATGCAAACCTCATGCTTGCTAGTGTTTGATCATAAGTATCAACCTCGGCATATTGGGTCACTGTACATTTTTGTCTCCGTAAGCCACCATCCATAGAGAAAATAATCCGAACACGCAAAGTAGGAAATATCTAGGAATATTGCAAAGTGAGGCGTACAAGAACCAATGAGAGTTAATTAAACCCACCTCAGTTATGAGTAAGGAGAGGGACCTTTTAAGATTTACTATTAGTCGTAATCATTTGAAAGACGTGCGTGTTGATTCGTTCTTTTGGTGACGTAAACACATGACGAGGTGACAAATCCGGCTTCGCAATCTAGCTCCGCGAGATCCCTTTCCGGGAAGCAGCAGCAACTAGAATTTAGATTATGCTACCGAATTAACCAAGAAGAGTTAGTCTCAAGCATGTTAAGAAGAAAAGAAACGTTGAAATACATGGTCAACCTTTAGCGAATTCTATTCAGCCATTTTTCGAAATTGAGGCCAGTTAAATCGGCCTCTTTTGTGCTATGATGATCAGGAACATAGCATGATTGACATATACCGACCCACCCATAAACCAATTTTCCCTTCTAACTTGAGCTGAAGACGAATCTGCGTAGAGAATTCTTTACCGAAAGCTCACCAAATACAACATAAGCAATTCCTCATTCGGTAGGTAATGATTGACTTATATACCAATACTCCTCCATATCTACATTGGTAAGGAAATAGAAAGGTCACATGGACGAAAGAAGCTATTTCTCTTCAGCCAAGACCGTTGAGCCTAGGGACTACGTAAGCAATATATTATTTGTTACCTTATAATTTAGGTATGTAGTTTGGTTCAGCGAAAAGATGACCGCTTATATTCCGTCGTTCCGTGTAACTGTAAGTTCGAATGATGTTGCGTGATGACCAAGAGTGGTTTAGTTTAGAGTCAAGATGTAGGATTTGAACATTTGAAGATACGAATAAGGTACAAGAGAATGAAATAAATACAAAGTACATGATGATAATACCATGGAACAGGAACCACCATCTTCCCCGGTGTCGCACTATCGAACTTTATTCATCACATCCTCCAGCTTCGAGTCCTGTATAATTTTATGTACATCTCTATTCAGATATGCATACATATATATGTACCTCTCACCTTATACCTCATCGTAAAAGGCAGCCCAAAGAATTACACAGATTACATACAACATTCATTGATTATTATTGGTACAAGTACCATATGTAGTAGGATGTAACAGGTCACTTACCAACCAACCTCTTTCTTCCCGAGTTCCGTCCGTCCGTCCGTCTGCGCCCATCCTCCCACCGGTCTAGAATGTATCAAATGTAATGTGACAAAAGAACGCATTTGATGGGATGAGGTGGGCGATTCGAAACAAATGTGTACACCACTTCGAAAGGATCTGACCGATTTCAATCATATACGCATCATGAGAATATTAATTGTTTTACATACTAAAACTAACTTATAGTATGAGCTCGTGCTCTGGTTCAATTGTACCGTTCGGGACTTGTTGGGTTTAGAAACGAAACCAAATCCCACCAACCCAAGCCAAAAGACCAACCGTCCATAGCGGACTCACCAGTTTAACAAAGGGGACGATCACTAGATCATACTGATTAAAAATAAAATAGAAAAAGAGAGCTTGAGAGAGAGCAAACCCGGTCTATCGAATTCAAAGTCCACAGTTCTTCATGCAAGCTACGAAATACTAAAGCTACTGTTACCCATCCGTGGACACCCACCCCCGTTCCTAAGCGTTCATACCAGTGGCCGGAGAATCCCATGGCTGCCATCTGGAGTTATCGGGGTCTAGTTTGGACATGGATCGTGGATGTGACGGCGGGGCTCTCGGGCAATCTTCGACAAGTGCTTGCATTCCCGCAACCCGCTTCCCTCCATGTCTCAACGTACATGCACCCAATAATAACTTTCTAAATCTGCCCACCTACGTACCTATCTACTGTGGGTATCCATCTCTTCCGCATGATCGAATAGGGTAGGAGGGTTTTTATTTCCTGCTGGTTCCGCCACGAGCAACAAACTCTCTGGTAGTGTCATGTCGATTCGTTCATTCACTCATACACTTTCAAAGAGTATAAAACTATCAAGAGTAAGGAATCTACTTCTAGACCCTGCGCAATGACTCGAAAAGGGACAATTAGGTTGCCCTGGAGGAAGTAGTGCGAAAGTCCAGAACTACCCCCAAAGCTCTAGTGCTACGGTGGACTTTCGATAGATGGGAGTTAACCGTATATGTAATAGCCTATACTCGGGCCCGCCTCCTATTCCCGACTAAAGAGAACAAGCGTTGGCCGTAAGAGAGATGGCTTCCGTCTTAAGTTTACCGAACTGTTGGAAGGGCAACATACAGTATAACTTTTTTGAGGCATTTGGGAATTGCACGGAATATATCAATTGAAAGCTGACCAAGACTGATTAACAATACCAAACTAACCTCTATTCCTAAAATGACTGACCGATATACCCTTGGCGTAGTAGATGGGTTGTGCATAGATCTCGGGGTTCGGACCTTATTGCTTATGACGAAGACACTGAGCACACACACTCATACACACAAGTGTACACACAGATGTACACATATGTTTAGCTAATGAACCTCTTCTGTCCGTGCGAAGCTCTACAAGATTCCCATCTAGGACTCATGGATGAAACGTAGATGGGAAAAGGTGGGTGTGTTGTACGTGGATAGGTCGGTCGACTTCCAAGTTAGCACGAACTGGCAGTCAAGTCAGATTTTTTTGATCCTCCCGCATACCGGCCCTAGACAATTTGAACCAACACAAATGTGTATTATTACCACGCAACACATCACATCAACTTGCCATTCTCGGATGGGTGCTTGCTACTACTGCTGTTTCTTCTGCTTCTGATGGCTGCTGTCGGTCCCGTACCTACCTAATGTAATGTAGTGTCTATAGATATATATGGATACTGTACGACAGGGGTTTGACGTGCAATTTGGATTGATGGAGAGTGACGACATACCTCCTATATTTCCCCGGCGAAATATATATTAAGAACAATGACTTTCCCGATAACGTGGAAAGCCATGATTGAATATATATGTATACGTCCTACCATAATTTGTCACCCGCGGGGACCGCAATATGGACGAAGAAAGGAAAATTAGAATAGAATAAAAAAATAATAGAAAAAATCGCTAAAATGGCAGTCCTGTAGGAACGAATGTACTGTACCATCCGAGGATAGTATTGTAAATAGGTCGTGTGGGGCAGAAACGCCACGTCCATGTTCCCTATCTACAGGTACCGAGACGGGATTTTCCAATTCCTCTTGGTCGTCGGCCCTCCCCCCTCGTGGCGTATCCAGCCCGTGCAGATTCTCGCGTGGATGACCTGCAGCTCTTTCTTGGTTAGGGGAGCGAGTAAGTGTTTTTGAAGGGAAAAAGAGAAGAGCCGTAGGCACGTCGCAGAAATCGCACCGTGCCCCATACACCACAACATGTAACGTCGACGCTGCAAGGAGAAAGAGAGTGAGATGCTGAAGGCAATCAACTAGGTAGGAATCGGCGATTTTTTAAGCTCGATAAAAATGATGACAATAATACTTATAGCTATATAAACAGTTAGAACCGTTGTGTCTTGTGCAAGCTGAAGTAATGCCAGGGCGTAGATATCCTAACAGCTTTCAGCTAGCCTCTAAATAAGCTGGGATTTATTTCATGGGATTTCGATATGAGACAGGGAAAAAAGCAGACAAGCAGCAAGGGCAAAAAGATTGCTTACTCACCCCGACCACCACCGAGATGTGGCGACCCTTTCGTCGCTAGAAGCGGTGGTCGCCAATATTATGGCCCAACACTGGCAGCCAATTGCCTACTTCCATAGACATACTATGGACATACTATGTACATAGCAGCATAGTTGGACCTCTCGCTTCAATAATCCTATTCTGGTCTGGCACGATTAAAGGTCTACTATTTTCCCAGATTGAATAAAACCGGATCATTTAATCAGTACTCACTAGCTGAGACCATTTCCTCATCGAATATAACGTCTTAGATCTGGGTGCGGCATTCCACTTATCCAGATACTCCTTAGTTTCAATTATGTTCCCATGTATACTATATGTACCTAGGTATCTTGGCGTCTAAATAGTATCGGTTGAAGAATTTCCTATTGAAGATAATTAATTGTCGGATTAGGTTATGTAATTTGTAAATAACTGTTATGTCTGTTGGCAAAGAAGCTCATAACATACTATCGCATAACAGACCCAGGTAGATAACTTACAGTCATACGGCGTCCTAATAAAATAAGATAACAAAAAATCAGACGGGATTGTCAGGAACGCCGGGAATCCCTCAGACAGGGCGGGATGTCATCGCGTGCTTGAAATATTTCGGGTAGGCTATGCGTTATGCTATCCAAGCTTGCCTAGGTGCCAAGTTCCACCAGCGGAGAGGAATCCATTGGTGGACAATGGTGGAGAGCTTTGCTCAGCTACAGGCCTACTACAGGCTACGCGCAGCGGGTTAACAGTACATAGAGGATACTTACCACAGCTACCTCTTACGGGCCATCCCCCGACGTACCTAAAATGTTTCGCTGAACCTTCTGTAATTGGATTCCATCGCCGCCTCTTCTTCTTCTTCTACATACATAAATACTTATTGGTCTCCTTACTTTGTCCACGGCGGTGTGAACATGCGGATATGATACAAAAAGGACAATATCTGATACCCAAGTAATAATAAGTAAATGTCCTAATATAAATATCATACGTACATATTTTCAAGGCAGATTTCCATTTGAAACATTTTTATGCTATTTAGGATTTCTCGGTTCATGGGACGTCGATAATCCTAAAGGGGGCCGAAACCTGGAGGGATCCCTTAGGTCCTTAGGTTTGGTGGAATGATCCGAAGTTGCGGCGTGCCCGTCTGCTCGGTTCCAGTTGGTGACAGCAAGCGGTACAGTCTTAAGACTGGGTAATACGCACAGTCGCCGCCACCATGGAGACGAACAAGAAATAACAAGAGTCTAAGTGCTGCAGAGCATAAGCTCTTATGTATTGTTTCAGTCAGATCTGGGACATACAGTAGGTGCAGTAGGTAGGTGGTAAATTTTTATGTTTCTCTCCATGCCGCTTGTTGGACTTTGTCTCGATCGCCCGTCATGACATGACATATCATACCCAATCGGGATTCGAATGCCCTGCATGTCAGCGCGGTTGGCGAACCATTTTTGGGGGGTCCATGACCCATCTCCCAGGGATAATTCACCTCTGCCAACGCTCATTCGCACAGAAGCCCAGCCATTAGAAAATTATCAGCCTGGTTAGCCAAGGACACCAAGGAGTCGTCAGGCGCGCAGAAGAATACTCTTGTATGTAACTTGCATTTATAATCTGCTGACCACCGCATTGCCCGGCGATGAGTTAGTTTTTATGAGTTATCGCAAGCAATGGTTACCCGGGGAAAAGTTACGTTTGGATCCCGTTAGGACATTTCAAGTAATTGCTGAAAAATTTGGTACATATCGAGTAATCATGCTGCAATATGAGGCACCCTACCGACCCTACAAACATATCATCCACACATACACAGCCTGTCTATGTAAGAAGTAAGGTACCTAACCACACCATAGTCCCCTACTCCCTATATGTCGACATGGCAAAAAAAGAACGTAGCATTGAGGAGTCTATACACACACACGCACATACACGCAACACATCTGACGACAAAAAAACTATTTCATCTACTTTACGTCCGTAGGTATAAGGCACAATTCCAACACAGGAAAAGATCGAGTGCAACAACACAACAACACAACGAATATCCTATTTCGCCTCGTATTTGGGCCTGACAACGAAGCAAAGATGCATAGTTTGCCCATTGATACCATCCTGCCATGCCTTACCTACATATGTAAGTACGTACGCACGTATGTGTATCGACCCAAGTCAACAGGTCCTCGACAACGGCGTCATTCACCGAGCACATGTGTAGGCTGTCACTTATCACTTGAGATGAAATGGAGACTAGTGATGAGTTGGCCCTCCTTCCTACCATAGCATTGCCATGTTATTCAGAGGCAACATACATGATAGACATGTGTGTAGGTATTTGTCTTGTAACGAGCCGCAATTGCGATACAATTAATGCTAAAGGAGGTCCTGGCGCCCAAGTTGGGAAAATGATGTAATTTAGGCCTCGGGGGGTTGTTCAATGTTGCCCCCAGCATTTTTATTTAATTTTTTTATTTTATTTTATTATATTCTATTTTATCTCCTTTTGCACACAGACATAGACATGGTAGATAGACATGGATACAGACACACATAATAGAATAGAATAGGATAGCATAGACAAATAGACAAATAGACAAACAGAAAAGGTACCGCCACCCAAAAAAGACCGTATTTATTCAGACCAGGGTTGTTCCCTTGAATTCCCCATGATACTTTCTCGTCATCAAATAGGTCCGGCCAATGATTCATACTAGTTTGTTTTTGTATGTATTTGTCTATTCTTACAGGACCTACTAGACTAATTCCCATACTACTACATACTACCGGTAGTACTGACTGTATTTTATTTTATTATATTATATTGCATGTATGTGAAGACGTAGTCGACCCGGGAAAGTTTGCTCCTTGTATCAGAAATAGAAATGGGAAAAAACGGACGGACAATTTACAAGTAACAATAGAGATCGTATCCAAGAGAGTACCCATGTTCGGTTAGTAGATCCGCTTCGCAAGCGTTCTATGTTGATGTACCGTAGCATGTACTTATTTCGTGTATTTTGCTACGTAAGTAAGGTAAAAACAGAAAATAACAGTCAGGTATTACAGGTATTATCATAATAAAACAACACAGCAAGACAAATTGATTTACTTTACAACATAACATATTGATTATCGAACAACAGCAAAGAGAGAAAAAAAATATCTCTGTGCTGCCCAATGCCATGTAAGCCTTCAATGGCCTCGATGATGCGCGGTTGAACAACTGACTGGATGCTTCGTCCGAGGGAAAAATGTACGGTACATTATGTAGCGTGTATGTACCTATTTACGCATCTGCGCATCCGCAAATCCATGACCCCTGTCTCACACAGCCCAAGTTACGAAAGTACCTATCATGTACCTATGGTACCTGTTTTCCTGTAGGCGAATATGAATGTACCTGCTATGATAGGTGGTAGAACAAGCGTGCTTGGACCCTGTAGCAACATTGAAGTAGCAAGTTTGCCCTACTGTGCCATAGAAAGTGTATTACCAGACTACCTGACCAATGTACTTTCGTACCTTTTTATCCACTCAGGAACATCTAACAACCACCCATCAATTACACTCATCTATGTACTCATCAAGGTACCTACACATAACGCCTACATCGCCTACATACAGTCAGTCAGTCATAACAACAACAATGGCACTGACTAACAGTGTAATATCTCTCGGCTGTGTCGACAATGACATTTTTCTATTCTCTTCCATAGGTGTATTTCTAACCATAATAAAAAAGTTTTAATAGAAATAAAAGAAAAGGTTAATTCTAACAATAATATAATAAAACTTTTTTATCCACTCAAAGTAATTGAAAGTATGTTCACAATGTATTTATCTCCCTAGATCCTAGCGCATTGGAAATTGGCCATTCTTTCTGCAAAAGCCCAAAGCCCAGTGAACTCTTTCCCCTATTGCCTGGTTAGCCTAGTAAGAAGGTTTTCCCTTTCACAGTGCAAATTTAGAACATTAACCCTTTGAGTTAGCCTAGTTTAGCTTTGAGTTAGCGACACAAAGTGACTCTTACCAATAAGGTTTAGCCCCTAGGCTGAGGGGGGACGGGATGAACTAAGCAGCTAAGCAAGCGTAGGTAGTCAAGCGTGGTACTTGACTTATACTTTCAATACTTCCTGTGCTTCCTGGGACCACCCCCGTCATGCTCCACCTCTAGGTACCATCCCACCCCATCCATCCATCCATCCATCTGTGCCTTCATTTTCCCTTCTTTCTCCTCTTGACCAAGATTCAACGAGAACCATTCCGTACAACCTCGTACTTCCCATACAATTCTTCTCTTACGACACTCTTCTCTCGACCTCTTCCTCTACTCTACATACCATAATCCTCCTCCTCAATCTCTAGTTCACTCACACTATTCACCTCTACAATACCTGCATATCCCGGGGCTATTTTCTTGAGAGATCTACCTTAGCATAGCCATGTGACGGAGCTGCATGAATAGTCGGGTCATTGTTAAGTTGGACTCTTCGATAGTCTAGCTGGGTGCGGTTGTCTCGCCTCGACGAACTAGAACTATCTACCATACGAAATACCATTGTCACAACAAACCTCACGATATCGACGTACCGACGTCGTATATTATTAATCCCTGTTACCTATTCCTATTCACATAGTTGACATCCGAACCATCCTCCGGTATGTCGGCTCTAACGATTCCTGACGCCGGCCTCCTCTTGGAGAGCTCGCCTCACGCGAACGAGTCCCTGCCATTACAGGCATTCGGCCTCACGCTGAATAATAGCACGATTGAAGACATGATAAAATGTGTTCAAGGGGGCCAAGAGATCGAATTGATGCTAGGAAGCAATCCTGTAAGTTTGACTTCCTGTTTTCCTTGTTAGTCAACATCATTGCTTTTCCTGATTGTCAATAATCGACAACATTTACTACCTACATAAGGTGCTGTATACCTTGAGGGTTGGCCGAAACAGCACCTCGGTGGTTAATACGGCCGCAAGAAGGAACAACAAGAAGAAAAAAAAAATAGAATTACGTACATAGACATGCTTGAATAACCACTCAATTGAATGATCAACTGGTCTAACACGAATTTCCTCACCTACAGAGCCTTCACTTCGGGTCGAGAGAACAAAAAGTCAAACCAACTCCTGATTCATTTAATTTCGACTTATTTCTCACCAAACCCGAAGAGTCGCCAAATAAGGCACAACGACTCCCAAATCCCACCATGTCTATCCTAAAGAAACCCCCTACCAACCTCCAGACGAGCAAATCTACCACTACCGCGTCTAAACGAGGGACTAAGACGAAACCCTTACCTGCGGGAAAGTCCGCTATGGCCAGTGTACTATCGAACTCCACTACGAGGTCACTACCTACGAGTCCCGCGCTTAATGGAGTCGCCTCACCGAACCCGGCCTTTTCCGCCTCGCAACAGTTATTAGAAAAGAACAAGAACCAAAGAACCATTCTTGTTCATGAACTGGCATCGAGGGACCAAACCTACGAGTACCTTGCAGATGTATGGAAGGGTGCTGAAGGGGACCTAAAGCCTACCGTAGAGAAGGTCGCAAACTTCGACGCGACGTCCAAGAAATGGTGCCTAAAGAAGATGTACTGGAAAGAGCTCGACGTATGGAACTACAGTTACCGCAACAACGAGGACCGAACGGCCGCCATCGACAATGCGGTTAAGCAGTACGACAAGCAACGCATTCCGACATCGGCACCCGAATGGGAGAGGTTGCTTGCTCCTTCCGAGCGAGGCAAGGGCATCGTCCTAAGCAAACTGCAAGCGACTCTTGCAAAGGGGAACATCACACCAGTCTCCAGAGTTGCCAGCCAGAAGACCGACGATAGCGGAAACAAGAGCGACGCCGACTCTGCAAAGGCGAAGGGTGAGGCCATGTCCCGATCCAATTCGCAGCCGGTAGGGGCCAAGACGAAGAAGGTCAGCGAGCGGGAGGCGCAGACAAAGCGCCTCTTCTCAAGCAACCCTAAGAAGCCCGCACCGAAAAAGCCAGTCGCTAAGGTTAAGGCTACGGAAGAGAAGGGCAGGAAGTACCTTTCCGAAGAGAAAGTTATTGATTCGGAGAGCAGCGGGGACGAGAGGCCTTTGTCAAGCGCCAATTCTAGCGTGGTGAAGTCCAAGCCCGTTGAGAAACCTGTGGAGAGGCGAATCGAAAAGCCGGTTGAAAGGGTGGTTGAAAAGCCCAAGGAGAAGCCAGCTCCAGCACCGAAACCGAAGCCAGTGGTTCGAGCACCGCGCCCTCCGGTCAGACCCCCTCCTCCAACCGCCCAGAAGCGAAGCCGAGAAGACGATGACAGTAGTTCGAGCTCCGGGGCACCGCTGAGCAAGCGAATTAAGCCGAAGGAGCCCCCGAAGCCATTGCCGAGTACCACGGCTTTGAAGCATCGTCCATCGGATGCCAGCCAAAGCTCGAGGAACACTGGCCTAGGGGCGACCTCCTCGAATTTCTCCAAGAGCAAGAACACCTCACCGGCCAAATCTTCACCCCTCGCATCTTCGCCGCCAACGAATGCCTCCGATTTCGAGGACCAACAGCCTGTCCAACGGCCATCGAAACCCCAGGTTCGCAACGGAGAGCGCAACACCAATGGCGTGACAAACGGAGTCTCATCGAATGCAAACCCGGTCAAGAAGCGAAAGGAGCGGGATGTCGACCAGTTTTCCTCGCAGCAGTCTACGCCGAATAAGAAGCAACGCGTATCTAAGGACGTACTCATGAAAGCTAGACTGTTCACAAAGTTCTACGAGCGATACGAGGCGTTGCACTGGGAAATTTCGGGGTTGAAGGAGCCTCCTGAGGATAAGCTGGCCGATCTGCTAGAAATGCGGGAACGATTGGCCAATATGAAGGTTGAGATTTCCCAGGCTGTGACGGCGAATTAGGAAGCTTGGGTGACGGGCGCTTGCGAAACGACTGGAACGACAATTTGCATTAAATTGGAGCATGGAGCGAACGGGAGTTTTACGAAGCGCGACGAATGAGTAGCCGGCGAACAAATGGATGGGCGGAGATTAGCGATACCGCTATATATTTATTACGACGAACGAATGTTCTTGAACAGCGGCCGGCGGTATTCTGCATTTTTACTATCAGCGAATGGTGGACATCCCACTATCTAAGGGGAATTTGGCGATTGCATATTATTTTACGATTTTATTATTTTTTATTGTCTATTACTGGATACCGGAACCGAGGCATTTTGATTGGGATCAGGGATAACAGCAACACAGCATGGCTATTTGAAATTTGTGGTTTTGATTTATCTACCTTTTTTTTTTCCATATTTGATTTTTTTATTCGGTACGGGCATTTCGGATACCAGCATAGGTTCACCAAAAAAGGGCATTGATTATTTTTTTGACGGCACATGGTAACTAAAGCACCTAACGCATACTTGGATATGGGTATGGTTAAGATGCTAGCTTACGCACGGAGTTTGATGTGGTTGCTTTGATATGATACCTATTAGTACAGTACTAAGTACCTAGTTATACCATTACCCGATATGGGTGGATTGTTTTAATGATTGGAGTTGTGTTATGTGATTTGATTTGGTGATTTTGTGTAGATTGTGTGGTGTATACGTACTTGAATGTGTTTGGTGCGTTTTGTGATTATGATCGATATGTGGTGATGTTGTGGACTGGGGAATAGAATAGGTATAACGTAAGGAATTACTCGCATAGATAATGATGGGAAACGGGAAATGAGGGGTTGGGGATATGAGGATTGTTTGGATGGACAAAGAGCAAATACTGCTGGAGAATAGAGATACGTACTCGGGTAGGTGGTAAGTGGTGATGGAACACGTGGTTAGGAGATACTGGTTGTGTGTATAACTCGCTCTTTGGAGTAAGTAGATAGGCATCTGGGGATCTAGAATCAGTAGGAGGATAGGGGAATAGGGGAATTGCGGCTCTTTGTGCAACTGGAGATGTAATGAAGCAATCGCGTAGAGGTGGTGGGTGGGTATATCTCGTATACGTGGTAGATAGATAGGAAAGTTGGTGTAGATTGCGTCTGTGTGGTTGACCCGAGGGAGTGGATATGGAGAGGATGTGTATGGGATGGAGGGTATTAGGATTGGATGCTTTGGACTTGGGTGTATGCTGTTATAGGTTCGAAATGATGGAATATTACACGTAATATGTTTACCTAGGTTCTCGTACGATTATATAGGGGGCCTAGTCGTGGTGCGCTGATTATGTGTGTATGTGGTTGATTGATTGATATCCCCGTAGATTACAGTACTTGTGAGATATCTTGTGCGACTACCTTCGGGAGATAGGACCCAGAGAGTCGGGTCTTAGGTAAAGTGTGGTTTCATGTAGGGCATTTTGTGTGTATGTATGCAAGTATGTTGCTTGTCTCTCCCTATATTGCTGTGTAATTTCTGCATGTGTGTATGTTGTATGTGCGCTTGGGTGTGTATAGACACATGTGCATATGTATAAGGCTGTTTTCTACAGATATTTGCCACCAACATAACGAATAGCAAGCTTGTGCCCTACAACCACCAGCGACTTATCTACATATATTTGTTCGGGAACAAACTGCAGGAACGGTCACAAGAGCCTCATAATGCATGTAGTTCTCATCTCATCACCTAACAGTTACCTGATCTCAGTAACGTAACACAAAGTAACGCCTCATTTTCGGTGAGTCCGTTGGGCGAATATGAAGAGCCCAGACTTGGCCAAATGCGCCTCATTCCGCGCGAGGCGTTCGGGCTTCTCGTATAGACGCTATCTACCTACCTACCTAAGTAGTCATGCTGTCTGTCTATCACATCGAGGCGTCAAAGCTTTCGTCCAGTGAAAGAATCCAGTGACCGGTCCTATAGCGTAGCATTGTTTAGTCACATTTCTCGCGTTTGCGTCTAACTTCCTGACGCCCTAACAGGCGCCTCTAGGATGGGTGTCACAACAGTAGATCACTAACGATAACGGGAGTTGAGTCCCAGGGCGATCGAATAGTTGGTTGTATGCACATATTCTATTCCACCCGTCGGCAAGCGGAATGGATAGAGGATAGGTCGCTTTCAACCAATATTATCGCTCAACGTATTCGTCGTGGGTTGCGCCTTGACCTTACGTATCTTCCCTTGCATACCGAATACCATGGTTGCAATGGAGGCTCTTCAGGGGTCTGAGTCTTCTGCTATTGTTTAGTTTCGGTAAACTTCGATGGTATTATTTGTACTTACAAGTTACAAAGATGTATCTGCGAAATGCGACAACAAAATACAAAAAATCTGCGCCTCAGCCTTGGGATCAATGATACCCATAGACTACCATTTTACATTTTTAAACCCCTCCAAAAAAAGGAAGAAACGAAACTCCAACCTTACCCATATTAATTCCCAAAAAGAAAACTTTCAACTTACAGAGCCTTATCTCAACCCCTATGTTTCGAGTTTACAGTACAGTAGCTGTCAAAGTTTACATGGGATGTACATAAACAAGGATAACTTGCGCCCCAAACCCAACCTAACCTAACTAACCCCCCAAGCCCCAGGCGCCAAGCGCGGCTAACCTGGGTACCTTACCTAACATCCCCTAGCTCCGCTGACAAATTTGGCAGTGTGACGGACCGCGGAACCAAAGCGTCGGGTTTTCCTTTAGCGCACGGTCCTTACATATTTCATTCATTCCGGGCAAAATACCCACAGACAAGTACCTGCGGTGTAAGCAATATTTCTACGTAGCTGCGGAATACTAAATCCGGTATACCTACTACCTTCAACAAGACATACCGTAACACAAACGCACAAATCCTATGAGTAAGAAAAGTCTCAGCTGAGATGTTGTGTAAACCACCTATCTCGCATTTACTTGCCTGATGAAGTAATTAAGTAGAAGAGAAAAAAAAGAAAGAAGAAAAATTGGATGGTTCTTCGGTGTCGGTGTAGGAGCGAGCCTCATGCGCTACCTCATAATCGGGCGCTGATCGAAGTACATGTATCTCTAAGTACCTTCCAACTGTATCGATTCAAACTCCCTTTTGAATGATGATTGCATCAATCATGATAATAGAGTTAAGTACGACGAATACGGTATGTCCTATTGTTTCAATATAGTAACATCCCCGACTTCAGTTTGGCTCAGACAGCAGTTCAGCGACTAGCGAAACAGGGGTGACAATCCCGTGTCAAAGCATCCCTATAGAAGTAGCAATATTGATTGAAATACAATACAACACAATAGTTTGTATTGATTCCATTAACCTAGGGCTTAAGTGTATGATGTCAGGATCAATTCTGCTATGGATTGTGAAATCGCATCCTCATGCGACGTAGAGAAAAGTAATAGTACGGTAATTAATCTCACTACCGACTGGTTGAAATTGAGATAAATGAATTGCCCAGCGATTCAACAAAGTGAGAACACCAAACCACGAAAAAACGGCGATTGTGTAAGACATCCAACCTCGTAGATGTTGCTAATGCTGATTGATGCCAAACCGCTTCAATGCTGTTTTGCTTTGATATTTGGATACCTGAGGCATGCAATGAACGCAGAAATCACAACCATGGGCAAACAACATGATTACAAAAAGCCCAGCATTGCTTCCAGTATCACCAGCTGAAAGTGATCTGCGACGGTAATGATATTGTACATTTGGTACATGATGGCCAAATCTTACAAAAATGGTAATGCCGGAAACCACGGGGCGCTCCGTCAACAAAAAACTAGACGGAATGTAAGCGGGGCATCCGAAAAATCCCATCCGGATTCCCCTGATGCACCCTCTTACAGAATCAATGATGGCCCGTTTTACAGACACCCTGCTGCAAATAATGGTCGTGATGACGATATCAGTGTTGGCCGTCGAAGCACACAATCAAAGCATTCCTCGGAAGACGGTACAAGAGAGGGTACTCCGACCCCTGCAGTTCCTCACGTCGAAACTAGTGCCGGTGTCAGAATGGAATTGAAATTATCACTCTCAGCCAAACTCCTCGCGAGTCAAATCAGCGAAAGCAAGAAGTTCTGGGTTGCGTTCCAACAAAAATTCGAGGACGAGGTGACAGGGATTAAATACTATGCCAGCGGTCATACACTGCGGCAGACGTGGCGGGAGAGAATAGAGCACTACAGGCAACACAGAGCGGGCGAGGACGAAGATGACGAGGAGGAGCTCAGTATCCAGCAAATGAAGCTAGAAGCATGCTTGGACCATATTAATAACGCTGCAGAAGTGTATGCTCGATCACAGCCCCCGCACAGTCACGCCAGCCATAACCCTCGATATACCGCTCTGAAGAAGATTCGTATAATTGGAGATGTCGTTCGCGGTCTAGTTGCGCAATCTTCGTTGGATAGTGCGGCGTGTGCGGACTTGGTAAAGGAAATATCCAATCTCGAAAAGCTCGTAGATCCGAAAAGTTCAGAGGCTAAAGTCATACACCGGGTTGGAAGGCAAAACGCCAAGAAAATCATCCATCCGGACGAGGGCGAAGACCAGATTCTGGTTGAACCGGCGGTTCTGGAGGCAGGCATCCAAGTTGATAACGATGATTTAGAGGTGGCGGAGGATGGCGACGATAATTGGAATAATCACGATAGGGGAACACCCTGAATCGGAGTGGGGTATTGGCGATCGAGTTGACGGGTCCGTAGTTTGCGATAATTTTATGTCGATGAATTTTTAACCAGATTGTTAGCAGTATCCTCAACTTAAGTGATGTTGAATTTGGATAGGATTAGTACAAGACTTACAGTGTGGGTGTGGGTTGAGCATCGTCCCCACCAGAGTAATCGGAATCGAATCATAGACGCCCATTCCCCCCGCGAAGGAGAAATGAAGCATCCACGCTGCGTATCGCACTCAAGTGTTCTCACACACAATCTTCGCAATGACTCTCCCATAGGAACCCAGCTCCCTCGTCTTCTCCTTGCGGATATACACGAAGTGAAGGGCCCTGCGTCTCTGATGCCAATTTGCAAACGTGTGAAACCATCACGCCAGACCCTCGCGGGCAGACCTGTCAATCCCACGCTGGGCAGGCGACAAGGTAGTGATGAAGATTACTCCGAATTTCTCATGAGCGAATAAAATAGATATAAACTCTAAGAAGAATAGATCTGACGAGAAGCTGCTTGCGCAGCTTCTCCGTATGTAGCTCAGAAACGCAGCGTTGGTGAGGACGATGCTGAAGAAAAAAGGAAGAAGAAAAGAGAAGAGCTAAGCTTTGGGATTTTTCGAGTCATGGTAAAAATTGTGAGTGGGGCAATTGAGAGCTCTGCTTTATCGATAAGAGTGACCAATCAAATCCACTTGATCTTACCACCCCAGTATCCAGGCATATGACCAATCAAAAAGGCTTTTACAGCTGAGTCAAGGGGCCATAATTGGGGGGTAGGTACCTAGGTACACAAAAACACCATCAATTTCGTGATCCTCTTTTTTTTTTCCCCTTCCTTTTTTATCTCCGCCGCAGTTTCCTTGAATCGGCAGCTACCCAGGTATAGTATCATGGTCAGTCGGTGCATTGGGCTAGACTCATCCATAAGATTTAAAACGACTTAAAATGTCAACCATCAATTCCAAGTGGATGTTTTACTCATCTTCTCATTTCTTTCTACTCTTAACGTGAGTACTCGACTTGAGTACGTGATGCAAATTAACGACGCTCATACTATCGCCACAATGTCTTCCTTCCGGTGACAAGTTTCAAATACTTTTCTTTCTGTTAACTATAGATCTTTCATTGCGTTGCCCTTTTTAGACAATAATAGACGATAGACGTTAGACGATATTGTTCGCTGTTAATACAATGTCTATTTCCATTGCAGACTTCCCCCAGGTTTGGCAGAAGCCCTCGTCTGCAGAGCTTCTTGCATCCCTCAAACGTCTTCAGGTAAGCTCGCTTAGAGCACCCGTTTCGACAAGACTGTTGAGATCTCACCTCAAGACCTAGGTCGACCCTCCAATATGGAGTCCTAGAACGTCGCGGAAAATCATTCTAGAGACCTACCAAAATGCTGCTCAGTTTCGCCGAGAGGTTGCTGCCTATTTGTCCAGCATAATCAAGAGTAATCTCGGATGGATTCAAGATGAGGATGAGAAGGAGGCGCTCTGGGATGAAGCAAGTCGTCGTCTCTCGGAGCGTTGTGGTAGAGCTGGCATGGGTGAAATTACACGAAGATGGCCACTCGAGACGCAAGCTTCTTCTCCTTTCGAGTTGATCATTCGCGAACCTCCTATTACTGGCGATTGCCTTGGTTTGAAAACCTGGGGGTCCTCGTATTTACTCGCGTGCTCGCTAGACAAGATCGCGAAAGAGTCCTTGTCTCATCTCATCCAGCTAGGAGGCCTGAATCAGTCATTAGATGTTCTCGAATTAGGCTCAGGTACAGGGCTCTTGGGGATGGCTGCTGCTGCCATCTGGCAGACGAACGTAGTCTTGACCGACCTTCCAACCATAGTACCAAATCTCGCCCACAACGTCGAGAAGAACCGGTCCGCTATCGAGACTTTGGGAGGGAGTGTCGATTCGGGAGATTTAACGTGGGGTTCTGAAGACGATAGTGCTGAGCGATTTGCTCAAAAGAATCAGTTTAAAGTTAGTTACTCTAAGCTCTTGAATAGTTTCAATGACTAATCTTAAGTAGATTGTTCTTGCCGCAGATCCTCTCTATGATGATGATCACCCCGAGCTTCTATCTTCCGCAATTACCGACCACTTAATGAAGGAGAAAGATGCTAGGGTCGTTGTGATGGTTCCTCAGAGAGATTTGACCACCAAGAGATTGATGACGAAATTCGTATCTGCAATGGAAGCCTCAAGTTTGATGATTCTGGAAGAACATATTCTACTCGGTCAGGACGATTGGGACGATGATAAGGAGAATTCGGATATAGAATGTTGGTGGGCTGTATTCGGGAGGCAATGACGACGGTACTGTTATGTTAGCCCAGTCCAATTTCCCCGATTCTCTTCTTACCAACACAAAGAAGTATAGATGATTGATAGAGCAATAGTAGAGGTATCGCCTCGGACCCCAGTCGCATTCCGGAGGCGGCCCCGCATAGATGATCCCCAAATTCCGAGTAACCCGAATATCGCTCGGTGAATTCGAACTGTCATGAAACCAACCATATAAGGGGGTTAATAACTTTGTTGTTGCGCGAGGAGATCGCAGGTAACTGCTACGGAAGCTATCGTATACATACAAGAATGACTTATTTGTTCTAAGGACTCCCTTGCCTCCACATCGGCGATAAGGAGTTCCTCCGATACTTCCCAGGATGTATCCCTTTGTATGGCTTAACTATTGACACGAATCTCTGGATTAAGGATCCCTTGCTTCCATGGGTATTACGTGTGCGGCGCGAAGGTTATAAAGAGACGTAGCTGTATGTTGGTGATATTAGCTTCACCTAACCACCTCTCAGTAACTAAATCCCAACATAACTTTATTTTCTCACCGTGATGGCTAGCATCAAACCTATTCGTATCTGGATCACCCGTAAGTCGAAGAGAGGCCCCGTGAAATGTCTTTGTATTGTCGCTAATTACATGATAACCAGCTCCGGGTCCTAATTCCTGGAAGGTCAGCATATCTCGATGTTTCTCGATAGCGAGGGACAGACCTGATGTAGAATAGGTGATTATGGTCTTGGAAGAACTTAGCGTACCGTATGAAATTAAGGCGATCGAGTTTGCCGATATTAAGAGGAAGCCCTTCATCGATATCAATCCAAATGGGCGAGTGCCTGGTATGTAGATTCAAATCAATTGGGGTTTATGTACTGACCTGAGAAGCAATTGGGGGCCCGAATACAGATATAACGCTCTGGGAATCGGGAGCTATCATCCAGTATATCGTCGAACAATATGACGTCAATAAGACCTTGACGTATGATACTCTGAAGGAGAAGCATCTTCTCAATCAATATTTGCAATTCCAAATGGTATGTATGAAAACGTCGTATTCGGCTCTTAATTATTTGTCGCATTCCCTCCGGCCACCTAGTCAATCGTGAACAATTCAATCGTCGTCTTCCTCGACCTATTCGATCAGTAGATAAAAACTCACGGACCTTATCGCATCTCAAAAATAATTGCTAACATACCTCAATCAATTAGAGCGGGCAGGGACCTTATTTCGGCGTCGCCGCATGGTACGCACATTCCGCCGCTATTCGCGATATCGCCTTCTTCGCCGTTGCCATTCATCCCAATTGACTATATATAGGTTCAACATCTTACATCAAGAAAAGGTGCCATCGGCAATTGAGCGATACAATGCGCAATTGAAACGGGTTCTCGGCGTGCTCAATACGTGTCTCGAAGGTAAGCAATGGCTCGTCGGCGATAAGATGACGTATGCGGATCTATCGTTTATGCCGTGGAACCATCGCGTCGATTCCGTCATTTTGTGCGCGCCTGAGGATAAGTTCGTCGGGTATCCTAATGTTCAGGCCTGGCATGAACGGATGGTCGAGCGGCCCGCGTGGAAGAAGTGTATGGAGATTCGGGATAGCTTGATGCAGGAACAAGGGCTGGAGAATGGAACGGGTAGACCCGCGCGCTTTAAGACGTTCCAGGAGTATGAGGAGGCGATTGCTAGGGGAGAGGACGTACATGCTTAGGTATGGGTAGTAGGTATGTTTATCGAGTTAGGGGACTGCCCGCCTAATTGCCCACATTGATAGCTGTCTAGGTACGCGTATAGGTACCTATCTTAGAGTTTCGTCGGGGACTGCTCATCGAAGGGGGATCCTCGTCTACCTACCTAGGTACGTATTTAGGTATTCAAAGTGAAGTTAGCAGTGGCTTGGGTTAGTCCCCCTTAGGTACGCGTGTTACATGTATGTACCTACATTGGTGCTTAACCGCGGGTACTCCTAGCTAGATGTAGCTACGCGTAGCCTATTAATGACAGCCGTAGATGCTCTTTCCCTAGAAATCTCCAAAGTAGGCAACTAAAAATCATTCTACTTTCTAAGCCTAGGATTAGAGTTTGACAAATACGCAGCTGAGCGATATACTCGCCCCGCCCCTCGACCCCCGATCCCTGAGTTAGAGATGAAGAGTAAGTGACTGCCTCACGTACCTAGGTATGTAAATCCACAATAATGAGCTCCAGCGAGCTAGAGTAGCTATACCCACGGTGAATCACTACCTACCTACCTAGGTATTCTCAAAGAGAAGCTTCAGCGTTTTTTTTTTTAATTACGGGGATAACGGCATTTCGTGGTTTTCGGAGGTGGGTGTTAGTATGTGATGAATGTTCCTTCCATCCAATTCCCCAGTCAGACCACTTCTATCATCAAACTTGTTATCTTACACTAGGTTTCCCGCGCCCTTATACGGGTTACTCTAGCTTGTATGCGACTTCCTCATCATGAGTGTCGTGCTTAAGGCTATCCGATCCGAAGGCGGAATGAAGGAACACCGATTAGATAGGGCTTAGGGCCTATGTATTAGTAGATTTTCTTTGTTCCCTCCCCGTTGACTATCTAGATCTCATATAACTACCTAGGTACCTATACTAATGTTAAGGGGCTAGATCCCTGCATTTCCACCGTCTATAGGGGGAGCGACGCTCAGACCACCTTGGACTATGGTAGATTTGAAGTATTTTCGTCCGAACTACTACAGTGCCTCCATGAACTCAAGGCGATTGGTAGATTGTGGGGACGGGCCACGTGCTTTCTTAGACTTAGGAATTGCCTGTTGTTAGTGTAATTTGGGTAGGTAGGGGTGGTGATAGGTGGTTTGTAGGGCTGGATATATCGTGGCTTCCTCTTCCTTCTCTCGACTCTGGGGTATGAATTAATTGGCTATCACTGTTACTGATAAGTACTGTGTATAGTTATGTTCGCTATCATCGTAGGTCGATATTCAGTTATGTGTAAGTAGCCTTGGTTCACTATATGTGATTTGGTCGTAACCAACAATAATACTACTTAAGAGACAAATGAATATGAATTATTATACACGATCATTGAATGGAATTAAGCATATTAGTTAGGTAGTAATTCACTCCTTGAATACCTAGTCTACGTAGTGATCTGAATAAAACCATTGACCATGTCCAAGCGTATGAGGTGAAATTCACCTGAAGAGACGTATCCCCCTTAACTCGGTATCTATCGATTCATATCCAAACAGCTTCGGTACCTAGGTATCTAGTACCTAGGATTGTAAATAACTTGGGAAGGTACGGTTTATTGGCCCACCTATAGCGCAAGTAAACAAGATGCAAGTACCTAGGTAGTGCCATCACTCGCTATTGCCGTGCTACGGATATGGCCCGATAGTCACAGGGCCGGGTCTCCGTACCTTCCCGTTGTAAATCGCCCGTAGTGGATATTATTCCTTGACTTTCTATTCCGTCGTTCCTCCCCCTACTCATTTTGCTTGCACTCCCCCCAAAACAATGCTACACTTTTCCATCTCCTAACAAATTCCTAAACCTTTCCCACTAGGTTTTCTCTTCCATTTTCCAAGTCAGAAAAAAGAATTTCCAACACACCAATTCTAACTTAGGGTTCCCTTTTCACACACATTGATCCTCTCTTTTCTCCTCGACACTCTCCAAGGTCTAATCATTAACTCCATCAAGAATATCTTCGGCTAGTAAGTAGGAACCAGTTCATTGATCGCTCATAGAGTCATCGCACAATCACCCATCAATCCATCCTATACTCTTTCATCAGTATCATCCATCCAATCACTTTCAATCGGGAAAATGTCTCCCTAGCTCCCTTTACCACCTACCCTTGATGTGATCTTCTATGAGTAGAGGGTTTTCATGGATGAACATGCGAATGTATTTGAGAAGCAGAAAGTTATAATTGTTTCTCTTCCCTTTCCTATCCTTCTTCACAGCACCAGAACAAGAAGATCCGCCAAGTCAATCACCAAAAAACATTCTGGAGCATCTCTTTCTACCATCACCACCCCAATTTCCCACAAAGCCAGGACATAAAAGAATTAACCATGGTATGTTCATTACCATTGGTTTGAAGAACTTTTGCAGCCGTTTAAGACGTATCTCTCATCTCTTGACTGTGACTAACAGACATCGGGCAGGGCCGGAACGAGGAAACGACCGAAATGGTGAAAGCGCGTTGGGAGGCCAACGATGAGGTCCTCGACTTCATCCTGGAGCAAGCTATACCCCGCTATGCCCTTCCGCGGGGTCAAAAGGAGTCGCTATATACCAGCGTAGCGGCCCTAGTAAGAGAGAGATTCGGGGAGGACTACCACGACGCCTCCAATATTGCTCATTGCACAATGAAGCAAGTGAAGTATGTGGTCGAAAATTATGGCAAGGACCCTAGAAAGGGGTAAGTAGTCGTGAACAATAAGTATAAAGTGAGAAACGTAACTAACTTGTAACCCAGAAACCGGCTAGGCAACCAAATCCACCTGTCGACCGGTGGGAGCCCGCGCGAGGAGCCGAACACCGGCGGAAATGCGACGGCCGCCGCCAGTAAAAAGGGGGCAAATAAACGACCTTGCCACCACTGCGGCGGTAGTGGATTAGAGCCAGTTGATCCCAAATCTTCCTCGGGCTCCAAATCATCAGGACCGCCGAACATAAAACCCAGTGGCGCAACGGGCCAGCACCGGCGGGGACACAGATATACGCCAATGTCTATCACAGGTGGCGAACCCGGCAATACCTATGATCCTCATGGTGATGGGGCGCAAGGTAATCTGGACCTATACGCCCAGGGCCAGCCTTCATTTCACCATCCTCAAGATTGTAATGTAGGCCGTACGACTGGCGTGGCTCAAGGACTTGATCCATCTGCGTATCCCTTCAACCCCGATATTGGTCTTGTAAGTTGTCTCCCTGTTCTTCCATGAAGCATACTTCCGTTGGATTATCTTGTTCTATCCCTCGAAAATAGGCTCAACTTTGTGAAAAACGGCTAACGGAAACAAGCAGGTCCCTCAGCTCCCGCAACATGCGGGAGTAAACATGAATGCCGGCAATATGGCTGGAGAGGGTGGTTCTACCACCCAAGGTATTACGGGTAGTCTGCTAAACAGCGGCTACCCGCAAATGTCAGGAGTCAGACGCAGTGCAATGGATGCGCCCGAGGACGGGCAAGATACAGTTGCTAAATTTCACTCCGATTACCGAAAGCGAAGGATGGTTGCAAGCAACGCTACCACGCAGGGTTCATCGACGGGGGAAACTCAGGCCTACAAGAGGCAGAGAACTACTACCCCGTCAGCATCTCGTTCGACGGGGTACCAACCTGTCACTTCGGCTCCAGTTGAGCGGGGTCTGACGTTAAACCCTGCTCCCTCCGCTGGTACCAACTATGCCGATGCCGTTGGTGCTAATAACTCCCAGACAGTGGGTTTTTTGGATTTGCTGGAGGATAACACCCAGCAGGCCTATCAATTTGCCGATCACGACGGTGATTCCGCGCTGGGTTTCACCCCAGCTTCCGCCGCCTTACATTCGCTGGGTGATAATACCGGCAGCAGCCACCAGGGTTTTCAATTTCCCCATCAAGATGATGATCTTCTGCAGCTGCTCACCTCGGCTCCCGCGGAGACCCTAGAGTCCCAATATAATGAGGACGAGTTTGTCAATTGGGGCTATGACCAACTCTTCCCTGACGGCGCAAATGCCAATGGTTCTGCTGACGGGTGGAAGGCCCCGCATGACCCTTCCACAGATTAGGGTTGTGGTATTCGCCAGTTCATGGACCACGTCGTTTTAGTATTATTAGAGTCGTGGCTTTAGTGAGGCGTTCCGAAGGAGGAGGAAGGGAGGAGGTGGTATTCTTCGATCGGAGGGATGATGTTTGTGTTTCTTCGTTCTCGTGAGCTTTAGAACAAGCCACCTACAGTGTTGATTTGTTGATTATTGCTGCCATTTAGGGCGGCTGAAATAAATAAAATGGTTTGTAAATCTTTTGATATGCTATTGTGATATTTCGTGTCGTCGTTATGTGTCGAGTTATAACCTGGCTCGACTTCTGGAAAGCCCCTTGATGTATGTGTGGTCCTAGTCATGGTGTTCGTCTTGCGTCGTATCTGTCGTATTCAATACTATATAATGTAAGTTATAGTTTAATTTTTTAATGAACCTTTCTAGGAGGTAAATCCTAAGGGGTAAAATAGGAAAGCAACTTGTGTTTGTGCTTTTTCACAGCCCCCTTGATGATCTTCAGTAGTTCTTTGCTAGGTTTGAATGCACTATACTTAATGACAGAAGAAAAGTGGCAAAAAAAGAAGAGATGATGAACTAAGAATCTGTTTTGTCAAAACAAGGACCTGATTTTCATTTCTACTACTGCTTTAAACTGTCTGCTAGATATAATTACTCTTAGTAATGTCATGGGCCGGGTGGTAGTGTACCTTAGGTTGACTCATTTCCTTGTGTTTCTGAAAAGAACAGTAGAATATAACAAAAACAACTCCACAACTAACTTGCTTGGCGATTGTTTGGGGGGTCATTTCAACAGTCATTTGGAGTATTTAATGCTAGTTATCTTCTTCACAGACGATAGTAAATATTTGCTGCTGTTGAAAAGAATAATTTAGAAAATATTCTCCTGTTAATAGGTAAAAGACCTAGTAAAGAAAGTGAGCACGTGGCACTATCCGCCATCTGGACATATTCATCTCAGCTTGATCCGAAGTCGAAAATAGTAGAAAACGTATGAAGTGGGGGTCACTGTACGAAATAAAGATAGCGGGGAAGATATCTTCCGGTTAAATATCGGTGATATACTTATTGGAGTCCGTGCACAATTCCCTAATAGGTAGTAGCGGAGAGGTAGGCGGCTGCCCAAGGCGGAACCGCGAACGGCTTTGGAAAGAGCTTCATTCATCCCATTTCTCTTTCCTCTCTTTTTTACAGATCATTTTTTTCAGTTGACCTTTTTAGGTCCCTCACACAAACAACCCCCCCTTTCACTAGAATACACGGTAGCCGCGATTGTACACCGTTTTTTTCTTCTTAGCTAAAACTTAAGCTACAAAACTCTACATAGATCCTCGTAACGGCGCGCAATTCTAAATCTTCCCCCCACCCATTTCTACGCCGATTTCCGACACCTTCAATTTTTATTTTCAACCATACCGAAATCGCCCATCATGGATCAACGAGAGCTCGACGCGCGCGTCAAGCAGCTGCATAAGGCTGCCCAGAATAACGAGCCTGCTGCCAATCTTATCTCGATTATCGAGTCGCTCAGAGGTGCTGCGCCTACCGAAGAAATGTTGCGTGTAAGTAACCGATCCGCTCTTTGATACTACCCAGTAACCTACCCTTCCGAGACATGCCTACGCTACTATTTATATCTTGTAGTACTTCTAGAATATCTCAATCTTACTCTTCCTTCCCTTTTATACCTATGCCTATATATGATTAGCCTATACCGCAAGTTCGCGCTTTGTTCAATTGCTAACTACTACGTCACAGACCACTAAAGCAGGTATCGTCATCGGTAAACTTCGAGGAAACCCGAACAAGGATGTCGCCAAGGTAGCCGGGGAGGTCGTCATGGTATGGAAGCGAGGCATAGAAGCCGAGAAGAAAGCCAAGGCCCTATCATCCGCCAAACCCATCAAGGGTTCCGCGTCACCTGCCTCCAAGGCTGCATCACCCGCACCGAAGCCGCTCGTCGGAAATAAGAAGTCCTACGAGGGCGACCCGGAGAAGCGAACCTTCAAGTCGGATAAGGTGGACATCAGTCGCACTGGTTCCCAGACCCGTGACAATTGTATCGGTCTTATCTATAACGGCTTGGCTTACCGCTCGCGCGAGTCTGAAGATAATGTCATCCTGCGCGCCGTCGAGGTCGAGCATGCTGCTTTCAAGGCGTACAAGGGAGAAACCAAGGAGTACAAGGACAAGATCCGTTCATTGTTCCAGAATCTCAAGGTCAAGACCAACGCCGAACTTGGCCGAAATGTCATGTCTGGCACCATCACCGCAGACCGCTTCGTCGTGATGAGCTCCAAGGATCTTATGTCTGCTCAGCAACGAAAGAATGAAGCCGAACTCGAGATGGAGAACATGAAGAAGGCGCAGGTTCCCATGGCTGAGAAGTCCATTTCTGATTCTCTTGAGTGTAGCAACTGCAAGAAGAAGATGGTCTCCTACACCCAGGCTCAGACGCGAAGTGCGGATGAACCGATGACGACGTTCTGCGAGTGCATGAACTGTGGAAAGCGTTGGAAGGTAAGTTTTAATCCCTATTTTCATATGTTATTTATATCCGGCGAAAATCAATACTAATCTTGGTATAGTTCTCGTAAACGCACTTCTTCGCCTATCTATCTTGTCTCACCTAGCCTTGCTTGGATGACGACATTGGTATGATTTACTCGTCTATGTATCTACATAAGACCCCTCAGTATTACTCGCCAATAGATGGCATAAGGCGTCCTACGGCAGGCGTCTCCGGTTCGGTCAACGAACAACGACCGAGGTTGTGTGTACTTTTGATTTTTCATGATTGGTTGCGTTTGCGAGGAGTTAAGGAATCCCCGGCAAGGCAATGAGGAAGACGGCTATTTGTTACTCATTTTTATTACTCGCAACTTTTTATTTGCACTTCGGAGGTGGTAGCCATCGGCATTTTACAATTGCATCATCCAACATGTCCCCTCTTGCGGTGGTTTTCAAGGCTAGCTAGACAAGTTTCTGTAACCATAGGTCGAATGGCATCTAACTTACACGCTATTTACCTTCAACATAAAGATTTATTCTCGTTTTATTGGCCCATTCGTAACGTTCGTGATGTAGATTCGTGTGGTCGATTTCATACTTCTTTAAATCAATGGGTATTGTCACCGTGTTTTCGGTTTCTCAATACCCAATAACGTCAGTAAATCCTTCGGCTTATCATCATCCTCTAATCCCATATCCGCAACTTTCTTATAGAACTTGCTTAAATGTCGCATTCCCGGGTCACACAACACCGTAACCACCGTACTCCCCTTCGGTAAACTCAGCGCTGCGACAACAGAAGCCACGCAATTGACTGCGCTACTGCTTCCGCAAAATATTCCATCATGTTCCACCAACCACCGCGCCATAGCACATGCCTGTGCATCGGTAACTCGTACCGCGGTATCTATCAAGTCCCGTCCCACCTCTAAATTCTCAGTTACCCGGTTGATACCAATACCCTCCACGATAGTATCGACTTGTTGTCGCCGCCTTGTGCCCTCTTTCTCGGTGTTGGAGTACATAACTCCATGTCGGATCTTATTATACAACCCACTTCCCTGAGGATCCGCTAGCACGACTTTCAAGTCATGCAATTTCGCCGTTTCCTTAAGATACTTAGCAACCCCAGATATCGTCCCACCAGTCCCAGCCCCCGCGACAAAAGCATCAAGATGTCCATTATCCGTCTGATAATATATCTCCGGCCCCGTAGTCGATAAATGTGCATGCCAATTCGCATCCGACTCGAATTGATCCGCGAAAAATCCCACACTCGGATTCTCCCGCGTCGCAGACGCCGTATGCTCCGCGGCCCTCCTCCTTGCTAAATTCACAAAATGCTCCGGCGACGCGATGGGTTGGACCGGTACACGTTCCACGGTAGCTCCTAAATGGTGCAGCAAATCCGATTTTTCCATGCTCTGGTCATCGGGCATACATATATGCGCACGATACCCCATAGCCCGAGCTAAAGCCGCGATTGAGATCCCGGTACTTCCTACCGTGCCCTCGTATATCGTATCACCCCTCCCAGGTTTAAGACGGCCTGCTTCCTCCGCGGACCGGATCATGGATAGTGCGACACGGTCTTTTGGACTATTACCTGCGCCGTTGAGAAACTCGGCTTTGGCGAGAATGGTACGTCCGGTGGCTTCGGATAAGCTGCGGATGTGGATTAGAGGGGTGCGTCCGATACATCCTTCGATACCCTCGCTGATGCCGGCGTCGCGTGGGATTTGGGCGGCACCGGGTACTACGATAGAAGATTCAGACTCGTGGTCTTCTAATTGCACGCCCCAGAATATGCTAGAGCGTCTGCGCTTGTCAGGGATGGGCTTCCGCCGGGATGTCCCTCCTCCCCGCTGTTGGAAACGTCGTTCTAGGTCCGGGTATAGGTCTTTGAAGCCTAGGGTTACCAGGATACCTGCGATGAAGGAGAGTGCTACGGCGGCGGTGCCGTAGGCGCGGGGGTGGTCGCTGAGAGACATTTTTGAAATTTTACTTTTTTGGGATGGGATGGGTTGTCTTGTGCGACTACCTCGTCTTTCTTTTCACCCTCCCGCAGCTGCTGTCCGGTGTAACTCAAAACCTCCAATCCATTTCAGGGTAGCTTGATGGCTTAGATAATAAAGATGCTTAATTCATCGGTTGCATACGACTGGAAGTTATTTATATTTTTTAAGTCAAGTGACTTGTTACTCGTTTCGAGAGCTAAATACGTCAGTGATGAAGTTTAATTCTATGGTATCGCGCAATCGGTACAGTACCTGACCCACCCATCTAGAAACCCCCACTATATAGAGCTACGATGGAGGGGGAGCTCGGGCCAAATGGATCACCCAATAAGCTCTCAGTTAAGACCCCTCGTAAGCCGGCGATAACCCGATCCGACCACCAAAAATTGAAGCTTTCGTCAAGCCACCGAGAACTCTCTCACTCTTCCGTTACACCACCTTAGGTAATAGGCGCAAGATTGCAGTCCAGACTATGGACTCCCCGATCGTGGCCCAGCTATTCCGCCAGTTGTTTAGACATCCACATCCGGCTTGCCAATCGAGAAGGAATTTAGCTATATTATCGTCTTGTCTCCAACATGGCCGACGGATACAACACCAAAACCAACAGCAGAGGCGGCATATGGCTAGTCGGGATTCTATTAGGGGGGCAAAACATGGTTCAGCTGAAAAGGATAGCCATTGGCAACAACGGACCGAGTTATTCGCCCAAGATATGACAGAAGAGTATAAGACATATCCTATGGTGACGGCGAACGATTTGAGATCGCGAAGAGAACGTCCGCGGAAAGTTAAGATGCTTATGCGGGACTTCATTGAGGGTATACCGTCCCCTCCCTGATGCTATAGCCATTGGTTGTTGACCTAGCTCTTTCTCTGTGTATAGATAGCCTATACAACCCCCACTACGGCTACTTCTCCAAACAAGTCGTCATCTTCACCCCCGGCGAACCCTTCAACTTCAACTCCATCCCCGACGAACCTGCCTTCCACGCTGAGCTCGGCCGTCGCTACACCGAATTCGAAGATGCCCTCGACGCCCAAGAAGGCCGCGCGGATGATACGCGACAGCTCTGGCACACGCCAACAGAACTTTTCCGACCCTACTACGGCGAGGCCGTCGCGCGGTACCTAATGTCGAACTACCTAATGACCACATACCCCTACCACGATCTCATTATCTACGAGATGGGCGCAGGTCGCGGAACCCTAATGCTCAACGTACTCGACTACATCCGAGACATCGAACCGACAGTGTACGACCGGACCAAGTACAAAATTATCGAAATCTCACCATCCCTCGCCGCGCTGCAAAACTCACAACTCCTAGCGACAGCCGCCTCGCGCGGTCACGCAAGCAAAGTAGAAATTATAAATAAATCCGTATTCGACTGGAATTCCCGCGTTCCATCCCCCTGTTTCTTCCTAGCCATGGAAGTATTCGATAACTTCGCACACGACGTCCTACGCTACGACCTAGAAACCGAAGAACCACTCCAAGGTATCGTCCTCATCGACTCCCACGGCGACTTTTACGAATTCTACGAACCAATACTGGACCCAGTAGCAGCACGGTACCTCCGCGTCCGGCACGCCGCAACAGGAGGACGGTACCGCGTTCCCTACCCAACATCCCGCGTCACGCGCTGGCTCAAAAAACAACTTCCCCTAGCCCCTAACCTCAGCGCTCCGGAATACATACCAACCCGTCTCATGCAATTCTTCGACGTCCTCGAACATCACTTCCCCGCTCACCGTCTTCTAACTTCAGATTTCCACCTCCTACCCGACGCAGTAAAAGGCCTAAACGCACCGGTTGTACAGACGAGATACCAGAGACGCATGGTCCCCGTCTCGACACCGCTTGTGCATCAGGGGTACTTTGATATTCTGTTTCCGACGGATTTTAGAGTCGTCGAGGCTGTTTATCGCGCTATTACTGGGAAATTGACGAGAGTGATTGAGCATGAGGCGTTTATGAGGTCGTGGGCTTATGTCGAGGATACTCGTACGCGGAGTGGGGAGAATCCGTTACTGAGTTGGTATAGGAATGCTAGTGTTATGGTTACGGTGTAGATGGGCTGTATAGGTGGTCTGTTTTGCGGCTGAAGGGGCGCTGGTGTGGTTGGGTGGTATTGCAGAATAGCATTGGTGTGGCATGTATGTAGATGGATGGATGGATGGGTGCACATATCTCAACTAGGTCCAAGCGCCTTGAGAGTGGTTATGTATAGCATCGGAATTTTAAGGTAGAAATACTGGAAGATACGGTGTTGATAGCATGTACATACGTGTGCATATACATGTATAAAAATTACCATTGAGATGATTCATAATGCTTCAATGCCCACAGTTACTTTTGCCTTGCATCACCTTGACCTAGAAATCTACTCCATACACTATAAAATGCACGTAGAACACAGTCGCAGACATCATCATGTAAGTCATCATAATTCCTGTTGTAGGCTTCGGTCTACAAACCTAGCCTAGGTAGTATGTAATATAACCCTAATACCGTTCCTCTATGGCAGAGAACTTTTTATTTTATTTTTGATATGCTTTTTTTCCTCCGTTGCATGCATCGTTGTAAGATTGCAAATGTCCATGTTCCAGCCCATCATCAATCAATTATAACCATCCGCCCTCCCATTCCTTGGTCATCTCCTACATAGTAAGTAATTTAATACTTAACGTATCCGTCGAGTTGGATCGACGCGATCTTATATCTGCGCACTTGCGCAAGGTTAAGGATTCTTGGGCTAAAACCTTAGAGCTAGAGCTTTAGATCTTAAGCTTCTCCTGAAGCCACTTCTCAGCGACTGCGACGGCTTCGTCGATCTTGTTGGCGTTAGATCCCTGGCCCTGCCGTGTAGGTTCCTTGCCACCGGATTTGCCGCCGACTACCTCACTGACAGCAGACGCCCACTTCTCAGCAGTAACTCCTTGCGAAGCAAAGTGCTAAATTACATATTAGTTATGTTCTTCTGAAGGTGACTCGCGATTTTTAACTTACTGTTCCGACATAAACGCCATGGACGACGGCGCCCTCAGCTGCACTACCACCGAAGATATACACCGACCTATCCTTATCCTTGCTCTTGAAGTGGTTCATAACATCCGCAAGAGCCTTGGCATTAGCGGAAATAGGCAAATGACCAATGAAATACTTGGAGTCCTTGTTCTCATCCTTTGCGAAGTGGGCAGTGACGGTGTCAAGGGCAGTCTTGCTCTCAGCCTTTTGTCGCTTCTTCTGTTCTTCCACGACAGCCTTAATGACTTTCGAGAATCGCGTCTTTAGCTCCTCCTTGGTTAAGGTAGATACGACAAGTTGGTTGAGATCTACAGTAGCCTGCTTAACTTCGGCCTCCTTCTCGGGGCCGAACGGCAGAGCGTCGATAGTGGAAATGCGCTTGGAGAATTCTTCAGCATCACGTTGCACACGATGCGCAGAATCTCCTGTGTAGGCGACGATACGACGAATACCCTTAGCAATACCACTCTCCTCAACCACTACTAGATCCTTGATGATACCGGTTTGGTCGACATGTGTACCACCGCAGAACTCAACACTGACTTTGCGCCAATCTGGGTTCTCAGGGGTCTCAAGTAGCATGTCAACATCAATACCGACCGAGACTACTCGAACAGGGTTGGGATATGTCTCGCCGAAGACGGCACGCACGCCATTAATATTCCTTGCTAGATCAAGTTCAACATCCTTGGAGTAGATCTTGCAATTCTGCCGTATGTATTCATTCGACAAGTGCTCGATCTTTTTGAGTTCGGGAATAGTAACAGCAGCCTTATGCGAAAAGTCGAACCGGAGCTTGTCTTGGTCGACTAGCGATCCCTTTTGGTTGACTTCGTCGCCCAGTACTTCTCGTAGCGAATGGTTGAGGATATGTGTTCCGGTGTGGTTGTTGCGAATAGGCTGTCTTCGCAGTTCATCGTACTCGCAGATAACCTCATCGCCCGCGTTAAGTTCTCCATACTTCAAAAAGCCGTTATGAACTATGTATCCTCCAAATTGTTGGACATCATGAACTTCGAATTCGGCAACATCATCAATTACGAGTCGTCCTGTATCGGCAACCTGTCCACCCTGCTCGGCATAGAAGTTGGTTTTATCAAGTAGGAGTCCAAAGGGTGTGTTTGGTGGAAGGTCCTTAGTCGATTTAACGAATTCCGTGCCTGTATATATGAGTTGAACCTTTCCTTTCGTATCGCCCTTGAAAAACTTAGGTTCGTCGTTAGGAACGGGTATTTGTAAGTTGTCTTTTAATTCGGCGATTTGGTGAACGTTAAGCTTGGCAAATGTTTGTACTGCCTCCTTGACGGCTTTGCTAGCCTCCCGGGCCTTCTCTCTTGCAATGGCAATTTCGTTCTCGTCAGTTTCAAGACCTCGCTCTTCGGCCATAAGCTTAGTAAGATCTTCAGGAAAACCGAAAGTGTCGTATAATCTCCAAACGTCTGCTCCAGAAAGTTTCTTGGTTCCACTGTTAGCAGCCTGTGCGGCGTACTTTTCGAATTGCTTCTCGCCACGGTCTAAAGTTCTTGCGAATGCTTCCTCTTCTTCGTCTAGTATTTCCTTGATGTCTTGCTGCTTTTTAGCGATCTCCGGGAATTGTCCGCCCATCTGCTCAACTAGCGCAGGCAGAATCTTGGAGAAAAAGGAGCCGATTTCGGCGTTAAAGTACTTTCTTGCGTAACGCGAGCCTCTTCGTAACACACGACGCACGACATAGCCTCTACCCTCGTTATTAGGCGCAGCACCATCAGAGATAGCGAAAGCGAGTAGTCGTATGTGATCAGCAACTACACGATAAGCGGTATCAATACCATCCACATCATCCTTGCCATACTTGTCGGTATATGGTCGTGCTCCAGCAACTTCCTGGATCCTCTCGAAAAGCGGGGTGAATATGTCAGTGGCGTAATTGGAGTCCTTGTTTTGGAGTGCCGATACTAATCGCTCAAAACCCATTCCTGTGTCAATGTGCTTTGCTGGTAAGGACTTAAGCGAGCCATCTTTTTGGCGATCGTATTGCATGAAAACATTGTTCCAAATCTCCACTACCAAGGGGTCGTCTTGGTTGACTAGGTGTGCGGCATTACGTCCACCCACTTTGTCATAGTGAATCTCACTACAAGGACCGCAAGGACCTTGGTCACCCATTTCCCAAAAGTTATCCTTCATATTACCCGGCAATATGTGATCCTCAGGGACACCGACGGACTTCCATAGTTCCTTGGCCTCTAGGTCGGGCTCGAGACCCATATCGGGGTTACCCTCGAAGTAGGTGACGTAAAGTCTGGTGGGGTCCAGCCCAAAGACTTTAGTAAGAAGTTCCCAAGACCATTCTACCGCCTCTTTCTTGAAGTAATCACCGAAGGACCAGTTGCCCAACATCTCAAAGAAGGTCTGCGACTCCTATTAATGTCTCGATACGCGAATAAGGGGTGCATATGCGCTTACATGGTGGTAGCTGTCTTTGCCGACACTACATATTCCATTAGCATATATGATAGATCATTTTGGGCGGCGTAGGACCGGAGCCGGGTCCGAACTCACTCGTCAAGGTCCTATATAGGTTTAGTCCAGGTCAGGCACGCAAGGGTGGATAGGGTAGATAGGGTAGGTAAGATAGGGTGTTAAGTCGCATATATCATACATTGTGTTTGCCGCCGGCGCGTATACACTTCTGAGTATCGACCGCACGCTTCAGCTTGGCAGTATCGTCTGTACTAGCGATCGTTCCTAAGAATATGGGCTTGAATTGGTTCATGCCCGCATTGGTGAAGAGCAAGGTGGGGTCATTGTGAGGCACAACCGACGATGAGGGCACTGGGAAAAACGTGGGAAATTAGTAAGTTTGCACATTGTATTGGATAGAGGAAGCTTGAAGGATTATGATAGTCGCAGTTATGAAGTATTAAAAATGTTGGTTGGTGGCGTTGTTGGTATTTTAATTATTTGCATACCTATCGTGTGCCCTCTCTCCTCAAAGTATTCAAGGAAAGTCTTGCGAACCCCTGCGCCGGTCCACTTCGGTTCGCCCATGATGGCGTGGGTTTGGGGGTTATGGGCTGTTGAAGTGGAAGCGGAAGTTGAAAATTTAAAAGAAGAAGTTAAAGAAATTGAAAGAGTTGGTTTGGTGGAGTATTTTGTCGGCGTTGGGTTGTTTCCGGCCGATTGTGTAGAAAAAGGATAGAACGTTCTACAAGAATGATAGAATTGACAGGAGTGACTCAATGATGCGCGCGACGGCCTATAAACGGCGACGGTCCGCCGCATTGGATTTTCATTCGGTTCGGTTCAAAACCCTCAAAAACTCAAAACTAGGAAACCCCGTCTTTTTTTTTCCCTCCTTCCTTATGATACGTACCCGACCCAACCCGCGCGATCGGACCTACGATGACACATTTGATTGGTGTAACCAAAGAAAAAGAGGTGTGACAACCTGTCGAATAACCAATTCGATATTATAATCAAATATTATCGCATTGAGTCACAGGGGGATTAAGATAGGTTGATTACCTAGGTATATCCCAGCTTGTGTGGTGCGGTGCGGCAGTTAGAGCAGTACGTGCAGTACTTTTCAAAAAAGAGGTGGAAGGATTTCCAAGGTTAACAGTTGAAGAGGGAAAATCGATAAGGGATAAGGAAGGATAAGGGAGGATAAGGCCCTAGGTACCTAGAAACCTCCACTAAAAAAAGTCGCTATGGAAGTCGAGATTGGACCAAGCTCGCCTGCCGCGATTACGCTTTCCGGCTTCCCACAGGCCAATCCTAGAGCTGTGCATCTCCCCGCGGTCGCTCCCGCTGCCATCGGCGTTCCAGTCGCTTCCACGAGAACCCATAATTTTGATTATCCCAGTTCTTATTCTAATTCTTATCCCAATCCCAATTCCTATTCCAGTCATTCCCGTCCCGATGCCTGTTATTCCAATTCAGAAATACTACAACAACAGGGACGAAATCTCGATGTAGGAGGTGGAACGCGCAAGATGCGCAAGAGGAAAGCTGAATCCCAGGATAATGAGCGACTATCTAAACGACTAAGTCTTCTCAATCTTGGTAAGTCCCCCCTTCACCTCGTCTCACCTCCATTGTGAACTGGGTTGTATGTCCAATTGGCAAGGCTGCAAGGTATACGAATGCGCCGCTAACATACTTGCATTATACACAGAACAAAATGGCCAAAAGCTATACGTCCCGGTCGAGAGCCCCAAGCTCAGACCGACCGAATCCGCCTCTCTAACTCAGATCCCTGAAGACGATACGATGCAACTCGATGACTCCAAGCACAAAGTATACATTTACAACCTAGACGACGAACTCACGGACAGCGAGTCGGATAGCGATACCAGCGGGCGCCTGGTCTTCCTGCCAGACATCGAGAAGCACCTAATGCAAACCCGCATTCCGCCGTCTATCCTAGCCAATAAGGATGGCGAGATCGCCGGCATGCAGATGGTCCTGTACAGTGAACCTAGTTCGCTGACCGTGCCCCAGGAGAAGGACAGTGTGCGGAAAGCGATCATTGAGTCGAGGCAGAGAGTCAGGGAAAAACAAAAAGAGGAGCGCGAACAACAGCACCAGCAGGCTACATCTGGATCCGCCTCCTCCAATTCTGCGACTCCTGCATCATCGACGTCGCAAACCGTCACTGCTCCACCCGTATTCCCTGCGTCGAATAATGGGCCGAATACGATGAACGGTTTCGCACATCACAATGGAGCCGCGGTGGGTACTACTACGACGAATTACAACTACGACGATCCGGACGCCATGGAAGTGGATTAGAAAGAAAGAAATAGAAAAAAGGAAGGACAGAAGGGTCGATGATACACATACACACGTGCGGAATTATATGGAGTTTGGGTTTTATTACGCTATAGATACCCAGGAACGGGGCGCAATACGTTATAATGGGGGCTCGAATGTCAGAGCACATACATACACGATGGCGTATTATGGAGCCTTATGGAGATTTTCCTCCTTTTCACATGCAAGGCACACAATGCTGCAGCAACAGTAGCACTCGAACTTGCTTGTATTATACAGTTTATACGGATTGCATGGATGTAGGTTTTGCAATGGGATTATTATCATTCTAATCTTCAATCGTACAGATATTTCAATTCCCACCATGTTTGCCGCCTAGACGTACTGCCAAGTTCATGTACCACTAATCCAGACCGATTTGACAATTACACCTTATCCCCCTACACCTCATTCCTAGTCCTTACGTTTTCCCATTTTGCCATTTAGAAACCCGATCCATTTATCGCAGCGCAGCAGCAGGCGGCGGACCCGGCGGCGGAGCGTAATCCCCACCACCGGTACGAGCAGGCTCGACTCCGGTCTGCATGGGATCAATCTTACTACCTCCCATCGGCGGCGCACCCCCGCCCTCATACATCGGGGGTCGGTTATTCGGGTCGTAGACTGGTGGTGGCATGGCGTAGGCCCCGCCGCCGTAGGGTTGTGGGTATGTGGTGTAGGATGCTTGCGGCCAGGCGTAGCGTGGGTCTACGCCTGCGCGTTCTTGGCGGGAGAGTAGCCACTGTGGTTCGTTAGAAAGGGAGAGGTAGGTGTTGGAGGGGGGGATGGATGAGGACTTACGCCGTGGTAGGCAAGTGGCTTTAAACCTTTGTTTACACGCTTCTTGGCGTGGACGCGGCCTAGGACTAGGTATAGACCGAGTAGGAGAGTGATGCCGAGGAAGAGTGACCATTTGACGATGACGCCTGTCTGTAGTATTGTGTTAGTAGAGGTTATTCGGAGTTTGGGGTGAAGTTTGATGCATACCTTTGTATACCAGAACCAGACTAAATGGCCATTCTGCTCAACATACTGACGACGGACAACTGCGTCCGCTGGCGCAGTGTACGGCGGGATGCGTGTCTTTCCAAACATGATGATTTGATTCTTTTTTTCTGCTACCGATATCGAACACGAATGATAATAACACAACTACAAAATGAGGTATAGAAACGAAGAAAAATGCACAGCACTACGATCGCCGGTCCAGACCCAGTCGATGGGGAAGAAGAAAAAATGTCAATAAGAGAGAACGGACGAATAAAAAAACAAAAATAAGGAATGAAAATGCCAAGCTTTCTCTTTGGTATTGAAAGAGCCGGGGATCTTCTATTTCAATGAGATATTTCTCTTTTCTCTCAGGAACATGCTAGGAAGTTGATAAGAGGGAGCCCAGATTTCTTGATTGCTAACTTGATTGCTTTGTGGTGGTGGGCGTTGTCGCATTCTGCGGCAAGACTTGTTACAAAGTTGGCGTTTCAAAGAGGTCTCGAACGCTGCGTAGCGGTTGGCTGGTCGAGGGTCGTTCAGGGGATCAATGAATCGGGAATGGGGCCGCGTGTTACGAGACGACAGGGTCACATTGTGGCCTTCATCGCCTTCATCTAATATATTATGTACATAGTAGGGAATTACGTACGTACTTTCATAACAAATACAATTGAATGCATACTTAAAAACAGAACGCCAAGGGGGATCGGATCGCCGTGTTTGCTTGCTCTCAGATCTCGTGAGATGTTTAGGATCTGTAGGAAGTCATAATTGAGAATGATTATAAAACCTGTCTATCCCGGATCCCTCTGTATACGATTGTAAACCGAGGAATACATAAAGCGACACATACCCAATCAAACAGACGTCGGGATATAAGACGAGTTATCAATGTGCTTACATCTAATAAGACGGCCCCTGAATCGTTCGAATAGCGAGGGCCTCGACCATCATCAAAACCGCGCTATTAATGCCCCAGCATTGAAATCAACCATTCCCAAAAGGTAAGTTTCTTCCGAGCATCCAGCTTGAAGCACATGTAAAAGTCACGATATGATTCATTGAAATCAAGCTTAGCCGATGTGAGTGTCGCACAGGAACATTCTAATGGTTAAGTTCAACTCATCAAGTTGATAATCATTCAAATGTCAAATTGAAGCATGCTAATATTGGTCATTTAAAACGAGATCCCAAATAATCGAATTTAGTTGCCTAATGATGGATTTAATATTCCCAAAAGGGAGAAACCAATCGTAATAAAAAAACGCCGTCGGTGTGGCCAAGGTGGATGTCATTAGATGACTAAATGGTTCTCATTAATAACCAAAAAAGGCCATTCCAGAGATAATGAGGTGAGTAAGTTCTATTGAAATACCTATGCCGCGTGTATCATGAAGACGCCCAGTAAATGCACATGATGTCGTAAAATGGTTAGGCCGTGATATTAAATAATAACTGGACGGGCCCTCTCTGGATGTTCCACAGGTTGAAGCTCTTTGGGTTTGGGGTGGCACATAGCCGATTAGGTGTGTACCCCGTGGTTCATTCAGAAGGTAAGCTCTTTTATGTCCAAATTGCAATCCCCTGTCCTTGGTGTCTCTTGGGTCGGTATGACGATTTCCCAGTTCCAGCGGCGATCTACAGTCCTGTGTTCCTGTTTAACATTCTTTGTGGCCCTTTAGCTGGTAATACTGATCCAATTTTCGTTGTCGTCCCAATTGTTCTGAGATGGCCTGAAGTTTGGTAGGTATAGTGATGGTGATGCAAGTCCTACATAGAACAGATCTTGGTTATCGTTATCAATCCGTAGGTTGGTTCTCTTCTATTGCGCCTTGAATGGGCTCCGTAGCTGTATATGCATCTTCGGCAATTTGTCGTCGTCTCTCCTCACCGGCATCGACAATCCTTCGTAGGGTGACCATGCATTTTTCGAATTTGTCCACTATATTAGCGTAGTCTTCGTTCTCTCCCCTTACGCGATCACTTTGACCACTTCCACCGCCACTCGCGATGCTGGTACCTCGTCGACTCGATTCTCCAGAAAATTCGCCTTCTGATCCTAGTGCGTTGCTCTCTATGCCGTTGATTTCTAGCATAAGTCGATCAGCTCGGCCGCCGTTATCGCCGCCTTCGTTGCCGTTGTTGCTTTCCCCGTCTGATGAAGGTGGTGTTATCTGACTTAGTTGAGTATCAAGCACAGCCCATGACGGTGACAAGCTTGAAGCCCAAGCGACACTGTATCCTCCATTATTATTAGGTGCTAGGTCTAGTATCATGGCTCGGTTGAAGGTGTAGGCTGAGTCGCTGTTGTTTTCATCGGTTCCGGAATTCAGTTCGGCTAGTGCTTGTGTTAGGACGTCTGGGTCATCGTCGCTGAAGATGTAGCGCACATGTGGATGATGAATTGTACGCGTCGATGCATCATGTACGAGGGTGAAGATAGGCGCAAACGGAGGTGGATCGCGATCTTGGTCGTGGTTGTAGGACGCGTCCGCTATTGGCGGTTGATCGGTTGTTGGTTCGGTCATCTTGAAGATTGGTGGTAGATGAGCGTCATGGAGTTGGTTATCTGAAGGAGGGGGATGGAATGAAAGTTAGGATGGAAATGATGAAAAGAAGGCTGGCGCATCATGACTCCAAGGTTCCATGTGTTGGAAAGTTAATGGATAAGAAAAGAGAGAGAGAGAAGGCCCAAAGGGTTTGCTCCGGAAGTACATACAGGATGGTCTAGTGATGGAAGACTGCAGGTGGTGTCATGCAAGCATCTGCAAGCAGTGAAGTGGTACCTACCAAGGTATCCACTTATAGAGCCTAGCTTGCCTAACCTTAACTATAATCGTAGCTTTTGTAGCATTGGGGGCCCTAGAGCTTCTATCTTATCGGTATGTGGGGGAAGAAGGGAAGCTTGGCAGTCCCCTGTAAGAAAATGGTATTTGTATGCAGGGACGAATTCCTTCTTGGAGAAGGGAATAGGTAAGAAGGATCCATTGTATTAATGTTCTCGTTTTCCAGGCATTGAGTGGTAAATATTAGTTTATAATTATTCTTTCCTACTCTACACTTTAGTATACGGGATAATGAATGTTAGGAAAGCTACTCACTTTTACCAAGCAAATGCCATTAAAGATCGAAAGTCATGAACGCCCCGGGTATCAAGTATAAAAGCCAAAAGAACAAATTGAAGTCGGCAGCATATTCGGAGATCGAAGATAAAGAGCCTTTTCATTGATCCTCAACCATGTCTTGCTGTTCATCTGCTTGTGGTTGAGTTGCTCCGGTATCTGCTCCCCATTCGAACTCTGAATAATATGTCAGCTGAAACGCCACTGAGCACTAAATGGAGTTTTGGCATACTCTGTCGGCACATTGGGCATTGACCTTTTGCAGAGTCTTGCTTGATCCATTCCATGATGCAATGCTGTTCTGCCGTTAACAGACTTAAATCATATAGTGAAATCTTCAAGTCGAACAATACTAACCATGTGAAAGTTGTGACCACATTTGCCCGATACTGAGGAAAAAGAGGGTTAATGAGTATAATACACACAGATAGCGCGAGAGTAACTTACATAAACTGCAATCGTCGCCGGGATATTTGCAAGTCGGACACGTCCCGTCAAAGTGAACTTGACAGATACCACACACGTCGTCTTCTGGAAGATCCCATCGCCATGTCGCGACAGCATTCCACTGCTTGATCTTAACCTTCATATTGAACGTGTGGTTTATTGAGAAGCACAGCTCTATGCGTATTGGATATTATCGTGGTATATGTAAAACCAAAAAGTTGGTGAAGCGGGAGTGTTTTCTCAAATTCTTAATTCTCAGTCGAGTTGCAGGTGTGTGGGTGTTAATGTTTGGTTGTACCACCATAGTAATCAAATAGGTATATCGGAAGGTACCTGAAGATAGGTACCTAGACAATAAATCAACGCCTAGCGGCCTATATCGGTATCGATATAATAAGTCCGATCGTTAATTCTATAACGTTCATAGAGCGGAAATCCCGGCAAGTCCACACCTGATTTTAGTGGAATGTACTCCACCATTTGCAGGCGCCTCTTACATTGGATAGTACATACATTACCTGGGAACCTAGGTATATAGCCAGGTGCAACCTTGCTTATCGCGCAACCCTCGTGGTAAGTCAAAATTGGGGGTATTGGAGATTTTTAGACTTCACGCTTCACGCCATCGCAAAGCTTATCTGATGTTGAGGGACGTTCCTGCACCCTCCACGATTGTTTATTTCTGTTGGTGCTAGATCAATACCACAAAGGAAGTCGCTGACTGAGTAACTGTAAGTGTTTTAAGGACCCCGCACCCACAAGCGAATTGGGAACTTATTCGTTCTTTCGAACATCACTTTTTCTCTATACCATCACCAGTTACTCACGATCTCTCCGATCGAGGTGCCGATCCGAATTGTCCATTTCCGAGAGACAATTCAACCCTCACACACCTAAAATCCTCCACTTCAATCTCACAACGATCTACGTAAGGGAGTGGAATTTCTAATCGACATTGACGTACATAAATTACGATAAGAGAGTCGGCCATTGAGCGGTCTAGCCATGGCTACTCTTGCGATATTGCGCTCTACCAGAGCTGCCCTCCCACGACAGGGCTTTCACAGATGCCAGCCTATCTTCATAGAGTCGCGTCGAAATATTTCCTCCTCTTCCTACCTAGTAACACCCAAAGAGCTAGCGGAAGCTCTAAAGAAAAACCCACCAAACTCCATCAGTACCGATCCTCGAGTTATTCCACTATGTGCCGCATGGTTTCTACCGAACGACAAGCGACAGGGCATCGAAGTCTTCCGTGAGAAGCGAATACCGAAAGCCCGATTCTTCAACCTAGACAAAGTAATTGACAAACGAAGTCCTTACCCCCACATGCTACCTAGTCCTAAGACATTCGCCGAAGCAATGAGCTCCCTCGGGATTCAGAAGCAAGATACAGTAGTGGTTTATGACACAAAGGAATTAGGTATCTTCAGTGCGCCAAGAGTAGCCTGGACTCTCAAGGTATATGGTCACCCTCAGGTGCATATCCTGAACAACTTCAAGCTCTGGGTGGAAGAGGGCCTTCCCACAGAATCAGGAGAACTCTACAATGTAGAGTGCAACCCATACCCAATTCCCAAGCCTGACGAATCCAAGGTAGCGAGCTTCGAAGAGGTGCGGGAGGTTGCTCTAGATTACAACAAGGAAGGTGCGGAAGGCGTTCAAATCATTGACGCGAGGCCCAATGGCAGATTCACCGGCAAGGATCCCGAACCCAGGGAAGGTCTTTCGTCCGGCCACATGCCTGGTTCTATCAACATTCCCTTCAATGCCGTTCTCGACCCGGAGACGAAGGCATTCCTACCAAAGGAGCAGTTGCAGAAGCTATTTGCAGAGAAGGGAGTAGATCCATCAAAGCCCATTATCTCGACTTGTGGCACTGGTGTAACAGCGGTTATCATTGAGACCGCTCTTGAGGAGGCAGGTTATGGTACTCCTGAGACCCGAAGGGTCTACGACGGCAGTTGGACGTAAGTCGAATCTTCTCCCAATTAGGAGTTTGTGCTTGATTACTAATATGTGAATAGTGAATGGGCACAACGAGTCACACCCTCAGATTCCCTGATTCGAAAGGATGTATAAGGGGGTACGGGGTGAATCGCATACATACAGGCTGATGATGAGATACCCTCCTTCTCGATAATTTGTTGTGTTTGTGTTGGTTTAAATTACACTCTTCCGCATACCCCCTTTCCCCTTTTTGTATCGTTTACGTCGAGCATGAATCACGGATGGTTTACTCCACTTACCTGCTATTAGGACAGTTGCGTTGGGTTATGGGTATTCTCGGTTACAAAAATTCAAATGCCTATTGTAAATATGACCTAGACCTTCAAGGTCAAGTGCGAGGTATTCACGGCTACCACAACGTGGCCCAATTTGCGAACTTTGCTTTTGATGCATTGCGTTAGATTGTGGTAATAAGACAAAATATCTGCATGAAAAGTATAATGTGCTCTAGTAAGTCGTAATAAGCAATTCTTACAATTTACCTACTTATTGGGTCGCCCATCCAACATAACCGGATGCTAATACTAAGATTCGCTCGACAGACGAAATTCTTCATTAGAACAAACCTTATAGTAATGTCTTGCTCTTATATTAAACCTGTCTTCCGCGTTGCCCTTCAGCCCAGACAGTTTCAATGAATATCAGTTAGCTAAAGAATATGAACCAATGACGTAACCAATTTCATTCCCAGTTGTGTCATAAGAGGTAGAATCCCTGGTGCACCTTGGGCAAGCAATAGGAAAAGTGTGATTGATATCAAGATGAAGCAATAGTTTGATCACGTATCTTAGTTTTTATAAACTATTGTTTGTGAAAGAATGAAGCTATCGCGAAAATTAAATTTGGAGAAACATGAAGTTGTACTAGGTACATCGGTACATCTCTTAGCGGGAGTAGTGCGTGTGGATCAATTTGAAAGGTGGAAGTTGCACTTCAGGTACCTTATCTTTATCGAAAGCACGGACCACTTCGGCTGGGGGCCCTCTTGCCCACAAACTCAAGTGGAAATTCCAAAATTGTTTTGGCCCCTCCACCGCAAAATTCCCAAATTGCGAAATTTGGTTCAACCTCCAAACCTTCGACCACGAAAAAACAAGCTCAATTCGTCGGGAGCACCGCACCGCGCAACAACTTCCCTTACTAACTAATAATCCGACAGCCAACACAAATCTTCCGATCAATTCATCATGGCTGACCGAGGCGGTGCCCGAGGTGGTGGTTTCGGTTCACGAGGTGACCGAGGCGGCGATCGTGGCCGTGGTCGTGGACGAGGCCGAGGCCGTCGTGGTGGTAATAAGGATAGCGAGAAGGAGTGGATGCCCGTCACCAAGCTCGGTCGTCTCGTTAAGGCTGGCAAGATCAAGAGCATGGAGGAGATCTACCTACACTCTCTCCCTATCAAGGAGTACCAGATCGTCGACTTTTTCCTACCCAAGCTTAAGGATGAAGTCATGAAGGTACGGATTTCCCACGACAATTTCATGAAGTTACCAATTCTTCGTTTTAGAGAATTATGGCATTTGGGGACTTGCGACGCAAATTACTAACTTCAATTCCACAATATAGATCAAGCCCGTCCAGAAGCAGACCCGTGCCGGTCAGCGAACCCGATTCAAGGCCATCGTCATCATTGGTGACTCCGAGGGTCACGTCGGTCTCGGTATCAAAACCTCCAAGGAAGTCGCTACCGCCATCCGAGCCGCTATCATCATCGCTAAGCTCAGCGTTATCCCCGTCCGACGTGGTTATTGGGGTACCAACCTTGGTCTTCCTCACTCTCTGCCCGTCAAGGAGAGCGGAAAGTGTGGTTCCGTCACAGTCCGAGTACGTGAAAAATGAACGGATTAAACTAAGAAGATATCAATACTGATTTTTACGTCTAGCTTATCCCCGCTCCCCGTGGTACCCAGATCGTCGCGTCCCCCGCCGTCAAGCGTCTCCTACAACTTGCCGGTATCGAGGATGCCTACACTTCGTCATCCGGTTCGACCAAGACTCTTGAGAACACCCTAAAGGCCACATTCGCCGCTATCTCCAACACATACGGTTTCTTGACACCCAACCTATGGTCCGAGACGAAGTTGATCCGAAGCCCGTTGGAGGAGTACGCGGACACCCTTCGGGAAGGAAAGAGATACTAAATGCGGAATTCTGGGCATACGGCGTGGACTCGTTCTTGATTTCTAATTGCATCGGTGCCAGGTAGGCAGGTATCAGACCAAGGTAGCAAAAATGGCAGCTCCATTATGAACAGCTAATTTCTTCCTCACTTGGTGCTTTATGAATGTGCTGATGTTTGATATGATCATACGACTTAATTTTTTATTCGTGATACAGGCCTCCAAAGGAAAAGAGCTGTATTTGGTTCTAAATTAATATGTTCAAGCTTTATGAAGAATTGGAACATATTAATTCCTACCACACCTTGGAGAATAAACATTAAGTGTAATAGTCACCAAGACAGAACACGGAAAGGGCTCTAGGATATGATGGTTTCAGTCACTGCGTTGCTTCCTCTTAACAATAAAGCTAGGCACTTCCTGCTATGTGATTAATACAAGAGGAAGCAGCGACAGCAGTAGGATTGAGATCTAAATGACTTCGCCGAGTCGATTCATATCTAATAGAAACACTATTTCGAACTTCATCACTCTTTTAGTCCATCGTCACTCAAGTCGATCCAGTTTTGGTGTTTTGGACTCGTATCTTGGCCCGATTTTGAACTCTTCGCTTTCATACCATATTGTTGTCACCACTTTCTCTCGGACACCCGAGTTCTTATACGTGCCATCCAATGTTGTCCCCATGGACCCCGTCCCTACGGATAGGGGGATTCAAAGTACTCATAATTACACTCGTCCTCGGTTTACTCATCACATGTTGCCTTTTCATCGGCTTCGCTCCATTGACGTTTGAGACGAGCGATCGGCCGGCCAAGGCCAATGGGTCGTTGATCGAGCAACAGATCACTCAAACTCTCGAGTTATTAAGTCATCATGAGAAGCGCAGTTTAGGGACGGGCGATATTGCACACATGATTCCCAGTGTTATTTCGCACTTCCTTCCAGATGCCGCGTCGTCGCTAGATGCAGCGATTGTGGGCGATTTGAATAATCTCGCTTCGACTATGAGCTTGCCCAGCACAGAACCCCCGGGTGGTGTGCCTTTCCTAGTAATGGATCAACCATCACTGCCCCTTACAGCCCTACCGGAGCCGACCCGCTCTGAAATCGCGGCGTTGGCGAATAAAGTCGACGGTATACTCGCCGATATTGCACCCCTGGTAGCACCGAGTTTTATTCGCAAAATAACTTCCGACGCCGAAGCTGTGGCGCAATATGCTGAAACGGTAGCCGCTGATATTGCGTCGGTGATAGATCGGGTTGGAGCTAAACAGCTACAAGCCCCCGACGCTTTAAACACCGTGCAAGCTTTATTCGACGAATTGAACTTAGCGGCCGACGATATCATCCAGGACGTTACAGGAGACGCGTCGTCTGAACTCCCAGCGCCAGTAGTGGATGAACTTTCCAAGGCTTTAAGCAATGCTCTTGGTGGCATAGCAGATGTGACGAATGGTCCTATCTTATTGGTTGGTAACCTCATCAAGGACAATGTGTGTAGCCGGGAAATCATTGTTGATGGCGTGACCTCTATGATTGCTGGTCTCTGCGGAGGTATAGATTCGGCGATAGCGGGAGATGATCCTCTGACGACAGAGGCGTCTGCAACCAACCCCTTTCAGACTTCCACCAGCCAGCCTCCAACCGCCACCGCAATACCCCCAGTAGTCCCTCCCTCCACAACTCCGCGCTCCGGCGCTAACGCCCTGCCAACTCCCAGCCCAACTCCGACCGAAGCAGTGCAATCAGGGGTACAAAATGCACCCATGACAACAGCTACAGGGGGTACGTATGGAAGTATCTGGAGTCAAAAGCAAATTATGACTGATTGTTGTTGTTAGCCGACGGGATAGCTACCGTAACGGAAAGTGTCACTATTACAGACGGTTGCGCATCAGCACCTACAGAGACGGTTTTCTTGTAAGTTAGTTACAACATTGCGTACCGAATAGAATTACAATTAACAATTACCACCGTACAGAGCAGGTCAGACATCTACTCTTACCGTTTATTTCTACAAGCCGTGTCCAGATCCTATGCCCTGTTCCGAATGTGCCGCCGCAACTTGTCACTGCCCTAATGCAGGCGCCGGCGCCACCCCCACGCCCTCATCCGAAGGTACTGGTGTCCGCGGGCCGTGCCCTGGTTCGGGTTACACTTGTCATGAGTGTCTCGATGGATGGTTCTGCCCGCCTCCCCAGACACCAGCACAGCCTGCTCCTTGTGGGTTTGGTTGGCCCTGCGCTCATTGCGATAGAGGCTGGTTTTGTGTACCGGGCCCGACGACGGGTCTAGATACGTGTACGGGATCTTCCGAACCGACACCTAATAATGCCGGGACAATCACATCAACAACAACTCTTCAGCCAACGGCACCAGGACCAACCCAGCCACCCCCCAGGAGCCCCGACAGAGCATCTGGGTGGGGGTACTGTGGGTGCTGGACCGACCAACCGGACCAACGTGTTCTCGCCATGGACTCACCCACCAATCTCTCCCCCCTGACTAACGAAAACTGTGTCCAGCACTGTATAGCCCAAGGTTACCTAATGGCAGGTACCGAGTACGGGAACACATGCTACTGTGGGAATTTCCTCAACGGCACGGAGAAATTAACTGACGATTCATGCTCGATCCCATGTACAGGGGACCCGGAGCAAGTGTGTGGAGGTAACAACGCCATTAGTTGCTATAGCTCGGATGACGAAGCTCATGGATGGGCGAGCGTAGGACCGCAGCCACTACCTGCGACGTTAGACCCGCCGGAGGTTGTTTCTATGGCGCTGGGGGGTGTGGCGTTTGAGGTTGTTACTGTGCCGGTGATTGTGTACCCGCCTGAGGATGCGGATACGGGGGAGGTGGTTAGTGAGTATGGGAGCTCGACGAGGAGGTCTAGGGGGGATTTGCCTAGTGGTTTGGGAGTTGACTCAACTACTCCGGGAGCAATCCTGACAGAATCAAATACGAGTACTGGTGTATCGTCGAGTGGCTCCGGTGATACCAGCCCAGGGGTAAACACGAGCTCCCTTCCAAATGGTAATGGTGGCGGCACCACCGACGAAAGTGATGGTGCTGGCTCTGCTACAAATGGGAGAGCAGGTGGAACTGTGACTTCCAGTGCTAATACAAATACGCCGTCATTCAGTGGACCAGCGCGCGGTCCTGCAACCCCAGGGTCGGGCCCAAATTCATTGACAAGTAATGGGGGAGGTGTGGATCCTACTGCGTCTGGAGAGAATTCTGGTTCGGCTTCTAACGGGGATGGCCTCGGATCAAACTCTGGGAGTGGAAATGGAGGTACTGGCCCGATAACTGCTGGAGGGAATCCGAATTCACCGAGTTCGTCGCCAGTCAGCGGTGGTGATATGGGTGCGTCTCCAACTGGCCAGGGGCAAGGGACTGAGGCTCCCGGGAACAGTGGCAATACGAATCAGGGCCAAGACACTATAAACCCAACAGGCAATGGCGCCGGCTCAGATCAGACATCATTAAGTGAAGGTCAAGGGACCGCATCTCCAACTACCAATGGCAATCCTTCGAGGAGTAGCACTAACCCAGCACCGGCATCTTCGGACCAAGGTCAAAGCACCGAAACCTCCAATCCTAATCCGAGTCAAAATTCAGGCGATGCCCAAGGGAATTCACCCTCGATTATGCCGTCAGGCAATAGAAACCCGAGTTCGAATTCAGCTGGTCAAAACCAAGGTTCAAACTCACTATCAAATGGTGGGGTGGCCACAGCCAAACCAACCGGCAATGCCAGTAAGCTTTGTACAATTGGTTCAGATGATTCGTCCTGCACGAATACAGTTGGCAATGGCGGCTCGGCATCCCCTACAGCAGCAACCCAAGGTCAAGGAACAGAGCCAGGTTCTGGCAGTGGCACGGAAGCACCTGATGCTGGCCAAAATATTGAGCCTAGCGGTGGGCAAGCCTCCTGTACCCCTGGCTCGAGTAACCCATATTGTAGTTCATTAGGAAATGATGGCAACGCGGGATCAACGGGACTCGGTACGGCCCAAGCGAGCACTTCACCAAACGGCAATGGTGGTGCAGGCTCGAACCCATCGACACCCACAAATAACCAAGGCACTCTGCCACCAAACAGTGGGTTAGGTGGCTCTAATCAAGGACAACAACCTACAACTTTGAACCCCAATGGTGGCAGTGCCAGTTGTACCGCAGGATCTGGTGATTCTGCTTGCGCCACTACCGACTCTTTGGAATCGATGACTTCACCTTGCACATCGCCGAGTAATGAAGGCGAAGCTGGTCCGGGAGGACAAAATCAACCAACGGCATCTCACTTGAATAGCGGTGCTTCTATGAGTAGTTCGTGCACTCCGGGATCTACTGACCCAAGCCGCACCTCATTAGGTAGTGGTGAGAATCCTGATCAGGGTATTTCTCAAGGTCGAGGTCCTGGTACGCCACTTAACGGCGGGGTGGGAAGCCCAATTACAGTCACGGATGCTCCAACGGCAACAAGCCAGGCCGACAACGGCGGGGACGATGGCTCGAGTGGACAAGACCAGGGGACACAAATGGGTCCTAATGGAGAGAATGGAAATAGCAACCCTTCGATGCCAAGCTCTCGTCCGACTTCAAATCCCGCCGCGAATAGTGGCACGGGGTTTAGCAATAGAGGTAGTCAAGGCCAGGGTACGCAGTCTAGCATAGCTAGGAGTATTGGAAATAACCCTAGTACATCTGGATCTAATCCGGCTCCCAGTCCTTCTGGGGATGGCGGCCTTGTTCCTAGCAGCCAAGGCTCGGGAGAACAGTCGAATGTCGATAACGGAATAGGGGGTTCTGGACCAACATTACCGGGCTCGAATCCAAATTCAAATCCGACCGGGAGTAACGATGGTGGCATGCCTACAAGCGGAGGTCAACCCCTATCAAGCCCCAATATCGGTGGCGTAGGGCCGAACCCTACAGATACAAACCCAAAGGCATCCGGATATACATTCCCTCCTGGCGCAATGCCGTATGGTAACCATCCATCGATGACCACTTTGGCGTCAATGATCGCCTGGACCGAATCCGATGGCGAATTGGGACCTGGCGTGAGCGGCTACATAGAGGTATCCAACACAACCACGATAGAATACGAGGAACTACCTGTCACAACTACTGTTACCTCGATGAGATGGCAGAGAGTACGCCCCGTTGTGGTTTGGTGAGAATACCTTGCGAAGGTGTTAAGACAATAGAAAATAATGGAAAAGGGAAAAAAAAAAAACTCAAAAGATATTAAAAGGGAGTTAGGTATCCGAAGGAACTTCATAGATGGGGTATGAAAGGTTATCAAACTATTTACTAGGAGGCGAGAGTAGCCCCTTTTTGGAACTGGAGTTTATTTTTCAAGAGCCGGCATGGTATAAGTCGATGCTGCATATAAATACATTCAAGAATGGGCCGTGAGGCAAGTCACATAGAGATACTGTTACAATTGATGAATTGAAAAGGGGCAAACGAGTGACATTGAATTTTCTAAGTTTTAATTGACGGTCGCAGACCGTTAGAATTTCCTTAAATATATATCCCTTAACTTTCCATAGTGCTCGTCTCCGTCACGATTCTCAGCCACTTCGATTCCAAGTTTTGATGATAGGTAAATGAAGAAGTGTTGCGTGTTCGATCCTTACTGGAGCAGAGTTAGTTTTAATGTATCAGAATATATAGTACTCTTAACACAGCCTAGGGGCGTATGAGAGGGGACTGGGGTGACTGAGATGGCGGTGCTGGATCGGCTTCATTAAGAGAACATTTGGAGACAATGGTCTCAAGCAGATAGAACATGGGCTCACTTACATTCGTTCATTTCTTGTCGTCGTCCTCGAGAGCCTTGTTGATAGCGTCACGTAGTCCTATCATGTTGTCGTGGGTGTGCAGCTTGTCCAGATAAACAGTGTTGCCCTTCTTGATAGTGATTCTGGCTGCGTGACCTTCAACTGAGTGGGGCCTCTCTGTAATATAGAGCACGAAGCGGCTATCCGCCTTGGTAAGGGCTTCTGCTATCTGGGTTGTGTTTTCATGACAGTGGACCAGCTTTGGATACCCCCAGATGGGTTTGCAATTGAACTCAAGGACGCACTTCTTTGTGTGGCCTTGCGTAGTTTTGTCCCCGGCGATGACATCAACGATGAGTTTGTCAGCCATGATTCGAGTCTTTTGAGGTTTGTGTCGTAGATGTGAGAATGATAATCGGTGGTTATAGACGAAGCTCTCTTTCCTTTGTTAAAGGCTTGGTCCGTGCTATATATAGGGGTCAGGGCAATTTGCACGCATAGCGGAACACATAAAGAGTGAAGAGTGAAAAAGAAACGTTATAGAGGTTCGTATATGTGTTACACAAGGCAACTTCAAGGGAATCGCTGTTCAGCTCGCCATAAATCTATAGGATTTCAGATCTATTTCCAGATTGAAGATATGGGCGCTGTAAAGTAACGCCAGTCATCATCACATCAATATTCATCGATTACATGTACCGCATTAAGTGGGCACCGAAGAATCAGGTAAATCAGTGATGAAATAATGTAGATACATACTAACGTGCTTGAGCATAATTCTGAAACTGTTGAAGATAGTAGACGCAAGTTGTAAGCGTTGGGAAGTTGAGTTACTAGGAAAAGTGTCACGCTCTTCCTATCACCGAGAAGAGGCAGTACCTATACACCTAATCAACCAGACACTAGGTAGTAAGTAGTTGCAAGCCCCCGAATTCCAGAACGGATATGCTCTACGCCAACAGTAGAATGCAAATTCCAGTCATCATGTCCATCAAGGCATGAGATGAAAGCACCCAGAGTATGTACAATTTTTCAGATCCGGAACAGGACAAGATCGAGTTGATCGACTACAACGCACTAACAAGCTCGCAGACGGCTGGTCATCTAGTGCTGACAAGAACAATGTGTTCGCCAAATACTGCCACAGTCCCCCTGAGGAACTTTAATCTCCTTCCTTCTTCGGAGCCCCGGTGGAAAAAAGGCGCCCCTACCAACATGAACCGCAATTTCCGCAGAAGAAGAACATGATATCTACTACTCGAGTGGATAATAAGGAATCGGCGCTCACATTGAGCTACATAATGCAGCATACGCACATCAGCACTATCACAGACCTGGCGCACGTCAGGAAGCTGACCTCACACGAGATAATCCCCAACAAAGCAATTTCCTGCTTGTCTTACCTATGTTGATCCGGGTCGTTGCTACTCCGCGCCATAGAAATGGTCGATCAAGAAAAGGGCTTGCCTCGGTGGCCCTCCAACAGCCTATGGAATATCAGATAGCGTGTCTATTCAGCATATACAGCTATACCGAGATAGCAAAGCCGGACAGACAAGTATCGCGATTGCTCTATGACAACCTATGACACTTGCCGCCCAGCTTGAGCACATTTCCCGAGCCTGGTTATGATATATGATCTGTAGGAGTAATTTCAGTATCTTAGTGGCGTTAATATTGGTGACTACCTACCTAGTTAAGCACGATCCCGCGACTCATCTATAGTGGCGCAAGTATAACGACTTCCAGATCTTAGCCAGAGGACATCGGTTGGGTCTTGCTGCGGGTGCGAGGGAGGTGGGCGGCGTTTATTTTGCTATCTGGTTGAGTTAGGAACATCGGGTTGCCTTTAGGATCGACGAGGCACGCATTGTTCACGTATCTCAGATCGGCGGTCATCACCCCAGGATGAGGTAGTTGTCAATGGTGAAGTTTCAAGATATCTGTGGTTAGAAATAAGTGAGGCAATATAGGTAGCTATGCTGGTGTTTTGAAATTTCTGCTGGCTGTGCTTAGCTTGTGGATTAATCTGTGGGCAAGTAGGTCTGAGGAATCTCCGACATTTCCTTAGAGATAAACCAATCACGAACCAGCCATCTCGAGGCTTCTTAACAACTCGTCCACCCTTTCTCAACAAAAAAACTCGGAACCTCTACAATATACCGCGCCAGCAGCTCCGAACTCAATGCCACGCCAGACAATTCCTTCTCCAGTAAATCCTGGGTCTGCTGTGCAGTGTAGGCATAGGTTGTAGAAGTAGAAACAACATCGCTTATAATACGCCTTACTTCTGTCGAACTCACGTTCGGGTCAACTCGCTCATCTTCGCGGCTCGTGACGAAGAGAAGCTCGCGATCGCGTCGTTTGGCGTGGCTGCAAGTCCATACATCTCGGCGGCCTTTCTTTTTGCCTTCGCCTGTATCACCGTCATCATCGTCATCGTCCTGTACGGCTCTCTTCCACTCGCCATGTCCCTTAATCCTGTGCAACCTGTACCCATCCCCATCCCTCTCACAAAAATCCACACCCCGACTAACATCCGCGGTAACCGTAACAACGCACCCCCAAGCACCATGTTCAACCAACCTCCTACTAACCTTATCACCACCCGCAAGCCTCACATACTCAACCTGCACCCCATCCCCCGCGCACAAGTCCTCAAGTTCGGACTCTACAGTCATCCAATCGCTTTCCGGAATCACCGCACACCATTCCCGAGCGTTGACTTGGGGATGGGAGAGTGCTGTTTCCCACAGCTCGATGCGTTGATTTTCCGGGAGGTGTAGGTTTTTCTTGTGCGTGGGGAATTTGTAGGATAGGTATACGTCTGGGGCTACCAGGATGATAGCGCCGATAACTGCGTCCTCACTCCTACTCCCACTACTACCGTCACCACCACCGTCGTCATTATTTTTAGCGGCGGTGCTGTGACCGCTACCACTATCCCCGAGAGAATCGAAACCACCAGCATACCGATACGCATGTATCAAATGCGCCAAATGCCCATGATGCGGCGGGTTAAAACATCCGTTATACAACAACACACGGTTCATCCGCCCTTTCCTAAGCCTCGGCCCCCGTATTCCATCCTTCCTCGCTCCGAAACTCTGACCGGTGGCGATCTTAACGTATTCCACGAGCGAGAGAGTCGGGGCCGAGAATCCCGTGGCCGGGGTTTTCTGCTTATCGCGTGGCCCCATAGCCAGCCAGGTACAGTAGGTATAGTATGCTATGACGATATGTAGCCTAATGTATGGGCAATATGGTATATCTGTACGTAGTAGTTCCAGAGATATTGTAGGTTCGTATTTTAACATTAAACAATCTATTCTTGGCAGACCCTTGTGCCTCTGACGTGCTGCCTAGGTGCCTATTTAGGCAGCGAGGCAGAAGCATGTTTGTTGGTCAGATCGAAAGAGGTCCATGCGGCGGGAGATCTACTTTTTTTGACCTGCGACTTTGTCACCTTGGGTATCTACCAAAAAAAAAAAAAAAAATAGTAGTCCGAGAATATTAAGTCATATCTGCCTGTTTACCTACTTAGGGATTCTGACTTATTTGGTGAAGGACTACTAGCTGACCGACCCGCCCTTTAAAGGGCGGAGGAGAAGGGAGGGAAGGTATACAGGTATACGCCACAGTCAACTATCGACTCTGATTGGTTAGCCATACCTCAGCGCACATCCGACGAGTTTTTTATAGAATTAATTAATTTTCATCAATGTGACGTAAAAATATTAGTAATTGGTATAGTTGAATAGAGCTTGTTTTGTGTGATCTTTTGATACTAATTGTATCACTACATACGATACGTTATGAGAAAAAATGCGAAAGCAAAAAGTCGAGAACTGCGGGGCGAGTCTAAGGATCCTATTGGCCACCGAAATATGGCAGTGGTTTGCTAAATATATAAGAGTTGATTAAGCCGGTCTAAACGGAGCTCACCGTAGAGAAACCGGGCGTTAATTTTGGCGTAGATATGCTCTATATCGAGTTCCCAGGTAAACTCTCTCGGGGTTACCTATTCGACCTGATGCGGAAGCAAGTGTCTCTCTTTGGCGATCCAGAAGTCGCTCTTGTAACAGATGAGCCCGGCTTTATTCCTTCTCCTTGGGGGCTGTGCCTGTCCGCGGCTGAGGGACTTTGTCAAACCGCTTCTCTGGGATCTTCGTGGAGTATACCCCATAGGCTACCAACAAATTCATCATCATTTCCCTATCAAACCCTTGCCGGACAAGATCTCTCTGGGTCACCGAACCATTCACTCTCGACCGGTCCGTAGTTCCCTTCCTCTTCTGACAGCATCTTGGTACCGCTAGTATCTTCTTCCCGATATATTCCGTGGGATCTACTGCGAATGGCAGGTACGTGTTTGCGTACTCTCCCTCGTCCTCGTCTATCTCTAAGATATTAATTTGTAGGACCTCGGGAAAATAATCGTCGGCGGGAACAAGATGGTCAAATGTAACGCCGTAATAGTCAATTTCACTAGTAGGGTGCCCCAATAATCGTTAGATACAGAGACTCAATAGTTGGTAATGAGCAAGCGCGCTCTTACTTCTTCTCGTGCACCCAGCCTAGGTACTCATCTCGCTCAATCATATCATTCTCGACAGAAAGACTGGCATCCTGTCCGTATATAGCCCGGTACGCTAGTCTTGCGAGCTCCGGGCCAGCCGGCTGCGGAAATATTGGGTTGAATACATCAACATGCCATAGCACCTCCGGAAGAAGTTTCTGGACAGATACCAATGGGCCTTCGATCTGGATCCTCACCGGCTTGTCTAACGGTGGTGGGTGAAGAGAATGAGCAGGAGTGCGAATACAATGCGGGATGTAAAGTGGAAGAGCCATTAGGATGGGTAGAAGAAGCAGAGGGGAAGTAAATGCTCAACGTTTAATCAACCTAAGCAGCCAATCATATACCATATGCAAGGTCCAAATCGGGGAGAGTGCACAGACCACTTGGTCTCACCTATCTACCTAGCCTAGGTATTGAATAGTTTACGTAATCGACGGGGACTCGATTCGAATCAAGGGATTAACCAATTATTATAACCCCTTTTTTACAAGGGGGCCAGCAGCGTAGTACTGGTAATTGTAAATAGGAACGAATCACACAACACGAATGACAAAAGCGAAGTTCTTGGAGAGGTTTTTACTCTTTTCCATTTTTATTTACGGGTGCTGCAGGCATACTATCATGCGACATATAGTCGAATCATGCGAACGAAAAGCCAGCCAAGGTATCGTCCAAAATGCCAAGGTCCCCCGCAGCAAAGGTCCTCCACAAGAATTAAGATTCTCCCTGGCTTAGGGAGTTCATCCGTGTATCATATCGTGTGTGGCGCGCCGTAGTATTGCTTTCCACAGTTCTTCGGCCGCGTAAGGCGAGAATCGAACGCCTCTAGACTTCCCGAAAGCAATCGGCGAATCACTCGCCTGCAAACGTGCCAAACTGTGCACATGTTGCCATATTTCCCATCATCTTCCATCGATTGTTCACAAATTGCCATTCTTTTTTTCTTCCCAAATACATCCCCGTTTTTATGTATTGCTCCCCTCCTCACTTCCAACGTTCCCAAGCTCTAGAAGCTGCAATTTGGGTGCCGTCTTCTGTCCTCGGATCGATAGTGGAAAACGCCCGAACTCACGGAAAGAATAAAGCAGATTTTTTTGGTCGACAATCGTTCGCTTTAGGTGGTTGATGCTGTAGCACGCTCAATGGGTATGACGGAGAAGGAAAACAGAAAATGAAATCAAAATCGCTGATAATGCCATGGAGATGAGCCTAAACCGTCAAGTATGCAACAATCTTTTTTTTTTCTTCCAATGATACACATCCATGCGATAGTCTCGAAATAAGAGGTTGTCGGTCATAAAATAAAAGGTTGATGAGTTAGGTCTTCGGATTCGTAGGTATTGGTCAGGTGTAATGGTCTTTATGAGACCATTGGACCGCTATAGTCTTCGTATGAGGAGTAGGCGGGGTATTGTTGTGTATGTTGTTGAGGATATCCTGTCATGCTGGGTGGCTGAGGTGTCGGTGTAACTGGGCATCGAGGTGGTACATATTTGTTCATCGGGTCCGCTACACCAAAGTTGACACCGTCAGGCGTGATAGGGGGCGTCAGATATCCATCAGCAACACCCATGGCAGCGCCATGGCCCTTCTGAGGAGTACTGTAGATGCTGCTGTGTTGCGACAAGGAGGATTCCGACGGAGGCGAAGGTGGTCCTTGAGCTCGTCGGGCGATGGCGGCTTGCTGAGCAAGGAATTCGCCGAGCTTTCCAGACACACGAGACAGATGTTGCGAGGAGTACTTTCGGGACAAGGTTACCGATGGTTGATGTAGGTGTTGAGATAGAGCGAGGACCGTAACGTTCTCCAAGTGATCCCATTCACCATCGTTGACTTCCGGTCGTCCCAATATCGCACGTGCAAGGGCGAGGGAGGCGCGAGCCATAATAGAAGGCTTGGTGGAAACAAAGTCTCGGTGGTACAAGGCAATCTCGCAAAGGTAAGCTGCCATATGCTCAACCTCTCGGTCATCGGACTCTTCGGCAACTATCAATTGAGTGAAGAAGTCGACGGTCGGGTGTCCGATAGTCCACTCAAGAGTGTTGAGGACATGCATCTCCATCTGAGTGAACATTCCTGAGTCGTACAAACCGCAGCACATGTTGTTCAGTTCGTTGATCTGAGGCACACGGTCCTTCTTGTCCCCGTACTTGGCGGCAATGAGAAGGGCTGCACACCCAACGAGCTGATAGTGCTGCTTGTAAACGACTCGCTTTGAGCAGTACCGGTCCAATAAGTTGACAGTCAGAAACAGGGTCTCGGGGAGGAGCGCGAAAGCGGCATGGGCCTCAATCAAGAAGTCAATCAGATAAGGCCTCATGAACCACTGAATCTCTCGTTGCATATCGATCAGATTAGCATCCGGTAACGTCTCGTCCTATGCAATTGTTAGTCTTCAGGCATCGAATCTATTTATCAACCCAATTGAGACATGAAGATGTCGCAAAGTGGCTGGGAAAAATAACTCGAAAACACTAACCTCCATGTGTCTCATGTGTTGCATGATATCCTCCAAGTACTCATCGCCGGCAAGACGGGACAATTCGTTGGCAATCATCTCTTGTCTGTTTCGGGCCAACATCTTTGCCGCATCCTTCATACTAATACGGGGTTGACGGGGTTCGTCGGATTCAACGAAGAATCCGCAGTCTCCTGAGGTAGAATACGCCATATTGATCGATTGGGTAATAATCCGAGACTAAGAAGTAATATCGCACGTTCGATATACTAGGATGTGTTCTTAAAAGAGTGACGATTAGGTTCTCCAGGAATCTTGATGTGCTGTGAGAGAGCGTATTAAGGTGACCGTCGCAGGTAGGAGTCGAAGGAGTGTATTATTCCAGCTGGACGGACAACACAATTATTACTATATTAAAGAGCGTGATGAACTGTATGCAGTTAAAATAAAAATAAAAATAAGGAATGACTGTGGCCGAATGGCTACCGAAAGACGATGAAATGATGGGGTGAAAGAGACCGGAGAGGCGGCCGTTATAAAAAGAGACGTCGAGTGAAAGGCTCTAGAGTAGAAGAAGAATTAGCGTCAGGAACACAGGAACATCCAATTGAGACCAAGGAGACAATTGAGGACCAAAGCCAGGCCAAACGGAGCAGGGCACGGTCTTCTGGAACCACACGATCAGGGGCAGAACGCCAGGCATTCTGATTCGACCGAGAATCAGTGGGGATCGGTTCCTGGCACGCAGCTCGAGAGGCCTGGCAGGCAATTGATCCTCGATGGAGTATTTAATGCAGCATACGTGCATACAAAATGACGTTGGTCTGTGTTATAATTTTGCTGAAGAAGGGTTCTCCCTTACCGCCACGATTAATCACAGGAAATTAGGTGATTCCTGGCCGAATTGGAAAATGGGTGGGAACAGCGAGTTAACGAGTCCCACGAGGGCAAGCGTATCTGCTCGACGCGGCGGATTGAAGCGTGCGTGAGTGTCCGAGTACACCGTTGGAACACTTTTAGGGTGGACCGTCGGTATGTACCTATACAGGGAGAAAAAAACAATAATTAGAATCAACATCTTTCTAGTCTCTTTTGCGCAGTATGTATGGGGATGTATAGGTGGTAATAGGTATGCTTCTTCCCTATCTTCCCTCCCCTTCCTCCTGGATTTTTTTTTCTACTCAGGGTTCTCTACCCCCAACAGATTCGGACGCAACGTACCTCTACACCTGCACGCTTCTAGTAAATTATAGTCGAGCGACTGGGTTCATGTAGGGCTCGTTATGAGATCCTCGAATCGGTAGAAGACTCGTGTGGAGTCTAGTACCGATGTTCGTCTGGAGTAATTGTGATGAGCCAGAGTCAGATTCCTGGTACCGTTGGCACGAAGGAGAGAGGAATAGGAGAATCGAATTGCCTCGAGTCTGCGCAGCAAGCTAGACAAGACTATCCTCCTTAGGGTAGAAATTAATCGAGCGGAAGGGGGGAGGTTGAGAAAAGGGCTCGACTTAGGAATGGAGGAGGGTTTGCCTTACTGGCGAAAGGAGGGAGTTGATGAATAAAGATGGGAAGGGACTGGGAGAGGGAGAGGTAGGATAGGATAGGATGGTAATTTAGTGGTAATTGGGGAAGATTCCTCGTGAAATAAAAAGCCGAGGAATTCGAATTCCAGAAATATTGGTTATTACCTAGAGGAATATATGAAGAGGATAATTTATCGAGAATTCTAAAGCAAAGAGATTTGTTTTAAAAATCTACGATGCTTCCTCTCTTCATTTATCTGACTTGCGTCTTCTCCCTTCTTGCTCTCTCTTGCTATTATCTCGGCCCTACCCTCTTTTTTTCGTCTTGTGCCGTCGTGTAAGAAAAAAGGCCCAGGGGTTCTTCTCTCTCCTCCTTTCCTCCTTGAAAGTGGACAAGGAGACGATGGTAAGGATAAGTATTGAGAAGGAGGAAAATGAATGGATCGGATGAAGAGGATGAGGAAAGGAGAGAGAGAGTAGAGATGGCCTCAAGTTGGAGGAGGATGGAGGAGATGAAAAAGGATTGGATTGGAAGAGTTGGTTTGGTTTGGTTTAACAGGTACTTTTAAGAAAAAACTAAGACAACCGGCCTGACCCCAGCACACACGCGGGTCAGAGCATGAGTGAGAAGAAAAAAAAGTAGGAGCGGGCTTGCGCAAAAAAAATAAAAAAGGGTACCGGGAACCTAGGTAGGTACCTGCAAAATCCACAAGTACTGTACTGTATGTACTAGGTAGGGTACTTGCAAAACAATTTACACCAGGTACAGCGCACAAGGTCATTGAACCAAGGAGCCAGGGGTGGCCAGGATGAGCCTGGCAAGGTACCGCGCTCGCGACGGCCTATTATATTCGAGCATTCAACTAAAGCTGGTTGGCTGCGGCCGCCTTGCAGCTACAATGCTCCTACTACATTAGAACAGCATTAGTTATTGTTGGAGGTACCTAAGTATTACATGTACTTGTCCAGCTTACTCGCGTGTTCTTCTTTTCCCCCCTTCCCCTACTGCTACTACTACTTCCTTACCCCCCAGCAATCAAAGTACCTACCACCTACCTACCTTTCCGTCTTGTCTTTTAAGTTTTCTTTTCCCACTGACATTTTACTGCTCCTTGCGCACCAAGTAAATGGAACTAAGACTTTGCCTGTAAGTCGCAAGCAAGCAACATTAAGTTGTTCTTCCCCTTCCACTATTCCTTGCCTTGAACCTAGTCCCCGCATACTAGGTATGATAGTACATCCAGTAACAGAGACGGTGTGATGTATGTATGTAATTAGTGGACCTTAAAGTTATAACCAAGGCATTTCCAATTGTCATCCAATCCATTTGAACCTTAGAAACCTTAGATACTTAATGTGTGTGTCTACAAATAATTTTAAGACGGCTGACTGGTTGGCTGCTTAACATTTTCGGTATGTATGTATCTTCTGATTGCGCGAGGCGTAGGGCGTCTCACTCTCTTTTTTTCAAAAGATGGATGGATGGGTCAAATGGTCAAATGTCGGGTTGGAAAACATCTATTGGTGATTGCTATTAGATGTTAGATATCAGACCGCTTCTATGCACTGCCCAATGAGCACGTAGACATCATGCTGACAGTGTTGAGATGGGAGGGAGGCTGCCGTCCCGGCGTCCTTGATGTCTAATGTAAAATGAAATGTATGTGGGATGAATATTGTACATGCCTATCAGCATTCATTCAGTACATTGAAACCGAGACGGTACGGTATATTGCGGGGGGCTACAGTATTTTTGACCGTCGGAATAATGGAAATTTTCAATAATAATGAATCTCAAATATGCAGATGGAAATTTCGATGTTTAGGGTCGGGTAGGTATAATTGAATGTCTACTATCGCGTATTATATCTATTATGGTCAAGGACGACGGAAACGAAATCCGTTGGTTGGTCAGTTGTCTCAAGGCCTGGTTCCTAAATGAAGGTATACCTAGGTAAATGTAGATATAATATATGCATATATAATACTAATACCTATGTACCTAGGTAGGTACAATAATGTATTTGAAATGCGTTTGAGCCTCCCTTTTTTTCTTGTTCTCTTTAGCAATCGCGCATCTCCTAGAAAAATAGATCTATCGTTATTTGTTTGTTTAGTAGGTACGAAGGTAAGGTCTCTTCGGTGTTGACCTTGGATGACCTTGATCGCATAATGCATTGTATGTACAATGTGTACACCTACATAACAAAGGCATCTTAGTCGGGCAGGTAGTTGTACTAGTAATGCAAGAGTTCAAGATTTGATAGGCGTATATGCACGTAATGGCCTTTCTTTAGGGCGGTTAGGCCGTTTCTTTCGGCCATCATCTTTGGTGGATGAAATGCCAGTAATTGCTTAGGTACATTACATTCGTCTGCCAAGCTCCGTCGAATGAACATCTTGGAATTATGCCATTAAGAACCAGGGCACGATAGTTCGGATATGTATGGGGATGTTGTGATAATACTCCACCTCTTTAAGTCCTTTTAAGTAACGTACAGTGCTCGGATCTAGACTTGAGAAATTGAGACGAGGCTTTCCACAGTATGAAAGGAGCCAAGAAGCACTGAGCGCGATATGAGGGGGCGTTTCGGTTCGAAATAGAATGATGAAATAGCGGAGGCATCCCGTAATTCGCATGAGTGTCGCACCGTGTTTGTGCATGCCCTAGTATTCTAATGCCCTAAAATTATGAGGCCTTACTTTTATTTGTCCCGTAACGTACCGTAGAAGTGACAACCCCTGAATGCCTACATACAGATAGGTACAGATATATATCAGTGGCTTCTTATTTAATCCTAAGGATACCTACCCAATATCCATTCCCAATGAGGTACTTCGGCTCGTTAAAAACTTGAGGATTCGCCTCCGTTGGGCGCAGCTATATTTTACTCCATTGATTGACATGTTGAGAGAGTACGTAGGGCGTTGAGTAATAAAGATTGAACACAGCATACGACAGGCTACAGGCTTACAGTATGTATGTATTTTAGGTACATACTCAGTAAGGTATGGGATATGATTACTGCAGATCTGTCTACAAGCTACAAAGCTGATGCAGCCAGTAAAGTTGACCCGCTGAGCCTGCTGGCCTGGTAAGAAACGATGCTAATGCACACCAAAAACGTGCTAAAATTCTACGCCTTCATCATCATCAAATCATCCGATGATACGCTGTATTTTAAGAGGTAGTAAGTAACTCTTAGTGAGATAGGGAGCGAAATACATACCTAAAAAATAAGTAGCTAGGTAGCTTGTCCTGTATTGTACGTGCATTTCCAAGGCACTGTAAAGAAATACGGTACCATACGGCCTTGTCGGCCCCTTTACTCTTTTACTCTTTTCCCTTTTCGATCTTGAGCGAATCCTACGCCAGTTCGCATAGAGCTGCGAACGGAACTTGGAACAAGGGGACCCCCATTTCATTAGGACTAGTGTCGCCATTTCAGCCCATGAAAATCTGCAAGAATACAAGGCACAAGGCAGATGTCGCGCCGGTCAAACCAAATCATCGATACTCCCTAACCAATCACCGTCTCCTGACGCGGTCTTACACGACTTGAAAATCAATTTATCATGCGTGTCATGTGTAATGGGATCCATTCCCCTATTTGCGTCCCAGCTCCGTAGTCCATCATAACGCAATCAATCAATCCAGTCAATCAAATCAGAGCTGGGGGAACTTGGCTTGCCTGCCCTTTTTTTTACACCTTACCCTTGAGCATTTGTCACGTAGAACACACCTTCTTGTTCCATCATCTACATCTGTATCTTT